CCATAGAAACCCCTCAGGACACAATCAGGGTGTGGAGGGGATCCATGTTCCCATAGAAACCCCTCAGGACACAATCAGGGTGTGGAGGGATCCATGTTCCCATAGAAACCCCTCAGGACACAATCAGGGTGTGGAGGGGATCCATGTTCCCATAGAAACCCCTCAGGACACAATCAGGGTGTGGAGAGGATCCATGTTCCCAAAGAAACCCCTCAGGACACAATCAGGGTGTGGAGGGGATCCATGTTCCCATAGAAACCCCTCAAGACACAATCAGGGTGTGGAGAGGATCCATGTTCCCATAGAAACCCCTCAGGACACAATCAGGGTGTGGAGGGGATCCATGTTCCCATAAAACCCCTCAGGACACAATCAGGGTGTGGAGGGGATCCATGTTCCCATAGAAACCCCTCAGGACACAATCAGGGTGTGGAGAGGATCCATGTTCCCATAGAAACCCCTCAGGACAAAATCAGGGTGTGGAGAGGATCCGTGTTCCCATAGAAACCCCTCTGGACACAATCAGGGTGTGGAGGGGATCCATGTTCCCATAGAAACCCCTCAGGACACAATCAGGGTGTGGAGGGGATCCATGTTCCCATAGAAACCCCTCAGGACACAATCAGTGTGGAGAGGATCCATGTTCCCATAGAAACCCCTCAGGACACAATCAGTGTGTGGAGGGGATCCATGTTCCCATGGAAACCCCTCAGGACACAATCAGGGTGTGGAGGGGTTCCATGTTCCCATGGAAACCTGTCAGGACACAATCAGTGTGTGGAGGGGATCCATGTTCCCATAGAAACCCCTCAGGACACAATCAGGGTGTGGAGGGGTTCCATGTTCCCATGGAAACCCCTCAGCACAAAACCAGGGCAAAGGGGGGATTCATGCTCCCATAGAAACTCAGGAAACAAGCATTGGGAACTAAAACCAAGTTTCACTCTTAAATTTCAACAACTTGCAAGGATGCGGTACCTCAGCTAACACTTCCCCTTGTCATTTACAGAAAGTGATGAACAGGGGTAACTGGGACTTATTTTCCTCTTGAAAAAATGCAACCATGTTTCTGTGACCATGTGTCCCTTGAAATAAAAAGGACACAAGTATGGGTTACATGTGATTAATGTTTGCCTGTGCTTTACACAAGCATGGCATGCTAGTTTACCTGTTAATATCCATTATATTAAACATCATATCCAAGTTCTACCTTCCACTGTCAACCCAAACAAACACTTTCCATTCAAACAATGACAACCACAACAACACAGAACAGTATATCAATTTATTATCCACAAACATGTTATTAATGTCCCCATTGACGTATATCTAACCAAATGAAATATTCCACTGTCATGCACAGGCTTCAATATTCTTTACAACTTTTAGACATGATACAAAAAAATAATAATTTATTTCAATGAATTATATTCATCTTCCGCATGCAAACATCACAATATTCATATCACAGCTTTCATAACTGTTCATAAATGGAATCCAACATACGAATGTCAGACAAGCCAACTGAGCACAGGAAAACAAAGGGACAATCAGTAAAATGTCATTTACAATCTGTCAAATCAGCTTCTTGCTTGGCATGATATTTTCACAATACCCCACAAACTCATTAACCATGTTACCAAAATCCCCATTAAATATTATATTCACAGCAGTAACATATTTCAGGGTCAACATGTGACCAGTCCAAGCTGAATATGGACAACACCATTTGCACCTGAGGTCAATACTCCTCAGGTCTGTATGGGGCTTGATATAGTGACAGTGAGAGTATGGTTTTACGCCACTTTTAGCAATATTACAGCAATATTACAGCAATATCATGGCGGGGGACACCAGAAATGGGCTTCACGCATGATACTCATGTGGGAATTGAACCCGGGTCTTCTGCGTGACAATCAAACGCTTTAACCACAAGGCTACCCCACCGCCCTGGGACTTGATATAACTGATATGACCCACCAATGTGAGCTAGCTAATGTAAACTGTGATATTGAAACTTGTAATGAGATCTAGAAAACATACCATACCACATATTGAAACTAAATCTCCTAATATTAAGTATTAAATTGCACATACTTTTATCAGACTACAAATACTCTGTATAACATATACTGAGGGAAACAAATAAGGGAACACCACTTCATGGCAGGGTTCCTTTATTTATTCTCAGATTTCCTCCCACAGCGCTATTCAAAGCTGGTGATGAAAACTGGAATATATTAAAGGAACACTTAAATTTTCCTGTGTTCCTTTATTTGTTTCTGTCAGTATATTTCTGCCTGCATGTCTACACAGACCTGACCTTCAAATTCTCTATAAAACTATTAAACTTGTGGTCTGCTACAAACTGGATAATGAAATAGCTTACCAAGTGAACTCAACTTGCAAATATACATTATAACAACCATCACATAGAAGAACAGATTATCATTCATTTCAGAGTCAAATCAACAATTGTATTGACTTGATTTAATAGATGAATCAGCAATTGTATTTGGCATGGTTTGTTTAACAGTAAATAAAAACGTTTGCTCAAAAATAGTTTATTTAATACTGTGTGAGTAGAAAATTCTTCCTCAGTTCCTTGGGAAGCGACTCTTTCAGGAAACATTTGTTCTGCATATTCCCTACATTTCTAAGTCTATAGGGAAATAGTATTTACATTTTACACTTGCTACAGCAATCCTCACAGGTGTGGACATTTGGAGTCTATTGGGCAGACACCAATATTTACACTGGTGGTTACAAAATACATACATATCATTCAGAGTATTTAAATCAATGAAAATACATCCCACCGGCGAGAAAATACAACTTAATATTATTTTTTTATCTTATTCAGGAATTCAAACAAAACAAATTTGAGTGTGAAATCTATTAGCAAAATTCTTGTCAATTAAATGCACTAGATTTGATAAAGCATGAAAATACATCAATCCCATCATAGATAAAAAGACAAATACCCACGCATTAAATACTAGCTGTATTGCAGGTTTCTATGTACAAATATTCATCATAACAAGCCTGGGGTATATCTGGCATTATAAACTAAGAGCCCGAGAAAACCAAACCGGGGCAAGAATCATTATTTTTTTACAGTTATTTTCTTTGGTTGTGAGATATTTAAGCACTTATAACCCCTTCTTCTGTATTGTGAGATACGGTGTGTGATTGAGTATGCTGTGATTGTGATTGCTTTTATGTCGCTTTTCACAATATTCAAACAATATCACGGCTAGGGGACACCAGAAATGGGCTTCACACATTGTACCCATGTGGGGACACAAACTCCAGATCCTCACCATGGATAGCCCGAAAGCTTGATAGCCCACTGTGTCTACCCCTCATAGTCCCGATTGGACCACACCCTGGATAGCCCGACTGGGACACACCCTGGATAGCCCGACTGGGACACACCCTGGATAGCCCGACTGGGACACACCCTGGATAGCCCGACTGTGACACACCCTGGATAGCCCGACTGGGACACACCCTGGATAGCCCCACTGGGACACACCCTGGATAGCCCGACTGGGACACACCCTGGATAGCCCCACTGGGACACACCCTGGATAGCCCGACTGGGACACACCCTGGATAGCCCCACTGGGACACACCCTGGATAGCCTGACTGTGACACACCCTGGATAGCCAGAATACCCTTTAAACTAACAGCATGTACAAGTGAACACATAAATCTACAGTCATGAGTGAGCGAGTTTAGCTTTACACTGATTTTAGCAATACCCCAGCAACTTCACAGCGGGGGACACCAGAAATGGGCTTCATATATTGTACCCATGTGGGGAATCGAACTCGGGTTTTCAGTGTGATGAGTCAACACTTTAACTACTAGGCTACCCCTCCGCCTGGACAGTCATGATAAATATAACAGCTTCATAATAGACCTACTGGCAAACAAGGATAAGTTGGACCGGCGCAGAGAAGGCGTTTACGATAAGTAGGCGGTGTATGGCAGTGAGCAAACCCATGTGGTGTGTGAAAGGTAGAGCAGATGTAGGCTAGTGCATGTGCATAGCATGACGATGAAATTGATTCTGCGAGTAGCTGCACACGTCTTGCTCTAAGGACTCTCACGTCTGTGTAGCAAGTTGCACTACACTTGATCGCGGACAACCTTGGGCCCCTTCGCTAACAATGGCAATCGCCAGTGGGCGGCACTCATACATGCTACTATGGGTCAATTGTCAGGTCGGTGCTCAATTTATCCTTGTTTGCAGTAAAACATGTGACAGCAGTGAATTGGAACATGTACTCTACATTATTCATTCAATATAAATTCAATAATTCAAACTGCCAAACAAATTTCGGTCCCACAGGATACACTGTGAATGATGTGCACGCGTTCTCACTTTGAATGTGTATAGATGTGTGAGCAAAAACATGTTACATTAACAATACTACAACAAGAGCTGGAGCCATTGATTGATTTCACTCAGTCAGCGGAATCTACAATAATGATGTTGATTTTTTCAAACAATCATAGCTGTCCAGATGTTATAGAATGATACAAATCACATTCCGCTGCACACTGCAATGGTTGGGGTATTTTTTCATATGTCACCCACAATAATAATATAGGACTATGCGGCTTACATCTACATCATCTATAAATTCAATAATTAGAACAGCAAAACATTTTCCTGTGCCGGATTTTCACTGCAAATTATTTGCACTCATTCTCAATTTGAATTTGTATAAGACATGACATTTGGTACTGTGTAAAACCCTGATTGTGGAAATAAGATTCATGTCAGATTCTCAGATCTGTGTCAAATTGTCTATAAATGGTTGATTTTACAATGACGTGGCAGACTGAGTTATACATAAACATCATAAAACAGGGACAGATTCAAGTTGTTTGTTATGAGTTTACATAACTGTTACTAAACATGTTTGGCAGATGGTTCTTTATATACAAAACAATGAAAATGTACAGTTATATGGTGATATGTTTGTAAAACTCAAGCTCATCAAAACAGTTCAAATCAAGCAAATAGTTCTTTGTGAAACTGTCAAATGCAAAGTATTGTTTGTGAAAATTGAATGTTTTCTTCAAAATCAAAAGATACATACTAAGTTACAAAATTACCATTTAGGCAGGAAATGTCAATCAATTTTGAAAGGGTTATTTAAGAAAACCCCAGTAAATTGAAAATATCATTTGAAAATGATGCTTATGATTCTGGGTGCATGCTTAGAAAAAACCTTTCCAGTCATTTCTTGTTCCAAAAGAACATGGCAAATTCAGTTTCAATAATACATCAACTTGGAACATCAAACCCCTAAATCCTGGAGAAACCAAGGGAGGCAACTCTGCATGATCAATTATAGTTCCCATACTGATACAGAAATACATGTACTTCAATACAAAATACATAACGATACACCTTGAAGTCTACTTGACTCTGGCATACTGATTTCCAAGAGACTGGCAAAGGACACACATAACTCTAATGAAGTGAAAACATCCAGAACAAAATATATTGACAGTTTTCATGGAATTGTGAGTGACATACCTTCAAGTGTAGACATTAAGTAGTGACCTGATAATCAACAGGCAGCACATCTCACAACATATGAAGCACCATTTGCGAAAGCCACACTTTCTAAAAATTTTGAAATCATTCATTTTCAAACTATCCAACTAACACTTTCACTGATTCATTCTAGAACACTACCAAATGAAGCAAAAGGTTTTATTGCTCGATAATTAGCAACATGAAAACAAGCTTGATTGATGGCCTCAGGGAAAACAATAGATGGATGGAGTAAGCGACTCAGATATTACACCACTTTTAACAATATTCCAGCAATATCACGGCAGGGGACACCAGAAATGGGCTTCACACATTGTATCCATGTGGAGAATCGAACCCGGGTCTTTTACCCCATGTGGATGGAACTATAGCAGTAAACACATCACTGTACAGTGAGTGAGTGAGTGAGTGAGTGAGTTTAGTTTCACGCCGCTTGTAGCAATATAACGGCAGGGGACACCAGGAGTGAGTGAGAATGGTTTAACACCGCTTTTAGCAATATTCCAGCAATATCATGGCGGATGACACCAGAAATGGGCTTCACACACTGTACCCATGTGGGGAATCGAACCCGGGTCATTTACCACTAGGCTACCCCACCACTGCTGAAAGGAATGCTGAAGTGAATGCAGGTCGTTGACATGACCACTATGGTGAAAGCCACAGGAACGTGGATGTGCCAGCACACCAAGGTCATGAGCCGACTGACAACTATTACAAACAGACCCTTGCTGCTCGTGACTGACTGAAGTAGGAGAAGTTGCTGTTAACATAATATCAATTACATCATGGCATGAAAGAATCATGGTGGATGAAATTCTGAAGTGATGCAGGCGTCAGACGTTCCCCACCTCGGTGAAGCCGGCACGGGCAGGGTGTTGACAAACCTAGGGGCATAATCCGAGAACCAGGATTTCGAAATCATGATCCTAGGTTTGTGGGAAGTCTAAGGGAAGCAACTCTGCAAAGCAAATTATGGTGCCTTAGACGACAAGGTTGTCCACATCCCTAGCTGTTAATGAACCCACTCCTGTTTCATATTCTGTACGATCCCAGTGTAAACAGAAGAGTAACTACAAAATGACATGCGATGATTGTGTTCCCAATGACTTTTTGCTCTCAATCACCTCAATTGTTTATCACGTAAGTTACTTTCGTCATGACTGTCCACCATTAGAAATAAATACATTTGTATATATGTGAAACCAATGGATGTGACACAAGCAGAAAAATAAATAACCCTCTGTCGTGAAGTTAGTTTGAGGTTTCAATGAGACGATGACATATTATGATGTGGTCATGAGCATTTACGATCAATGGTTATGGAAAATATACATCTAGTCCTCATTCCAGCAGGTCGTCATCGCTGTCGTCATGGTAACTTCGGACTTGTGCCGTCGTCTGTATCGTAGTGTCTGTAGATGTATTGGGCAGAGTTGTGATATCATTGTCATGGTCCATGAAGAAGTCTTCATCCACTTCTGGGTCCTCATCATCTTGGGTCAACTGGAAAGTGAGTGAGTGAGTGAGTGAGTGAGTGAGTGATTTGGGTTAAGGCTTCAGCTGCTTCATTACCTGTCTGATTAGTGAGGGAAGAAAGACCGGGGAGCTACAGTTCTCTTCACTTTCATGCGATCATGACATGATATAGGTGCAGACAGACCAATAATTACTATCACAGTGCATCTGTGAATTAAACTTGTGGTACAACTTGTAAGGACTTCATTTAAAGAAATGAGTAAGTGAGTTTAGTTTTACGCTGCTGGACGTCACCACAACAGGCTGTATCTTCATCCTTTGTCTGTTGGACTTGTTTCAGGTACAAACTATACCCCAGTGTGATAGGGTATCTATTATAAACTATATTTAGACAAATGGGCTACATGTTCTTCTAAAGTGTTGTGTTACTCACCATTGAATACTTGATGTGCCTTTCAGTCCGTGTGTGACATCTGCATGTTCTTTTAACTCGGGATGCAAAAGCAGCTCTGAAAAGAAGTGAGGTGTTCACAAATGACTAGGATGTCATATCAATGAACTGCACACACTGGCATCCAAGTCCAGCTGTATTCCTAAGCACTCATAACAGGAAACAGTTGATTTTTGAATGCATTACACATAACTTCACTTCATTCAAAGACATGCACTTTGTCTTAATATTTCTCCCACAAGCATTCCAGTATATATCATGAGATGACTTAAATAGGCCCATCTTTTCAATCTGAGGTATAAAATCTATCAAGACAATTACTGCATTACTGTGAGATACATCATATTTATTCTGAAAGAAAATTCCGTCTTCGGTAAATTCCAAAACTTCTCTAACATTTCTTGACAATGTGTTGCAATTTTTCCAGAATGTGTGGCATAATCTGCAACTGAACAATGAGTGTGACATTCTTAGAATGTCCTGTAAAATACAACGACATTAAATCAGCTTCGCTTTCGGTGCTATGACTTTTTTTTGACTACATCACAAAGCTCAGTTTTCCATTCTACAGAACTCTACTAATTGTGCATCCTTTGGGACAAAACACTACAAAAATTTGTTCCATTTTCAAGGATTTTAGTTTGAAAACTGATTGTAGGATATCTGCCTACAAGAATGTATTGTGTCTCTTTGAATTTGTTCAAATATTATTGTGAAAACTGTGGTTCCAGTACAAAACAAACATCTATGCAAATTAAAACCAAGTGGAATTATTAGACTGAACAGACTATATGACTATAACCTTCTGGCGCCGAACAGACAGCTTGGTGCCACACTGACTGCTAAGTGTATTGGGTGGACGTACCTCCTCTCTGGTTTATGGAAGACAATGAGGATGATGCAGATGACTATCACTGACAGGAACACGGAGATGATGACGCCCACTGTCTTGGGCTTGATGCTGCTGGACTTGCCGCCATTACTTGCAGTCCCCTCATTGACAGCGCCATTGACAGCTGGATGCTGGATATCTCTGTACCACAGACAAGGACATGACATGTGACCCAATGGAGAGACACAATCACAAATCCTGATGTGTGACTCAAGAACATTTCCTGCTGTGTGACCTAATGGTGACCATGGTGTTGCCTTGTGTGTGATGGAACGGTGTTGCACGATATGTGATGGAATGATGTGACCCTATGTATTTGTCTGGTGTATGACCTAATACGGTCACCAAATAGTAGGGGTGACTATTAAGGGGAAACAACTATTGGGATAGCGATAGTCTACTGCAACATACTATTGCAATAGTTTTCTTCTCCTTGAATTGTCTTCTTTGACATCATTTCCCAAATGAATGTATTGTTTACATAAAATAGTTCAAAATAAGCTTGCATATTCTACAAGCCACACATTTCTCACCCTCATTCCCAGTTTCTTTGAGCTTCAAAACCCCAAAATGTCCTCAAGCATTTTTATTCACAATTTCAAACTCCGAGTTGCATGCCATGTTTGCTGCCATGTTTGTTTAAGTGGTAACAAGGGCGGATAACTCTAAATCAAAGTGAACGAATCTGATACTTCCTGTGATTGGTGCTGCCCATTTATCAATGGAAGTCTATTACTAAACTATCGATAGTCACACATACCATCAATAGTCTTTCGTTTCTACTATCGATTAATTGCTATCAGAGACTCAACAGTTGCAATCTATCGATAGTTTGATGCATCGTTACAGCCCTACCAAACAGTGTTACCCAATGTGTGACCGAAAGGTGTTCCACAATGTGTGAATCTGGTGTGGCCCACTGGTGTTCTCAGAGGTGAGACCCTATGTGTTACCCAACGTGTGACCGAAAGGTGTTCCACAATGTGTGAATCTGGTGTGGCCCACTGGTGTTCTCAGAGGTGAGACCATATGTGTTACCCAACGTGTGACCTAAAGGTGTTCCACAATGTGTGAATCTGGTGTGGCCCACTGGTGTTCTCAGAGGTGAGACCATATGTGTTACCCAACGTATGTGACCTAAAGGTGTTCCACAATGTGTGAATCTGGTGTGGCCCACTGGTGTTCTCAGAGGTGAGACCATATGTGTTACCCAACGTGTGACATAAAGGTGTTCCACAATGTATGAATCTGGTGTGGCCCACTGGTGTTCTCAGAGGTGAGACCCTATGTGTTACCCAACGTGTGACCTAAAGGTGTTCCACAATGTGTGAATCTGGTGTGGCCCACTGGTGTTCTCAGAGGTGAGACCATATGTGTTACCCAACGTGTGACATAAAGGTGTTCCACAATGTATGAATCTGGTGTGGCCCACTGGTGTTCTCAGAGGTGAGACCCTATGTGTTACCCAACGTGTGACCTAAAGGTGTTCCAAAATGTGTGAATCTGGTGTGGCCCACTGGTGTTCTCAGAGGTAAAACCCTATGTGTTACCCAAAATGTGACTTACACAACCGCAGAGAAGCAGACAGCATCGGTGTCCCATTCAAACAGGTAGAAACAGTTGCGGGACTTGTACGTCAGGGTAGGTTCACTCTGAAATGAATGCAGGGTCCTTTAATATAGCAATACTACCTAAACACACGTTCAATAAGAAGCAGGTGAACTGGATACAGTCTTTCACTATTACATTACAACAGTGGGTGCCACACAGTGTACATAGTGTATGCTATAAGTTCAAAGAGCTCACCTTATTTTTCAATATGTCACAGTTAAACACAATAGCAGAGGTGACATTTTTGGCTAGTCTGTGCCCATCTCTACCGACACACAAGTCTGGTGAAGTGTACTCGACCTCCAGCTGATCATCTGAAACAGTCAGGAACATCTGCACTGACACACTACCAGTCTGTTGGTCAGATAACTGAATACTTTCATGTGGCCATCATCAATATCAATGGTCTAACATAGAAAAAGAATAGTAATGGAATACATTACAAGTTTAAAAAATTAAAATGTGAAAGGCTGCAACTTCTGCATCATGATTAACTAAAAATATCAAAACATCTTAGGACAAAAAGCAACATGTTTTAGGCCACTGGAACATGAACTTAAATCTTGTCTATCAAATATTTGGATTGCCTATTTCTAAAATCTTCTAAATTTCCATGTCATATGAAGCTTGCTCTCTTTCACCATAATGACCTGTCTCACAACTGGCATTGTTGGTGGGGAAAATAGAAAATGTTCCTCAAACATCAGTCTTGTTTTCATGAAAAGAAAAGCCACCAAAACCTATCACCCTCATCTCATATGGAAAACTGGCCTGAAAAACCATATAATGTTTCACATGCAGTCTGACCTTTAAAGTAGTACTTCCTGCTGCTGAATGTGCCGAGGTTGTTGTTGACGTTGGAGTCCTGCGGTTTCCGCTGACAAACCGCCGCCCCGACACAGGACCCGGCTGAGGTCCCCTCCAGCTTGCCCTCCAGGCTGATTGAGTATGTGAAGTTGTCCTTGCTCATCTCACGTGCGACGTGGTCGCTGGAGAACACACAAGGCATTGCCACTATCACCAAGCAGTTGAAGTTAAAATATACTTGTCTAGTAACCCAAATCTACTGACTAGTCAGAACTGATCCTACATCAATCTTTGAGCTGATGGAGTATGTGGAGTTGTCCTTGCTCATCTCACGTGCTGATTTGGTCGCTGGAGAACACACAAGGTATCGCCACTATCACCAAGCAGTTGAAGTTTAAATATACTTGTCTAATACCGCAGATCTAACATCTTGTCAGAACTGATCCTACATTAATCTTTGAGCTATGCATGTCTCTTTGATTTTCTGTTCTTTTTGAACATAAAGACAGAAGTCAAGGTGAGCGAGTAAGAGACTTCTTACAGGACGTAGCGGCAATCACATGAACAGCAAAATCTTTCAGTGGGTGCAGCTTTTTCTCTCGCTTCATTCAGTAGTGAAACATTAATCTACTACAACAGATGGTACATATCTGCTTGTAGCTCGGTCAGAAACCATCAGTAACAATCATCTGTTCAGGTGAGCGTGTGTACATACCGATGTGTGGCTGAGAGTTTCTTGATGTCTACCATGCCACTTGACCGGGGGTCTATGACGATACCGTTTTTGTCCTGGACTGCCTCCATCAGCCTGTAGACAGTCATACACAAGCTACACTCACACTGGTAGAGCACTGGTCACTTACAACAAGATCAATGGTCACTTACAACATACTGACAGGTCACTTACAACAAGATCAATGGTCACTTACAACATACTGACAGGTCACTTACAACATACTGACAGGTCACTTACAACATACTGACAGGTCACTTACAACAAGATCAATGGTCACTTACAACATACTGACAGGTCACTTACAACATACTGAGAAGTCACTTACAACATACTGACAGGTCACTTACAACATACTGACAGGTCACTTACAACATACTGACAGGTCACTTACAACAAGATCAATGGTCACTTACAACATACTGACAGGTCACTTACAACATACTGACAGGTCACTTACAACATACTGACAGGTCACTTACAACATACTGAGAAGTCACTTACAACATACTGACAGGTCACTTACAAGAAGATCATCCGTTCAAACACAAACACTGGCTGTGTGCTAGTACTGTAATGTGTACTGACATAGAAGCCCACACCACATGGTGTACTCACAGAGAAGCCGATCCCACATGGTGTAGTGATAGAGAAGCCCATTCTACATAGTGTACTGACATAGAAGCCCATCCCACACGGTGTACTGACAGAGAAGCCCACACCACATGGTGTACTGACAGAGAAGCCCATCCCACATGGTGTACTGATAGAGAAGCCCATTCTACATAGTGTACTGACATAGAAGTCCATCCCACATGGTGTACTGACACAGAAGCCCATCCCACATGGTGTACTGACAGAGAAGCCCATCCCACATAGTGTACTGACAGAGAAGCCCATCCCACAGTGTACTGACAGAGAAGCCTATCCTATGTAGTGTACTGACAGAGAAGCCCATCCCACAGGGTGTACTGACATAGAAGCCAATCCCACACGGTGTACTGACACAGAAGCCCATCCCACATGGTGTACTGACATAGAAGCCCATCCCACACGGTGTACTGACATAGAAGCCGATCCCACATGGTGTACTGACAGAGAAGCCCATCCCACAGGGTGTACTGATATAGAAGCCCATCCCACATAGTGTACTGACACAGAAGCCCATCCCACAGTGTACTGACAGAGAAGCCCATCCCACATGGTGTACTGATAGAGAAGCCCATTCTACATAGTGTACTGACATAGAAGTCCATCCCACATGGTGTACTGACACAGAAGCCCATCCCACATGGTGTACTGACAGAGAAGCCCATCCCACATAGTGTACTGACAGAGAAGCCCATCCCACAGTGTACTGACAGAGAAGCCTATCCTATGTAGTGTACTGACAGAGAAGCCCATCCCACAGGGTGTACTGACATAGAAGCCCATTCCACACGGTGTACTGACACAGAAGCCCATCCCACATGGTGTACTGACATAGAAGCCCATCCCACACGGTGTACTGACATAGAAGCCGATCCCACATGGTGTACTGACAGAGAAGCCCATCCCACAGGGTGTACTGATATAGAAGCCCATCCCACACGGTGTACTGACATAGAAGCCCATCCCACACGGTGTACTGACATAGAAGCCCATCCCACACGGTGTACTGACATAGAAGTCCATCCCACACGGTGTACTGACAGAGAAGCCCATCCCTCATGGTGTACTGACAGAGAAGCCCATCCCACACGGTGTACTGACATAGAAGCCCATCCCACACGGTGTACTGACAGAAGCCCATCCCACACGGTGTACTGACAGAGAAGCCCATCCCACACGGTGTACTGACAGAGAAGCCCATCCCACACGGTGTACTGACAGAGAAGCCCATCCTACATGGCGTACTGACAGAGAAGCCCATCCCACATGGTGTACAATCTTTGCAGGGATTTCAGGCTTCAAGATGGGTGGTAGTCTTTAAATATCCAGAAGTTGGCAGACTAAGGAATTCAAGGAAAGGAATTCAGAGATGCATTTATATTCACTCACGTGTCTTTCTTGCAAGCCAATCTTGTTTTCCATTCAAATTCAAAGATACAGTCCTCGGTATTTCTTGCACTGAAAACATTCATGAAATGATCACCACGAACAAGGTGAGTGAGTGAGTCAGTTGGGTTCAGTACCCTTTGAACAGCATTTCTGTGTAACACTTTCCTGGAAGCAGGAATTTCGTGACACCTCAGACAACTGAGCCACAACTGTCCCTTATATATCATAGAAATTAAAGAAGAATTCTTGCTGTTTGAAACTTAATTTAGATAAAATACATTAACATTTTAAAAGAGAAGTATCAACCACCAATATGTAAACATACTACCAATGACGAAGATACCAACAATCAACTGATGGGACGTACCTTTCAATATATCGTGGGCCTCCCACCAGCTTATCACACCGGAACTTGATGATGGTTTTGGCCATGCGGTTGTTGCTGCGGCGCCGACTGTGAGAGCAGGCCGAGGCCCCCTGGGAGTACTCCAAGACAATAGTCTTCCCATCAGCTGTGGATGGAACAGTTGTGTTAGGAAAGAAGTGACCAGAGATGTGCTGTTGTGCAGCAATTTCATCAAATAGTGACATGAAATACCCATCCCCACTGAGATTATTTATCTTTGGTTGATGTTAAAAACATACCATGTTGAGGCATAGTGTCAACAGCCTGTAAATAATGGAATCTGGACCAAACAGGTCAGTGATCGATGCGGTAAGCTACAATCCACACCATCAGGATATATAAATGGGACATTAACATGATACAAGGCTGTATTTGGTATTGAAACTGACAAGAATGTAAATCTATTCAGAGATTCTTTACAGCCTTTCTTGTCACAATGTCAATTCAAAGTCCTTGGAACCATGGGAAGTATACATCAAAAGTTAATTAATACGGTAAAATGACTGATTATCTTAACTAACCAATGTAACATATGTTATATTTGGGATTACAATTACTTAGTAAAGTACAGATTCTAGTATTTTTGTTGGGTTGAGTACCATTTGTGATTCAAACCCACACCCTCAGAGTCAGGCACCTAATCTCCAGAGCACAAAGCCAGCCATCTAACCCGCTCAGCCACCAAGACTTCCACAAATATGAAAGTAGGACAACTGGTAGTATAGACTGCAGAAGTTGTATATCCATAAAATGTCCTCATTCTTCATCTCCCCAACTTCTGGAATGCCAATCAAAGAAGTGATAATTGTCTACCATAATCTGGTTAACTTACCATCCATGTAGAGCCTCTGTGTTCGTACAGCTCCCAACATGTCGGTCATCTTGTCTGCAGTCTTCCGACAAACAGCCGAGTCCATGTGACAACCTTCACCTCGAGCCTGCCCATGGACTCCTTGGCAGATGTTCAAGAAATAACTGAAAAACAAAATGACGGAGTGAGTACCCTATTTTTGAGTATAGTGCCTAAATAATTACAACTTTGATAGAGAATGGATAAATATAAAATGCAGATACATAGCCTTTTTTCACCCCGATGAAAATAATTCAGAGCATGTAATACCAAATATCTTACTATCAGTCATCAAATCCATGATGACATATGCCAGTCATATCATTATACTATTTTGTATGTAGTAGAAGACGTACGTGTTTTTCTTGCTGTCTGTGTAGTTCCAGCTGCCGGTGTCGCGTGACAGTATCCCGAAGTCATACACAGTCCCATCATGCACTAGGGTACAGTCTTCAATGATGGGAGGACATATGAGGTTTGTCTTCCACATAAACAAGGCGGAACACTTGGCACTCTGCAACACGCCATCAGACATCCAATATCATCATGGGTATAATGGATTCAAAGTTGACAAAAATGAATTAAACACATTTGGCTTCTTAGCACAATGAAATCATTTTAAATTTGAAAATAGGCATCCATTATTGTTTGATGATATCAGTCATTGTGTGATGGCATCTATCATTGTTTGATGACATCAGTCACTGCATGATGGCAACTATTGTTGTTTGATGATATCAGTCATTGTGTGATGGCATCTATCATTGTGTGATGGCATCTATCATTGTTTAATGATATCAGTCATTGTGTGATGGCATCCATTATTGTTTGATGATATCAGTCAGTGTGTGATGGCATCCATCATTGTTTGATGATATCAGTCATTGTGTGATGGCATCTATCATTGTTTGATGATATCAGTCATTGTGTGATGGCATCTATCGTTTGATGATATCAGTCATTGTGTGATGGCATCTATCATTGTTTAATGATATCAGTCATTGTGTGATGGCATCCATCATTGTTTGATGATATCAGTCGTGTGATGGCATCCATTATTGTTTGATGACATCAGTCATTGTGTGATGGCATCCATCATTGTTTGATGATATCAGTCATTGTGTGACGGCATCCATTATTGTTTGATATCAGTCATTGTGCGATGGCATCCATTATTGTTTGATGATATCAGTCATTGTGTGATGGCATCTATCATTGTGATGGCATCTATCATTGTTTGATGATATCAGTCATTGTGTGATGACATCTATCACTGTTTGATGATATCAGTCGTTGTGTGATGGTATCCATTATTGTTTGATGATATCAGTCATTGTGTGATGGCATCTATCATTGTTTGATGATATCAGTCATTGTGTGATGGCATCCATTATTGTTTGATTAAATCAGTTATTGTGTGATGGCATTTATCATTGTTTGATGATATCAGTCATTGTGGGATGGCGTCAACTATTGTTTGATGATATCAGTCATAGTGTGATGGCAAACATTATTGTTTGATGATATCAGTCATTGTGTAATGGCATCCATTATTGTTTGAATGATATCAGTCATTGTGTGATGGCATCTATCATTGTTTGATGATATCAGTCATTGTGTGATGGCATTTTTCACTGTTTGATGATATCAGTCATTGTGTGATGGCATCCATTATTGTTTGATGATATTAGTCATTGTGTGATGGCATCTATCATTGTTTAATGATATCAGACATTGTGTGATGGCATCCATAATTGTTTGATGATATCAGTCATTGTGTGATGGCATTTATCACTGTTTGATGATATCAGTCATTGTGTGATAGCATCTATCATTGTTTAATGATATCAGTCATTGTGCGATGGCATCCATTATTGTTTGATGATATCAGTCATTGTGTGATGGCATCCATCATTGTTTGATGATATCAGTCATTGTGTGATGGCATTTATCACTGTTTGATGATATCAGTCATTGTGTAATGGCATCTATTGGTGTTTGATGATATCAGTCATTGTGTGATGGCATCTATCATTGTTTGATGATATCAGTCATTGTGTGATGGCATCCATTATTGTTTGATGATATCAGTCATTGTGTGATGGCATCCATTATTGTTTGATGATATCAGTCAGTGTGTGATGGCATCTATCATTGTTTGATGATATCAGTCATTGTGTGATGGCATCCATTATTGTTTGATGATATCAGTCATTGTGTGATGGCATCTATCATTGTTTGATGATATCAGTCATTGTGTGATGGCATCCATTATTGTTTGATGACATCAGTCATTGTGTGATGGCATCCATCATTGTTTGATGATATCAGTCATTGTGTGATGGCATCCATCATTGTTTGATGATATCAGTCATTGTGTGATGGCATCTATTGTTTGACGATATCGATGATATCAGTCATTGTGCGATGGCATCTATCATTGTTTGATCATATCAGTCATTGTGTGATGGCATCCATTATTGTTTGATGATATCAGTCATTGTGTGATGGCATCCATTATTGTTTGATGATATCAGTCATTGTGTGATGGCATCTATGATTGTTTGATGATATCAGTCAGTGTGTGATGGCATCCATTATTGTTTAATATCAGTCATTGTGTGATGGCATCTATCATTGTTTGATGATATCAGTCATTGTGTGATGGCATTTATCACTGTTTGATGATATCAGTCATTGTGTGATGGCATCCATCATTGTCTGATGATATCAGTCATTGTGTGATGGCATCTATCATTGTTTGATGATATCAGTCATTGTGTGATGGCATATATCATTGTTTGATGATATCAGTCATTGTGTGATGGCATCCATTATTGCGTCGATAATATCAGTCATTATGTGATGGCATCCATCATTGTTTGATGATATCAGTCATTGTGTGATGGCATCCATTATTGTTTGAATGATATCAGTCATTGTGTGATGGCATCCATTATTGTTTGAATGATATCAGTCATTGTGCGATGGCATCCATTATTGTTTGATGATATTAGTCATTGTGTGACGGCATTTATCATTGTTTGATGATATCAGTCATTGTGTGATGGCATCCATCATTGTTTGATGATATCAGTCATTGTGTGATGGCATCTATTGGTGTTTGATGATATCAGTCATTGTGTGATGCCATCTATCGTTGTTTGATGATATCAGTCATTGTGTGATGGCATCTATCATTGTTTAATGATATCAGTCGTTGTGTGATGGCATCCATCATTGTTTGATGATATCAGTCATTGTGTGATGGCATCCATTATTGTTTGATGATATCAGTCATTGTGATGGCATCCATTATTGTTTGATGATACCAGTCATTGTGTGATGGCATCTATCATTGTTTGATGATATCAGTTATTGTGCGATGGCATCCATTATTGTTTGATGATATCAGTCAATGTGAGATGGCATCTATCATGTTTGATGATATCAGTCATTGTGCGATGGCATCCATTATTGTTTGATTATACCAGTCAATGTGAGATGGCATCTATCACTGTTTGATGATATCAGTCATTGTGTGATGGCATCTATCATTGTTTGATTGTACCAGTCAATGTGAGATGGCATCCATCACTGTTTGATGATATCAGTCATTGCATGATGGCATCTATCATGTTTGATGATATCAGTCATTGTGCGATGGCATCCATCACTGTTTGATTACATTAGGCATGGTTTGATGTCATCAGTCAATCATAGTATTTCCAGACATATCATGTATGGTATGTTGCAAAAAACATATAGCAAAGCAAATAGTAACCAGTGACAACTTCTGTACATTGCCATGTGGAAAACCACCCCCTTCCTAAGTAGAACAAGCACTAAGAGATGGACAAGCTGTAACTTACTGGCCAGGACTGGGGCTTCCCATTGCCAGCGCTGTAGTCACACTGGAACAGAATCTCCGTCTTGGCCTGCACTTTCTGACCTGGATCAAAATAACAAGAAGAATGGTGATGCCAAATAGCCAAATATTGACTCCTTCAAACACACAGCTATTGCCAAAATTGCTTCACTAACAGAAAACCTCAGATATGTTACTGAAATTGAAATGATTTCACATTATTTCAGCCACACAGTGATCGAACAAATGACACAAATAGGCTTAGCACAACATTGTGATATATGTAACTCCCTATTGTGTAGCCTGTTATATATCTATATCAATAATTAGTTGTTTACTCATAGTACATTGTAACCCGAACCTCATGACATCATTCTCGTCACTATATGGCTGAAATATTGCCGATGTGACGTTAAATATTAACTCACTCACTCGTGACATCATTGACAAAAGCATCATGGTTCTTCTTCAACTGTTACTTGATTCAACAAGTTGTGTTCAATCCAATTTATACACACATAAAACGATGACAAAGACACGACATCGCCCTGTGAGATAGTCCCTCCAGGTCTGGTGGTATCTGCACCAAGTGATCATAGTTCTATGAATATCATAACCTAGACATTTTAATACTTACAAACTTAATACACCTACCAGTTCTGTTATCACGACCTTACCTCCGGCAACACACTGACTTCCTCCGGTCAGCAGCAACTTTAAGATCTCCCGACTCTCCATCATGAACATCCCCTTCCTGGCATCCCCATACGACACGCCGGTGTTGTGGTCAATATGGCAGCTGGACGAACCCGCACACCCGGGGTATTTGGGGTTGTTGATGGCACCACATGGCTGGATGTAGAAGCTGCCCCCTTGAGCTGGGTACACCTGAATACACATCGTACCATCATTGATCACATCAGGCAGGAATGGATATGTGAAGATCCGGGTTAGAACTGGTTTTCAGCAACCCATGCTTGTCGTAAGAGGCAACTAACAGGATCGGGTGATCAGACTCGCTGACTTGGTTGACACATGTCATTGTATCCCAATTGTCGAAGATCAATGCTTTGATGTTGATCACTGAATTGTCTGGTCCAGACTGGATTATTTACAGACAGCTGTCATTTAGCTGGGATATTGCTGAGTGCGGCATTAAACAACAAACCAACCAACCAGGCAGGAATACTCCATATCACTTGTGTGCAGCATCAGTAATTCATTTACATGAAGACTTATAATCTTGAAGTATGTTCGTTGTTTTACACTATACTTCACAATGCAGCCTATAAATATATGAAATAAATGTAAGTCTGAACCATAGTCCAGTGACCGATGATGTGAGAAACTGTCTAGCCACTGACATATGATGAGACACAATGTAAGTAACTAAACCAGGCCACACAATCCATTTGGTCGCCAGTTCCAGTCAGCATAGGCTACTGTGGAACTAATTCTTACCCTGATCCACCACACAGATAGCGTAACTGTCACAAGTAGTTGACCTGTACAGCACAGGAAAGCTTGTTTAAAATAGGCATAGTGCTGACTGACCAAACATCTGTACTTCATTGAAACCCAGCATCAATGCTCAGCAAAAGGTTTGAATCCCACACAAGGACCCAGCAACCTCATACCACTGGAATGTGAAGTGAACTTTGTATTTCTCAAACAGCTGGTGTAATGCTTTTATACAGAAGCTATGTCATCTTAATGTAGTGTCTACATCAACATTGAAGCCATGTGATACTTCATGATAGACAGTACATTCTGACAATGTACTGACAATATCTGCTAAAGTGTTCAACCTTCAGTTTTTTAAGTGAGAGCACACGGTGCATATGGAGTGAATATGGTTATCTCACCGGAACTGGGGTGCTGAGGGCACTGATGTCGTAGTGCTGTCCGGTGCTGGGGTCGTTGTACGTGCATGTCGATGTCTCCGTGCTGACCTGGTTATCCTGACAGGCCAGGTTGGTATACCACATAAACACGTAGTCGCAGTCATCGGCGACCAACTCAAACTTGGGCTCTCCCTGGAAGCGACAAAAGTGTTGACATCAATGGGGTAGGTTACAATAGTGTTGACATCAGTGGGGCAGGTTACAATAGTGTTGACATCAGTGGGGCAGGTTACAATAGTGTTGATATCAGTGGGACAGGTTACAAAAGTGTTGACATCAGTGGGGCAGGTTACAACAGTGTTGACATCGGTGGGGCAGGTTACAACAGTGTTGACATCAGTTGGGCAGGTTACAACAGTGTTGACATCAGTGGGGCAGGTTAGAATGGTCATGACATGAGTGGGGCAGGTTACAATAGTGTTGACGTCAGTGGGGCAGGTTACAATAGTGTTGGCGTCAGTGGGGCAGGTTACAATAGTGTTGACATCAGTGGGGCAGGTTACAACAGTGATGACATCAGTGGGGCAGGTTACAATAGTGTTGACATCGGTGGGGCAGGTTACAATAGTGTTGACATCAGTGGGGCAGGTTACAACAGTGTTGACATCAGTGGGGCAGGTTACAATAGTGTTGACGTCAGTGGGGCAGGTTACAACAGTGTTGACATCGGTGGGGCAGGTTACAACAGTGTTGACATCGGTGGGGCAGGTTACAACAGTGTTGACATCAGTGGGGCAGGTTACAACAGTGTTGACATCAGTTGGGCAGGTAACAATAGTGTTGACGTCAGTGGGGCAGGTTACAACAGTGTTGACATCAGTGTGGGGCGGTGGGGTAGCCTAGTGGTTAAAGCGTTGGCTCGTCACGCCGAGGATCCGGGTTCGATTCCCCACATGGGCACAATGTGTTGAAGCCCATTTCTGGTGTGTTGGCCAGCCAATAGTGATATTGCTGGAATATTGCTAAAAGCGGCGTAAAACTAAACTCAGTCAGTCAGTCAGTCAGTTGACATCAGTGGGGCAGGTAACAATAGGTTACAATAGTGTTGACATCAGTGGGGCAGGTTACAATAGTGTTGACATCAGTGGGGCAGGTTACAATAGTGTTGACATCAGTGGGGCAGGTTACAACAGTGTTGACATCAGTGGGGCAGGTTACAACAGTGTTGACATCAGTGGGGCAGGTTACAATAGTGTTGACATCAGTGGGGCAGGTTACAACAGTGTTGACATCAGTGGGGCAGGTAACAATAGGTTACAATAGTGTTGACATCAGTGGGGCAGGTTACAATAGTGTTGATATCAGTGGGACAGGTTACAATAGTGTTGACATCAGTGGGGCAGGTTACAACAGTGTTGACATCAGTGGGGCAGGTTACAACAGTGTTGACATCAGTGGGGCAGGTTACAATAGTGTTGACATCAGTGGGGCAGGTTACAAAGGTTAGTGTTGACGTCAGTGGGGCAGGGGGCAGGTTACAAGAGTGGTCATGACATCAGTGGGGCAGGTTACAATAGTGTTGAGGTTACAACAGTGTTGACATCAGTGGGGCAGGTTACAATAGTGTTGACATCAGTGGGGCAGGTTACAACAGTGTTGACGTCAGTGGGGCAGGTTACAATAGTGTTGACATCAGTGGGGCAGGTTAGAATGGTCATGACATCAGTGGGGGGCAGGTTACAATAGTGTTGACGCAGTCAGCAGGGGCAGGTTACAACAGTGTTGACATTACAATAGTGGGGCAGTGGGGCAGGTTACACAACAGTGTTGACATGTCAGTGGGGCAGGTTACAAGTAGTGCAGTGCGTGGGCAGGTTGACATCAGTGGGGCAGGTTACAACAGTGTTGACATCAGTGGGGCAGGTTACAACAGTGTTGACATCAGTGGGGCAGGTTACAATAGTGTTGACATCAGTGGGGCAGGTTAGAATGGTCATGACATCAGTGGGGCAGGTTACAATAGTGTTGACGCCAGTGGGGGTTAGGTTACAACAGTGTTGACGGTTACAATAGTGTTGACCAGTGGGGCAGGTTAGAATGGTCATGACATCAGTGCAGGCAGGTTACAACAGTGTTGACATCAGTGGGGCAGGTTACAATAGTGTTGACATCAGTGGGGCAGGTTACAACAGTGTTGACATCAGTGGGGCAGGTTACAACAGTGTTGACGTCAGTGGGGCAGGTTACAATAGTGTTGACATCAGTGGGGCAGGTTACAATAGTGTTGACGTCAGTGGGGCAGGTTAGAATGGTCATGACATCAGTGGGGCAGGTTACAACAGTGTTGACGTCAGTGGGGCAGGTTAGAATGGTCAAGTTAGTGACATCAGTGGGGCAGGTTACAAATAGTGTTGACGTCAGTGGGGCAGGTTACAGTGTTGACATCAGTGGGGCAGGTTACAATAGTGTTGACGTCAGTGGGGCAGGTTAGAATGGTCATGACATCAGTGGGGCAGGTTACAACAGTGTTGACGTCAGTGGGGCAGGTTACAACAGTGTTGACATCAGTGGGGCAGGTTACAATAGTGTTGACGTCAGTGGGGCAGGTTACAATAGTGTTGACGTCAGTGGGGCAGGTTACAATAGTGTTTACGTCAATGGGGCAGGTTTCAACAGTGTCAAGAGACCTTCAGTCTCAGACTGCTGAGTATCCAGAGAGACTAGTTCAAAATGAAGATGTTACACAATTATCCACTAGTCAAAGTGAGTAGCAAACTAGTTTAATGTGACCAATGGTGTCACACCTGCACACAGATTGTGATGCCTAAGGATGTGGTTACATTATTTGGTCTTGACTTAATTGATGCTGTTCAAAACTCATTAAACTGTGTTAGCTAAAGATACTTAAAATGTCTTTTGAATGATGAAGCCAACTTGCTGGTACTCCCAACTGTTATGTCGCCATTATATTGTTCGACTTCACTTGGGGTAGGAAAAGAATGAATTAAACTCACACGTGACGTGCCGGCTTTACAGGTGAAGATGATATGGGTTGTGATGTTCCTACTGGGGTCCTTTGTGCACTTGCTGCCATTCACATATGCCAAGGTCACCTTTCCATTCACGGAGTCCACATACGGGCCTTTAGCCAGGTGACCCAAACTCTGAAACACCACAGTGAATTAGGACCATCGGATGCTTGATCTATTCACGTGAATACACACAGAAAATAAACACACAAGCAGTAAAAGGTGGAGCTGTACATCATGTTCATAGAAATAGTCATTTCTTGGAAAATGCATTCTCCATACTATGTCAAATGAACTAAGCGAAGCTGTGTTTTATCTTTGGGCACAGTTACATACATACAACAAAGAATTTTATCTTACAGGTGGATACAGTTACATACATACCAGAGTTTTATCTTACAGATGGGCACAGTTACATACATACCAGAGTTTTATCTTACAGATGGGCACAGTTACATACATACCAGAGTTTTATCTTACAGGTGGGCACAGTTACATACACACCACATGAGTTTTATCTTACAGATGGGCACAGTTACATACATACCAGAGTTTTATCTTACAGATGGGCACAGTTACATACATACCAGAGTTTTATCTTACAGATGGGCACAGTTACATACATACCAGAGTTTTATCTTACAGATGGGCACAGTTACATACATACCAGAGTTTTATCTTACAGGTGGGCACAGTTACATACACACCACAGGAGTTTTATCTTACAGATGGGCACAGTTACATACATACCACAGGAGTTTTATCTTACAGGTGGGCACAGTTACATACATACCAGAGTTTTATCTTACAGGTGGGCACAGTTACATACACACCACATGAGTTTTATCTTACAGATGGGCACAGTTACATACATACCACATGAGTTTTATCTTACAGGTGGGCACAGTTACATACATACCAGAGTTTTATCTTACAGGTGGGCACAGTTACATACACACCAAATGAGTTTTATCTTACAGGTGGGCACAGTTACATACATACCAGAGTTTTATCTTACAGATGGGCACAGTTACATACATACCACAGGAGTTTTATCTTACAGGTGGGCACAGTTACATACATACCAGAGTTTTATCTTACAGATGGGCACAGTTACATACACACCACAAGAGTTTTATCTTACAGGTGGGCACAGTTACATACACACCACAGGAGTGTTATCTTACAGGTGGGCACAGTTGCATACATACCAGAGTTTTATCTTACAGGTGGGCACAGTTACATACACACCACAGGAGTTTTATCTTACAGGTGGGCACAGTTACATACATACCACAGGAGTGTTATCTTACAGGTGGGCACAGTTACATACATACCAGGAGTTTTATCTTACAGGTGGGCACAGTTACATACATACCAGAGTTTTATCTTACAGGTGGGCACAGTTACATACACACCACAGGAGTGTTATCTTACAGGTGGGCACAGTTACATACATACATGAGTTTTATCTTACAGATGGGCACAGTTACATACATACCAGAGTTTTATCTTACAGATGGGCACAGTTACATACATACCATAGTTTTATCTTACAGGTGGGCACAGTTACATACACACCACAGGAGTGTTATCTTACAGGTGGGCACAGTTACATACATACCACAGGAGTGTTATCTTACAGGTGGGCACAGTTGCATACATACCAGAGTTTTATCTTACAGATGGGCACAGTTACATACACACCACATGAGTTTTATCTTACAGGTGGGCACAGTTACATACACACCACATGAGTTTTATCTTACAGGCGGGCACAGTTACATACATACCACAAAGAGTTTTATCTTACAGGTGGGCACAGTTACATTGAGTTTTATCTTACAGGCGGGCACAGTTACATACATACCACAAAGAGTTTTATCTTACAGGTGGGCACAGTTACATACACACCACATGAGTTTTATCTTACAGGCGGGCACAGTTACATACACACCACAAAGAGTTTTATCTTACAGGTGGGCACAGTTACATACATACCACATAGAGTTTTATCTTACAGGTGGGCACAGTTACATACATACCACAAAGAGTTTTATCTCCCTTTATAGCTAAAATGAATGGAATCATCATGAACCGTATCAGTTCTTTGTCAAATAATGTCACAGTATTGTGTTGTTCTGGCAACCTAATGACGGTCCATAATGACATCATAAATCTTGTTCCATGACCTAACATTGTTGGGTCAACAGCCCGTTTTGTGTTGTTTCAAGTAAACTTACAATTAAATTTATGATACTGTTTTGTCTTTTTGGACACAAATTCTATCCATTTTAGCCTCCTTTGTCAGGCAGTTAACTGAAGACCTAGAGCTTCAGCGTTAACCTGATACTATCATACAGTGGACACAGGTGGATAGTCACATACATACCAGAGGAGATTTATCTCCCTCTACCCTACAGGCGGCTGATCCTGGTGGGCACAGTTTCCCCTGTATGGGGTTCAGCGGTCGGCAGATGTTGATGTAGTAGGTGGTGCCAGAGTTTGCCCCTGGCATCATGGTGATGGCGACATGATGTCCCGATGCCTTGATGAGTGGAGACAGGTCGACCTTGTAACTGCCACTTGGGCCCTGTGTTTCCACGCTGCACTCTACCTGAATGTGGAAATTGGCAGGGTCAATATTAGTGCTACAAACTAGTTTCTTTCGTGGCAACACATGTTTACACAGCATACTCACAGAGAAAAATTGTATTACTTGACATCTGAATATCAGTTCCATATCTGTTAAAGTCCTAGTCTAAGAAAACTTAGGCTCAGTATTATTCGTTACATTGCTATACTGAGTACTCCAGTAGAAGGTCATGTCAGCTAACCTTCAAGCGACCTATGACCGTCCAACCAAACATGAGATGGACGAACGGATTTAACCAATCAGGCAACGGCTACTATTCACGGTTTGGCGAGACTTACTAAATGGATTTTATCTTCCCTGGTTGCTGACACTGATCTCTCAACAAATGAAAATCTGCAAAAACCACAGATACTTGATCTGATATACGCTTAGGGGTTTCTGATGACATGCTTACTATTAGCTTATATTTCCGCAAGATGACATCCTGGAATACTGACAAAACGCTATTTTCAGCAACTGTTTACGCACTGTTGTGAATAATGGCGTCCTCCATGTTTATCACTTGGAAGTGATCGTGCGGAAAATAGCATTCTGAATTGTTCGAGTTCAAACGTTTTCGAGGTAAAAGTTCAAACGGTATGTGCACTTTCGTGATTTGGTAAGCTGTGTTCTGATTGGTCAATTCAAATATTTAGCTGACTCAACCTTCTACTAGGGTTTGTTAGACTCATTATAGCTGTGTAACGAATACTACTGAGCATAAGTTTATTTAGACTGGTTAAAGTCCTTGGAAACTGTTAGAAAGTTGGACCAACCTCTTTTTCACAGACTCTGTTTGTGTGCCAGTTGAAGTGATACACACAATCATCTGTCTCGTCCACCAGTATTGGATATCCATCACCCTTGCCATGGCCACAGATGAAGTTGATGATGGTGGAGCGCTGGTAATTGCCATGGCAGAGGGCACCACCGGAGTAGTTTAGCATCAAGAAGCCACCTCTAAACTGCAAGTTGCTGTTGGCAATACCAGCACTGAAGTTCCGCTTCTCCCCCACTAACTCCTTCTGACATGATCCTGAATCCAACCAGTATATGAGTGAGTGAGTGAGTGAGTGAGTGAGTGAGTGTGTGTTGAGTGAGTGAGTGTGTGTGGATGGATGAGTGAGTGTGAGTATGTGTGGATGAGTGAATGAGTGAATGTGAGTGAGTTGTTTTCAGTACTTTCTCAGCAATGTCAAGGAGTCTCAGCCTAAGTGACATCATTTGTAAGTAAAACATGAGAACAGGTGTAGTGTTAACAGGCCAAGGATTCTGACTGGAGTTGATCTGGGATTCAAATCCACAACCAGTAGATCCTTGTATCCAAGGGACATAACTCTTATGGTGCCTCTATGACAAGGAGAATGGATCTAACACATTGTAGTCCAGTGAGTGACTGACTATGGTTTCATGCCACTTTTTATTCCAGCAAATGGCAGCAATATGACCGGGGAGACCAGAATGGGCTCTACACAGTGTACCCATTTCGAGAATCGAACCCAGGTCTTCAATGTGATGAGTGAACACTGTGTCCACTATGCTACACCTTATGGGGGATCAGTATCTGTTTTCACCTGCAGATGACAGTCTTTGTCAAAGTATGCCAGCAACAATCATCACAAGGTTTAAGATTCCCTGATGCAAGCTGACTCTTGTCTCCAGTGTGACAAGCCAACACTTTACCCACAAGGCAACTCCCACAAAAGTCATGAAGATGCAACCAAACTGAAGACAACGCAAACTTCAACAACTTATGCAGCACAAGTTGTTTCCATCTCAGAAAGAAAGAATCCTCACCAACATTGCTGTCACAGCCACTGCCAGTCACAGGAGCACACACGTTGATGCGGAAGTCATGGTTGTTGCCGTCATCGAAGTGATAGCCTGTGGACTTCTTCAGAGCACTCAAGTCAAATGTGTAGCCTGAAACAAGGAGAACCAAAAGCTCAACATTAGCCTCAAGTTTTGAATAATTTAGCTACCTCAAATAAAGATGAATGGAAAAGTGAGTGAGTTTATTTTTACGCCACTTTTAGCAATATTCCAGCAATATCACAGCGGGGGACACCAGAAATGGGCTTCACACATTGTACCCATGTGGGGAATCAGAGGAGCGGACGCTTTAACCATTAATGGGACCCAAGCCATTTTTTCTCATCAGATGAGAGATGACTCATTGTAAACTCCTTGATATCTTGAAGCATCATTTACTGCAAGAACAATGCTTTGAACATATATCTTTAAATTTGGAGGAATACACGTTCTTTACAGCTATATTTTTCCACTTTAAATTTATGTTTAAAGTTGACCAACTGCATAACCCGTTTTTAAAGAGCCCCTGGCATGAAATTAAGACAATGTGGATCACAAAATCATTGATGTTGGATTGACTGGCACAGACAAAGTGGAGAATGCAGATCATTTCCTAGCATTGGTTCCCAAGGCTGCTAGTGACAGATAAGACTGACTGACCAGAGTCTGGGTTTATGGCAGTGCAGTTGCCTCCCTTGGCACTCTTTTCCCTCGCCTCCACTGAGCATGCTGCACGGGCCTTCCACACAAACCGATGCTGACACAGGTTGGCCAGGAAGTGATCGGAGGGCTCCGAGTCCTGAAGGAAAAAGGTTTCATGGAACACAAGATCAACAGATAGGGGTGAAGGGTGCATACATGAAACTGAAAAAGCGGTGTAAAACCATAATCACTCACTCACTCACATAGCAATGTGATGTGATGTGAAATTGGGTTCAACGTCGTGCTTGAGAATATTTCGCTCATATGACGACGTGCATGCGTGTGTATGTGTATGTGCGACTGCTTGTACTAGCCCAGACTTAAGCTGGTTTTATAGTGCTAGCCCACTGAGATACCAAGCCGCAGTGAAGCATGAACCCCACTGAAGACACATTATACTGACTCCGAGCCGACCAGTCCTTGTTGTACCCATTAATGCCGAGCGCCAGGCAGGGACCAACAGGTACCATACTTTAACGTCCATTGGTATGACGCGGTCGGGGATTGAACCCGCAACCTTCCGCTCTCCGCACATAGCAATGTACAACATAACCATACCATAGTGGCCTGACACATGAGTGGTAGATATTACATTCCCTCCATCTGGGAAGGATTTGCACACAATCAAGCAAGTGACCCACCTGACCACAAGATCAAAGTTAGTTACCTCATACCACAGTCAACTGTTGCTATTATCTTGACATGAGTTTATTACATAGCTGAGGTTAACAATTCTTTACAAAAGATAGAAAATAGTTAATACCCTACTGAGCCAGAACAAGACCACAAAACCCCACCCTGTCTCTCAGCATTACTTTCAGTACTGTCTAATGCTATCATATCGACTATCATGAACTGACAAAACAGAATTGATCTCTGGACTAACAGTTAATTACTTCCATTTGGGGTTCCTGATGGTAGCATGTCAAGATCCCTCAATTACTGAACTACGAAAACAATTACATTCACATTCGGGTATCTTGACAATACACCCCATACTCACATAGGCATTGAGGTCACAGGTGAGGATGATGATAGTGGACACTGACTGGTTAGACACTGGACACTTCTCTCCATTTTCGTACTGGATGATGAGGGTCTTGGACAAAGTGTCGAACTTCACTGGCTTGTCGGTCAGCTCTCCGATCTTGTGGAACCTAATGGACACAGGACTGGTCAGTGAAACTGTACTTTTGCAGGTGTAGGGGTAGTCAAGTGGTAAAAGTGCTGGCTCATCACCATGGTGAATCTCATACTGTGAGTCCACCTTCATGATATGGCTTGATATAATGTTATAGTTATAGAGTTCATACAGTTCCAGCCTGACAAGGAGGAGATACTTTAACCTTTGGGACCACTTGAAACATGAACTCTTAAATTTATTGCAAACTTTGTAAAACTAGTAAAAATGCTGTCAGACATGTTCAAATGGTTGACAAAAAGCCTCTTTTGTTTCTTCCACTTGAACGTTTTGAACATGCGATACAGTGTTATCATCAGTTACACAAATATGGCTAAACTGTGTGAGATTTTCAGAAGCTCAAATGAGAATCTATGAAAGTCTATGACCCAAGTTGAGTATTTCATTTTTGGCTTGGAAAATGACCTTCAGTGAAATACTTCCACATTAAAATATAACAAAAATGCACCAAGCTTGAAGCACTGGGATGGTGAATGCTTACAATCAAGAAAATCATTCACTTGACCACAACATCCATGTTAGTTGACTGATCCCACTATCAAATGTTGCTTTTGAAGTCATTGGGATAACGTTCTGCCTCCTGCTACTAGCACAATGTTCTCTGATAACTCCCTGTCTGTTATAATGATTACTAGAAGCACAAGGAATTGGATATATTATCGTAAGGTTTTGGAAAGAAGGCATGGCAGCTCTTTCGTCATCATTTTGTGACAAAGGACAAATGTTTTGTAGTGTGTAACAGATGATACTGTGGAGATAAATCAACCAGGAACAGACAACTCACTTTTTCTCCTGTTGTGTCTCGGTTAAGTTCACCATACATGCTGCAGAGTTGGGTGGGCAGGTCTGATCTGCTCATACAAACATTTCATCATTCTCTTGTCAATAAAGAAACACAGTTTTCTTATGTTGATGTCAAAATGCATAGAAATGATGCAACTTTTTAGCCATCTTAATGTGTTATATGTTTATACATTTTCAATCTAATGCTTCACAAACAATGAACATGACTTACTATGCACTGAAAACTTAACTGACAGAGGTGAAACATTATTCAGCTTGTGCATCACGAGAGTTGACTAGAATTTATCCACCTATTACAACAACATAACATCGAGATCACAGAACTGTCTTGATCAGTGAGCCAGTGGTTGACAGTATGAGGGTCTACTCACAACATCCGGGACATAATCAGCCAGGTTACACATTAATGCCAACAAAAGTGACACTCAGGACCTAGATTTTCGAAGCTCTCCTAGTGTAAAGTGCCATACATTAACATTAACTTACTACTATCTTAGCTCTAAGAGAGCTTCGAAAATCTTGGCCAGGATCCTTAAAGAATCAGGTTCAATTTTTTTTATTTCACCCTTCGAATCCCCACCAGCAAATGTGAACCCAGTCGCTGATTCTGACCATCTGGCAAATAGCTGCCCAAAGCCAATAACATGGGCTACCTGGGAATTATTCTATCCCTCAATCCCAAAGCAACACATACCTTTCTTGTAAACCAATGTCTGGCATACATTGAGTATAAACTTCAACTGCTTGTAGGATTTATCCACAATGTAGTTATCATTGGGTCGGGTCAGAGACGACAAATCGTAAACGTTTCCGTCGGGATCTGTTGCTGTACAGTCGGACACCTTGTGAGGGGAGCAAGCGTAGCTAGTCGGCCACTCAAACTGGTAGGTACAGTCAGCATCTTCATGCAGATACCTCGGTCCCTTCTTCCCATCTATAGTGTGATCGCAGGTGAAGGTGATGATAGTTGTACGGTTGTACTTCTGGTGACAGTTGGCCTTGCCATCTGTGTAGCGGAGAGACAGCTCCCCTGCGTTGTATATAATGTCACTATTGGCTTTTCCTGGAATAAAAACAGAAAAGGCTTAGAAGTAACTGTTAATGACACAGATGTTAGTTTGAGTTCGGTTTGAGAAAGAATATTTTCCTCAGCTGAACATGCTGAAGGGCCGGGGGATGGTAGGGTAGCCTAGTGGTTAAAGCATTCGCTCGTCACGCTGAAGACCTCGGTTCGATTCCCCATATGGGTACAATGTTTAAGCCTTTTTCTGGTGTCTCCCGCTGTGATATTGCTGGAATATTTGCTAAAATTGCCATAAGACCATACTCAGTCACTCACTGAAGGGCTAGTCCTACAACATATTATTGCTGGGAGCAAGGAGCCTAGGATAATCTGAAAATAAGTGATGAACTGTATCACAAGATAGAAACTATGTAGTCTTACTTGAATACCTTTCACTGAATGTACAATTCAATCCATCATGACGACTATGAATAAGTTCAATGACAACTACAAAAATTTAGGATGACAGCAGCACACAGAAAAAAGGAAGGTCTCCCCCTTCTCATGGATTGAGGATTGGGGAGGAGGATACTATTAGTGTCTCAACTAGTTGTGACTAGTCAACAGTGAAGAGGCCTTCTGTTGAAAATCTACTATGTGATGATACCCAAAGTCCAGGATTTGTGATGTAATTGAGGTGTTGTATATGAAGTATTTATTGAAACCAGGAAAGATAATATACACAAAATCACAATATCCAAAAATCCTGCAGTAATTCAGGAATACTTCTTTGTTTGCGTTAAGATGAAAATATTTTTGGGTCTGTTCCTCAAATTCAGACAACTTAGACCCCAAGAAGATCTGGTGTTAGAATTGATCTTCAACAACCCAAGATTGTCGTAAAAAATACAACTAACGGGATGGGGTGGTCAGGCTCGCTGACACCGCTGTGCATGTCTCCACATTCCAACTGTGTAGACTGATGGTGATGAAGTCAATCACAGGATTGTCTGGTCCATATTTGATTATTTACAGACTGCCATCACATAACTGAATATTGCTGAGTGTGGCATTAAACAACAGACAAAAGCAAACATGACAACATGGATACCCATGTCCAAAATACAATGAAATAACTGCCCTTCATTACCTGCATTGATCATGAAGGACTTATCAGAATCCTTGGTCTGACACGCTCCCACACCAGCACATGCCCCCGTGCCGGCCGTCAGCTGACCACACACGTTGATCAGGTAGGTGTACTCCCCGGCCTTCACCTTGTAATCCTCACTTGTTTTGTGCAGACGTGAAAGGTCGAACTGATAGTTGTACACCGGGTCAGTGACCTTGCAGTCCTTGCCAGTTATTTTCTGTAAGAGAAGCAGTTCAGATACTAAACTCACTGTCATTTTGTGGACACAGAGGATGAGTAGTAGGCTTATCTGAGTCGTCGATAGGAGCCAAGAATCCTTGTGAATTTGTAGAGCTTTTCCACCTCAGTAAGCTAATACAATACCAAACAGTGTTCACAATGAAGAATAACTAACAAGGGTCCTTCATATTACCCACTCTTGAAGTGAACAACTGAGATCCCAAAATTCGAAAACGATGAGAATAAGTTGAAAGGACCACATGACGCCCCTCAATTCCAAACAGTGTTTAGATCAGATATTATTTTCACTGATATTTTCATTAAACATGGTTATGTGCGCTATATAAATATCCATTGTTAATGATAATGAGTCACAACAGCAACCATAATACCATGTACATTTGTTTACTTGTATTTGTACTCCCGTCAACATGGTCAACTGATCAGTCGACTTACAACTATCTTCTCAGCTCCCTTAGGAGTATACAAGAAATAGGATATATGGAAATAACTGTAGTTAAAGACAGGTTGCTGAGGATGATAGATGCTCACATGCTGGGGACAGGCACTGGGTGTGTTCCATTCAAACAAATATTCACAGGTCTCAGTTTCTCCCATGAATACCGGATCACTCTGGAATGAAGAAATTTAGGAATAACAGTAACCATGGTAACACATAATTTCTCAAACACTGAGTAAAGTTTCTCCCACTGTTACAAGATTACTCTGGTATGATGATAGTTACAAGTAACAGTAACCATGGTAACACATTATTTGAACTCAGTTTCTGTCATAAATCAGTGTATGAAGTAAGGCCCGTCCGACCACCCGAGACGGGCTAGATTTCTGACGGACGGTCTAAAGTTACAGCTAGCCAGCCCGATGGTCTGGTAAAATCTGTGTAAATTCACCGTATCTTGGTGTCTGGTGTGGTTAAATCCATTTTGGGCTGATAACATTTTAAGTTACCAGCCCTGGCCCCCAATTTCTCGAAACAAACTTAAGTTTTCACTCAAATTTCAAACTGAGTTTGACAATTTGAAACAGCTGAATTTTTAAATCAGCTACATTTTTACAATAAAAAAGCCCAAACAACTTATACAAACCTGTAGAGGTTATGAATTCTTTGAAGAAAGTCCTCCTTGGGGTACTTATAAGCATTAAAATGTCCATTTTAAAACCTACAACAGTTGTAACTATATTTCAATAAAAATATTTACAAAACTTAAAAACACGTTCTATGTTATGAGACCACCCTACAGGGCCCCCCAAGCCCTACCGGCAAGAGCAGGTAACTCTAGCCGACAACCTCGCGCACCTCACTTTTCATGCTGAACGGATCAGACAGAATGAGGGGATATAGTGGCCGTACTCAAGGAGGACTTTCTTCAAAGAATTCATAATCTCTACAGGTTTGTATAATTCTTTCAGAAGAAGTCCTCCTTGGGGTACTTATAAGCATAAAACAGACTCCCAAAGACCAGAAATCCGGGGAGTGGCATTCTGTCTGACACACTGGTCGATCGCCAGTAACTACAGCCGATATGGAAATAGAAATCACACTTACCCAGTCACGTGGCCGCCAATGTCAATCAAGGCGGGGCTGACTAAAGGCAAGGACCCTGGGAGGTCAAAGCTTTGTGCCCATTGGTCAATCGGTACACACCCCCAAGATAAAACTCCACCTCCCAGCCTGATTGGTGGGGAGAGAGTAAAACTAGGGACTCGCCAAAGCGAACTACTGTCCATAGCACACCACTAGCCGGGGAAAAATGGAAAATATAAGCCAAAGGCACCGATACCAAAAGAACGGAAATAAAAACGCCACCATATACCTTCATCAGTGCAAAATAGGGAAGTATAGACCCGACACCAGTGTAAAACACTGGAGTAAATCAGCGACAAGGCTCACTTGGCCTGAGGCGTTACTCTGTCCACTGTGGGGAACCGTCTGGCCAAACCGAGGAGCACGCTCACGCGAATGTTTGTCCAGCTGATAATGGCGAATGAGCGTACTCAGTCGGCTCCAAATAGCCGCGGAGCAGATCTCCTCAATGGGCAGAGCAGCAGCATACGCTTTAGGCGTGGCAACTGCTCAAACCGAATGAGCCTTTAAACCCTCTGGGGAGTCATACCCTTGTGTATGTAACCAATACAAATAGCCGACACAATCCACCTCGATAAGGTTTGTGTTGTAGCCGGGTGATCTACTTTACCGCCCCCGTAACAGCAGAATAACTGCTTCTCTTTATGGATGGACGTTGTTCTCTTGACATACGCCTTAAGTGTCTTGGCGTGACATCCAACACATGTACTCTGCGTTTTCTACCAGACGAAGCAGGAAGCGTAAAGGCAGGCAAATCAATAGGAGCGGTGACATGAAACGCTTTTATCGATTTTTTTGAGCGGTAGGAATCAGGTAATCGAATACTTACCCTATCCTTGTGAAAACGGTAAGCTCGGGTCTGAGGACATAGCATGAATGTCCCCAACCCATCTACCTGAAGTAATGGCCACCAAAATGCCGCTTTCCAACTTAACAGTTGAAGCGACAATCCCGACATATCGTAGAAGAAAGGACTAGATAGCCAATGTAAAACGATGGACAGATCCCATGGCGCACTCTGTCCACACCTGCTAAGAAACGCTGGACCAGAGGGTGTTGTCCTAAAAGGGCACCCTCGGTAGGAATGTGGAAAGCTGAAATAGCTGTGGAGTAGCCTCGGATGTAGACGCGGCTAGGCCCAAAACTTCTTCTAACTGAGACTGTAAAACTCCAAAACTTCTATCCTCACTACAGTCCGAAAAAAGGGATCAAGTATCCCTCTGTTTCCACACCAAGCCACCCATAACAGGCCCATCTATCCTCATACATGTAAGTTAGTCGGAATCCACCTGGAACGCACCGAACAACTGGGAGATAACCCGAATGAGTCCCCTGTGAGGGAGGCGTCCGTCTGAATTGTGGTGTAGGCACCGGGTCTCCAGTGGGATACCCCTGGCTAGATTCCCGTGCCGGTCCACCACCTCAGGTGAGGGAGAAGCCACTCTGGGTTAGGAGAATTGTCTCCGTAACTCCCCGAGTGTGACCACAGCTGTGCTAACGCTTGCTGAACTGGTCGCATCCTCAGGCGCCAAGCCGCCAAACTACGTCCACCGTCGCCGCCATGTTGCCTAGCAACTGAAGCCATGTGCGAGCTGAGGCCCTGGGGACTGAAGGAATTGTAAAACAACCCTTTGGATTTTGGAAATGTGGTCTTGAGACAGAGAGACTAAGCCCTGCTGTGTCTCGAATCTCGCCCAAGAAAACCCGATCCTGGGATGGAACCAGCTCGGATTTCTTGAGGCTGATGACCCAACCCAACCTGGTGAGAATATCCATCACTGTCTGTGTGGAGTCCCGACTCAAGTGAAGTGGAAAGCTCTGACAAGCCAGTCGTCCAGGTACGGGTAACAAAAGTTGCCCTGTGCCCTGGCGACTTTGAGCTAACACTAACATTAGCTTTGTGAACACCTTGGCGCCGTGGAGATGCGAAGGGGAGCACCGCGAAACTGATAGCACCTCCGTCGAAGGAAAACCGGAGGTTTTTCCTGAACTTCGGGGTGCATTGGTACATGAAGGTACGCGCGTCCTTGAGGTCGATTGGCGTAAGCCAATCCCCTGCCTCCACAGATGAGATCACTGAGCGCCCAGTGTCTCCATCTTGAAGGGCGGTACCTCTAGCAAGTTGTTCAGACCCTTTAAATTGAGAATGGGCCTGAACCCTCCGTCCTTCTTGGTTTACCAGGAAATAGGTTGAGTAAACCCCTTGATTTTCCTGGCCCGTGGAACCACCGGAGATGGCTGCCTTGTCCAGCAATGACTGGACCTCGCACGGAGAATATCTGCCTTCTCCGAGAGTTCCGCACTGGTGTGCAACGAATCCCGGAGAAAGGAGGAGGGCCTCGCTTCCACTGTGGCATATGACCATCCCTGAGTGTGGACAGGACCCAGGGATTTGAAGTGACTTTCTCCCATTCCCGAAGAGAAGACAGGTAGCGGCGCCCGACAGGGGCGTCCGGGTAAGAGGCAGTGAATCCCGGCAGCCGGGCAGTGTAACAACTGCTTGTGCCGGGACCAACAAGGGCTCGGAGGAATGCTTACTGGGAAGCGGGGCCCGACTTCCCCTTCCTCTGAAAATGCTGCTGAGAGGAGGCAGCCTTGCCCCTACCTCTACCCTTGCCCTTGCCTCTACGTGCCTGAAGTGGAGCCGTCCACTTAGGCGCTTCCTTTCCTGAAGAGGAAGGGTAAGCTGAGGCAAGGCCCAAGGCCGGGCGAGAAGTGAGGGGTTGCTCTAGTAAGGGGCTTTGAGTCCTTAAACTGGCTAACCACCTCCGCGGCCTCCCCTGACCACTGTCAATGCCCCCAGGAAAAGGGTTGAGCCAATCCTGAATGGCAGAGACAGCAGCAGCTGAGTAGCCAGTGAATGTAGCCCACGGTGAATATCTGGCTCACGGTTAGCGCCACAACTGACGGAGGCCCATAACTGCAGTCATCATCTGGCTCTCGCGTGAACGCGACGACGGCGTCGTCCACGCCCTCCTGGTCCACCAGCTTCCTCTGCAGCGCCCGAGAGGTATGCTGAGTGGACCGGAAACCTTAAGGTGTTGCACTGCATTACGGTATTGTTCTTCAAAGGAACGATATACTGATTTCAACACCTGGTTGTTGGAAGTAAATGGAGGCAAGCGCCCGACCGACGAGCCGAAGCCTGGCTATGGCCAGATAACCCCCAGGCTTACTTGAGGCATAAATGCACTCATCTACCACCGGGGGTCATAAAGAGCCCCTCTCCCATCAGGTAGCGCCGGTTCAGCTCGGGAGATCGGCGTGACCTGCCACCTGAGAGGAGAGGGTTAATAACCTCACTAATAAGTGAAGGTAAGATGCGTAAGTGGGCCTCGGCGACCCGACATGGAGCAAACGCCTCCCAGGGAGACGAAACTCCAGCGGGGTCGGGTCGCCTGACTGCACGACCACCTGCGCAAAATGGAAGCAATCGCGCTCCTCACTTGCCGCAGGGACGGACCAGCGAAGGAACCTTCCCCCGACGCCTCATGCCCCCCGTCCTCATCCATGGCTTCCTCCTCCCGCCCCCCCGGAAGCGAACTCTCGGTGTCAAGAGTCACCTCCGAAAGCACGGAAGTCGGCTCCACGGACAAGGATAGGGGAGCCATAAGAGCCGAGGCGCCTGGCCCGACCGACCCTAGGCTCGAGGATGAGCCAGGTCGCCGAGGACCCAGGGAAGAGCCTGCCGAAACAGGATTCCCCGAAGTAACGGAAGGCCCCGAGTCGACCCGGTAACACCGGGCGCGGGTAACCCCCGCCAGAGCTGATGGACAACAGTACGAGACCCGTAGCCACAAGCGCTTATGCGCTCTGCGCTGAACCGGAGCCGGCTCGGGCCAGACACAGGCGCTACCAGCAGAGGGTCGCCAGAGCCGAGGCTCAAGGCAAGCACCCCTCAGGTGGTAGAACTCGTCCCCGGGCCTAAGCCCGAGGCAGGGGAACCCGACAGACGACCCCCGAGCCGCCGCTAACTCCTGAACGGAAACCGATCTCCTCATGGAGACCGGACATCAGCGTCGAGATAAGTGAGCGAACCGACGTCATCTGTTGCTGCAAAATAGAGGTTAAATCTGTTATATGTAAGGGTGCGGAATCAGATTGAGTAGAAGTGGAGGGGATAGGGGAAGAAGGTTTTTCCGCCGTCTTGGCCCGCTTACCCCCACCCCCGCTAGCAGAAGAAGAACTCTTCTTGCTTTTACCCGCTTTAGATGGTGGGTCCTGAGCCCATAAGTCTCCCCCCGCCTCCAGCAAATTTTTGTAAAACAAAAAATCGGGCGGACCGACGCTTGGTAGTCTTGGGTGAGAAAATCTTGCAACTCTCACAAGTTAGATCATCATGGTGATCTACCGCCAAACAACGGAGGCAAACATCGCATGGTGTATCCTGTGGTGGCAACATGGCAGCCACATGCAACGACGGGTGAAACTGTAACAAACAGAACCATTTTAATGGAAACTGATGTACAGTCTAAATTACACACATATATGCAACACAAGACAAAACAGAATACGACGGGCAATAAACCCTTTGTGAAAGCTAAAGCAATTTTAACCCTTTAACATGTATCATGAACAAGAGGCTTAAAATGCAAGCTTCCTCGTAACATATACAGCGTAAAAAATATGAAAATATGAAAAACTTACCCAACTCACCTTACATTGCTGAAAGTGAAAACGTTAGGCAAGCCTACAATAGTAAATGTACAAGAAAACTCCCACCGCCTCTAGCGATGTAACCCAAAAGTTACAACCGTGGGGACAGAAGGAGCCAAACTGACCGCCATCTTGCCTGCCACATGTCACGCCTCACATGGAAAACGACAGCATGAAAAGTGAGGTGCGAGGTTGTCGGGCTAGAGTTACCTGCTCTTGCCGGTAGGAGATTTCAGCTGGGCCCTGTAGGGTGGTCTCATAACGCAGAACGTGTTTTTTCGCTTTGTAAATATTTTTATTGAAATATAGTTACAACTGTTGTAGGTTTTAAAATGGACATTTTAATGCTTATAAGTACCCCAAGGAGGACTTCTGAAAAGAATTAAGTATTCTATTCACCAAACTCAAATTGTCTACTAGGCCCAGCCAGGCACGCAACAGAGTAAGTGATGTTACCTCTGCATGTGAGCAGATAAAGTTTATCCGGGTGCTGCGATGTGACTCCCTGTCTGTGCCCTTGTGACACAGCGTCCCTCCGCGGTACTCCAGCACAAGGGAGCCGTCCTCTGTGACAACGGGCTTGGACTGGACATACCCCAGATTGAAGGCTCTGTCCCCAGTCTGACAGCCTCCGATGGGTCCACCTGCAACACACAGAGAGGGAGGACAGGATGAGCTAGCATCGACAAACAGACTTGAAGAAAGGATGCTTCTTACACAATAATCTAAAAGAGTGAGTCATCATCATCATCATTTCTGGTGTCCCCCACCGTGATATTGCTGGAATATTGCTAATTGTAAACCAAAAGTCACTGTGTTCTTCAATCTGATTGGTTGAAAAGCGTGATCAAATGGTATTCGATTCCCGGAAATTCGCTGCGTATTAATACATACAAACATCGCTCACACCATTGTATTGTTACGTTCGTCAGCTGTGACGTAAAGTCCGAATGACGTCACAAATGAGCAGTTCCAGATGCTACCATGAGAGACAGCCGAAACGGCCGGTTGATAACATTTCACTGCTGTACCCGTACACGATGTCAATGAGTGCAGACACAAAAAAGTGTGTGGACCTTTTTGTTTACTTTTGTGTTTACAATGTAGATAAACATCATGTGTTGGCCAATTTCCGGGTGTTATTGAGTATTTGAAGCACGGGAATATTCCATTTTGAGGTTTCAAATGGAATATTCCCGTGCTTCAAATACTCAATAACACCCGGAAATTGGCCAACACATGATGTTTATCTCCTAAAAGCGGTGTAAAACCAAACTCACTCACTCACTCATCATCATGTTTATTAAAGTACATGTAATGTGTAAACACAACAACTTACCAGGACAAGTGGAGCCTGCTATTGGGGTCATGGGGCGGCACACGTTGATGTAGTACTTCAGTTTGGAGTATCCTGCCCTTGTGTCACTCACGACCCAGTTGGATGAGGTCTTGGCTAAGGCGGTGAGGTCATACTCGTTTCCGTGTTTATCTATAGCCATGCAGTCAACAGGTTGTGGGGGACAGGCCAGAGCGGTCTCAAACTTGAAATAATATGTGTTGTCTTCTTGGCGTACAAATGTCGGCTTATCACCTGTGTCTCTTCGACAGACGAAGGAAATCTTCACCTGCACTTGTTGTTCTGGAGACAAACAATTACACTGTAACAATACATAGAGGGTACAGAATTTCAGATCAACATGCAATGTCTTTTCAAGGTTCTTTCCCAAACATAAAAGGAAAACCATTTGTATATGTAAATCTTACATCTTCAGGAATTTTTGTTTAGCTTGCAGGTTTCGATTTAAAGAAATCGGTCCCTGGCTTGTTTTTCTACATCATTACATACCGCTAATGAGCCTCTTCCCACCATATGTCAGCATCAACTGTCCATCGTCCGAGAATTCCAGTGACCCGCTGGACATAGCCAGTGCAGGCTTCCTGGTGTTCTGATCCTCGCACACCGAGGCCTTCACGTTGTCCGGCTGGAGGTGGTCGCAGGATGACACGTTGCCGCAGATATTCAACTGAAAACATTAACCGAGTATTTCACAAAGAAACCATACAAATATAAGACTGAGAAAAGATATGAAAGTTATCAAAATGAAACCAAATCTTCATCCTCATCTTTAATCTATAACATTTAGTTTTAATGAACATTTTTCCAAATATTTCAATACATTGGAAGGTACTGAATAAAAACACAGGAAATGGAGTCGGCAAATATTTGATACAAATTTACTTTCAAATATAAACTTCTAAACAATAATGTAATTTTTAGAGTAAAATTGATATTTTACACTTATCCTGACTCATGCTTATTGCTTGTCTTCTTCTTCTTGCGAACCTAGTGGAACACGTGTATCTCCCAATTGAAGTTCCCTTCAATAAAGAAATCACTAATTAGTACTCACCACGAGTTACCTCCCCTGCCCAAGCTCGGGAACGAGGGCGCCACCTCTACCCATGTGCCTCACTCTCTCCTCATATACTGAGCCCAACACTTGAATTTCCAGGGAAATCCAAAGTGTTATGTGGGGAGGATGGGAGGGCTTACCTCATGAGTCAGGATAAGTATAAAATATCAATTTTACTCTAAAAATTACATATTTTTCCTTATCCTGACTCATGCTTATTGCTTGTAGAATCCGACAGAAAAGGAGGTGGGAATATATAATACTTTGGATTTTAATAATTAGTGATTTGAACTGTGATGATTGTAATAACCCTATGGGAACTTCATAAAGGCACTGAACTGATGAATTCCTGCTGCTAACTTATCAGCTGCCATATAAAGGTTATTACAATGTACTTATTATGATAAAAGTATATATAACATTAATACAATGCTTAAGACTAATAGACTTAAGCTTGTTAATATGTTAGCTAAAATACTTTTATGAAATAAACATAGTACTGAGCTAAAGATATGATTAAACTTAAGCTAAATATATAATAGCAAAAACTCCTTAGAGTTTATTAGCTAATATACTTTTATGAAGTAAACATAGTACTAAGCTTAAGATATGAATAAAACTTAAGCTATATATATAATAGCAAAACTTCGTAGAGTTTGTTAGCTAATATATTTTATGATATGAGTATAGTACTGTGCTTAAGATATAATTAACTTAAGCTACCTAAATAGCCAAAAACTCCGTGAGAGTTTGTTAGCTATTACATTTTATAATGTAATCATAATGCTTAAGATATGATGAAACTTAAGCTAAATATATAATATAAAAAAGTAGCTAAAATGAGTTAGAGTTTGTTAGCTAATATACTTATATGATATAAACATAGTACTGAGCTTAAGATATGAATAAACTTAAGCTACATATATCATAACAAAACTCCGTAGAGTTTGTTAGCTAATATATTTTTATGATATGAGTATAGTACTGTGCTTAAGATATAATTAACTTAAGCTACATATATAATAGCAAAAACTCTGTGAGTTTGTTAGCTAATACATTTATAATGTAACCATAGTACTGAGCTTAAGATATGATTAACTTAAGCTAAATATATAATAACAAACTCCGTAGAGTTGTTAGCTTATATATTGTATGATATAATAACCATAGTACTGAGCTTAAGATAATAAAAGAACTTAAGCAAAATATATATAGCATGTAGCTATTTAGTACTGTTATAAGATAAGTAGAAATCTGTAAGATTGACTTATCTTCTCCGAGGAACTGTCAACTGTTGTGCGAGGACCATGGGACCGAATTGGTGGATACCTGAGACGTCCTCGGTGGTGATATCTCTCAGATAGTGGTTGGCAAACACCATATCGGATCTCCAGAATTAACCCTCCATTATGTTATTTCAATTGCACTTGTCGAGTAGAGCAAGTGTAGATGTTAGCGCTCTAATATCATGAGGATTAGAAGCTCTTGGAGGGTCGAGTCCTGCAGTCTTGTAGGCACGTAGTATGACAGTTCTGATCCAAAAGGAGATAGTAGTACGTGAGACTTCAGTCTGCGTAGCTTGTTGATAGAGGAAATAAATCTCTTGAATTTTTCCCTCCTGTTTGGCTCGGTGGATATATATTTTCAGTGCTCTACTGGCCATCGTGATAGATTCATTGTATCATGGGGTCCAAGTATATCAGCAAAGCGTGTTCATAAACCTCACTTGTGAGGTGTTGGAACACTATAATCAGATCCCAAGTTGGAGCGTGAAACTTCCGTTTTAAACCTCCAATCAGAAAAGCTCGTAGCAAGGCGGTAACTGGGTTTAGGTTAACTTGACGCCCGTTCTCAGTTATGACAGAGCTATTGCTGCAAGATAGGTGGACAAGTTGAGCCTTATAAAATCTTAGTCTGACGTAGATAACATAAGTAGTCAGCCACTTGAGGATGAGTAGCATATCTAGCTGTAAATCCTTCCTTTGCAGCATAATTGCCAAACTGTGCCATTTGTCATCATTATAAGTTGCAAGTTGAGTTACGCAGGGGCAAGCTAGACTGCTTTGCGCTCTGGCTGAATAACTTGTTATTCAGACCGCATATGATACAATCCATACGTTGAAGTTGGAATATATCTGGCTTCCCGTGCGCTTGTTTGGTGTGCGGATGTATTAACAGATTCGAGCACTCTGTAAGATGTAGTATTGGTTGTCCGATTTCTTGAATAAGAGTTGGAAACCACGTTCTCGCTGGTCAGTAGGCCGCGACCAAATTCAGATGGAGGCTCTGCGTTTGACTGATTTAGAGTAAACTTGTGAGATTAACGCTGGTGGCGGAACAGCTTAACGTTGAGTCCTTCCCACGATATGCTTAGTGCTTCTGTAGCCAAAGCTAGTGGGTCTGGAACTGGCGATTTATCACAGAATGCTGTCAGTTGTTTGTTGAATCGAGTGGCAAATAGGTCTATTAGTGTAGTTCCTATTTCCTTAATAATTTGAGTTAATATCTCTGTATGGAGCCTTCATTCTGTCGTGATGGTATGTGTGGCCGAGAGCGTCTGCTATCACATTCTTTGCTCCTGGAATGTGATATGCTCTGACATGTATGTTGAGATTGTCGATTAAATCGAACAATTGAAAACATAGAGTCGATAGGTTCGGGGACCTGGTTGAGCTTAGTTTGTTCACATAAAACGCCACTGTCGAATTGACTGTGTGAATCATCCACTGGGTATACTGTAGTAAGTTGCTCCAGTGCATTAAGGCGTTTATTACTGCTTGCATCTCTAGCAGATTTATGTGTAATATGCTCTCTTGATTGCTCATAGCCCTGATGCCGTCCTGTTGGCAAGATGGGCTCCCCAACCTTGTAGTGACACATCTACGTAGAGAAGTGTTATCGATTCCAGCTCTATTAACGAGACGCCTATTCAAACATTCGATCTCTTGGTCCACCATAGTAGATGAGGTTTGACCTGAACCGGTAAATTGAACGGTAGAGATTCGTCTAGATGCGAATTGATGATGACTTGTAACGGATGTAATAGTAGTCTGCCTCTGCCTGTCATATCTTGAGCTGAAGTGCGTAACCCCAACAGGCTCTGTCACTGTCGTAGTGGTAGCGGAGATAGTAAGGCTTGTGGAATGACTGTTGGATCTTGATCCATGGTCCTCCGGTACAATTATACGATTCTGCGCCGTTACAAATCAAAAACCTAGAATAGCAGAACTTGCGAAGGTTCTAGGTCCAACTTAAGTAGGTTTACTAACCATCTAGTTGTGTTAGTAGCTTGATGATGAATTCAACTGTAGTCTGAGACGCTATGGATTTGGATCCATTTGTATCCCGTCGAGTTAAATTCGCTGCGAAGTCCTTGACGATGTAGGTGCATAACCAGGGGTGACTGCCATCGTTGAACTTTATGTAAAAATTCGCCTGACTGCCGTGCCCTCGTCCTTACTTGACAGGGGAGGTCTCTAACCTCAAGAAGGCAGCCCAATCATAAAGGTTCAGATTAGCTGGACTGTAAGGAGGCTTGCTCGTTCACTGATATATTGTTGTCACTTGCAACCTATGTCTTGAACTGTGAACTATGATCGACCTCTCATGTAGGGCGTTGTCCATCTCGGTCCAATCAGAACAAGGCATTTTGATTCTGTAGAGTACCCGCTGTGATGTCACGGTGTAGCAGGAAAAGGAACCTTGTATAATATAGTGCGTCGTTGATATTAGAACAATGGAAGTCGGTCTTCACGTAACTTCCCGGTAACCCGAGTGACCACGTGTTTCGAGGGTTAATGGTAAACGCGCGAAACCTCCGGCGCGAAATACCTCGCTCTGTAATATTAATGCTGGGTAGGTTATTTTCCAGGCTGTCGTGAAAATAACTTCAGTCTTGAAGATAATTCCGACTTCCTTATATAAGGTTCAATAAAACTTGCAAGTTGTCAGCTTGTAGACTGTTAAAGCTGAACTTGTTGTACATATTTCTTCTCATGAAATTGTTGATGATTATGAGTTTTACTCGCTGTAACAAGGCTGCTGTACAATTTCGTTATTGAATTGTCTGTAGATCTGCGTAATGGTCACGCATGTAGATAATCGTATCGTAGTCCGGGATTGCATACCTAGCAATCTATACGAAAATGTTGATTCCTGTGAAGATCTAGGAAACGTCGTTGATGCCCTTGATGTAGGTAGTCGGCTTGAAGATCCTTAATTAGGCTCTTCATCTGTTGATAAATTAATACAGCGACGTTCTGTGTTGTAAATAGCCTGTGCAATTGTCTTCGCGTAGGCTTGTAGACGGGATATGGTATACAGTTGAATAGACAACTCATGCGATGTCTTGAACGGACTGACGAGAGGCTATATATGACGAGTGGCTAGTATATGGAGACCTTGGAGGAGACTTCCTCGGCGAACGCCGGGGATATATCTTATCTCAGCATCTGAGAAATGATACCATCCTCCTCTTCTGACGTATGGTCATATGTCGGAGTCCTAGATCTATAGGAAGATCTATGAGAGGACTGCGGAGAACGGACTGACGAGTGGCTAGTGTACGGAGACCTTGGAGAAGACATCCTTCACGAAGGCTGGGGCTTCGCGAACGGTGAGGGCTTTGCAAACGCTGTGGGCTTCTCGAACACTGGGGGCTTCGCGAAGCTCTTCTAGGCGAGGTAGAAATGGAACCACTTAGCCTTTGCGTCCTTCGCGAATGTCTCAAGTCAGTGTCCGAATCGACATATGAGTGCTTGCTTCGCGAACGACCTCTGTGAATTACAAGGTGCATGCTCGGCGAAGCGCTCCTTCTCCGCGAAGCCTCTCGCAATAGGTGAGGCTCTAGCTCCTTCGCGGAGGTGGCCTGAGACTTCCTATGCAAAGAGCTCACTCAGGGCTGGGATGCCCTTCGCGGAGGCGCGTCTGTGGGCTCTGGGGCCCTACGCGAAACCAAGGCGGGCTCTGGGGCCCTGTATGACTTAATATGGGTTGGGCTCTGGGGCCCGTGGCTCTGGGGCCTCTGTAAACCGTAACGGTCTTCCATCAGCCTCATGATTTGGTTGACCAGGTGGAGTCTGAGGCGGTCTGCGCCTGATGATGAGGATTGTCTCTCTGCGAAGGTGACGGGACCCTCAGTCAAAATTTCTGGTGACAGCGTAGGCATCTCCGGTTGTGTGCTAATCTGCGCTGAGGTGACAGTCGCAGATACAGGACGTTTCTTGTGACGAACATCTGGAATAATAATCGGAATGTCATCATCATATAAGGCTAATTCTGTGACTGGTAAAATATCAGAGGCAAAATTATTAGATTTTGTAGATTTCCCTTTTGACGTAGTTGTAGACCTGGGTGTACGAAGCGTACGAGATGATATGGACGCTTTGCTAGTCTTAGACTGAGAAGATGGCAGATCTTGAGATGCAGGTCGCTTCTTGGACATAGCGGACTGCGTCCCACGCTTATCCCCTGAGGGAAACTCAGGCATGCCACCAGCCGGTGGCGGGTCGTCAGTCAACAGTTGACAGGGTATATTAGCTTCCGATCTATTAGCCATGACTGAAGATTGTTTGCGAGATTTATCTGCCTTCCGTCTCAAAACGGAACATAGATATTTATCAAAGGCAGAAATTGGTAAATTAATACATAATTTACAACTAGAAACAATAGAACATGGAGTAATGCAACTAGGGCATTTTAAATGTGGATCGGTAGCTGAACAACGTAGTTTACAACCTGTGTAGATTCTCATTAACGTAAACTGCTGAACAAACACGGCGAACCGTGAATAAAACAGCAGAAACACGACTAATAATCAATGCAAGTTGAATAAGGATACTCCTCTATAAATGAATATAAGAGGTACTTTATTAAATATAAATAAAGGATATAGTGTGTCGGGAGACACAGGTGCTCTCACGACCACCTCACTGGGCGAAGAAGGAGAGAGTGAGGCACATGGGTTGAGGTGGCGCCCTCGTTCCCGCGCTTGGGCAGGGGAGGTAACTCGTGGTGAGTACTAATTAGTGATTTCTTTATTGAAGGGAACTTCAATTGGGAGATACACGTGTTCCACTAGGTTCGCAAGAAGAAGAAGACAAGCAATAAGCATGAGTCAGGATAAGGAAAAAATCACCATTGTTCTACTGATCATTGTAGCTGAAAAAATCAGATATTCTCAAGACAGTCATAGTTTTGCCTTATTTAGCGACTTAGATTTCAAATGTCAGGATGACCTCTTGAACCCCAAATTACGTAACAAATTAGAATCAGAGGTACCACACATGCAACTGACCAGGAAAGTCCGCTTGTCAAATGCTGTGACTTTATAGAAGCCTTCTCCCTTCTTCATGAGAGGTTTGAGGTTGTAGATGAAATCGGAATTAGGATCCTTGATGCTGCAGGTGCTTGTATTGGTCTCGACATCATCGATGGGGCATGCTGCGGCCGTTCTCCAGATTGTGCTGTACTCACAAGGGCCGGACTTGATGAATGGCAAAGGGGCTCCTGTCTGGGAACAGAACACGAAACTAGAGGGCGTGCCATCAAGAACACTTCTAGTTTTAGATGTTTACAATCAGGAACAAGAACACATGGTCATCGACATCAAACACCACAGTGTTCTGTTCGTATTTGGTTCCTGTTTTTTAACTTTACCACAACATCCATGTCCTGAAAACACATACCACATTGGGTTTCCCTATCTATAACGGTTATTTAAAAAATCTGTTCCCTTTGGGGATAACGTGCACAAAGTCAAGAAACGCAAAACACTGTACAGAATGGTAACACGGTTTCCATTTTTAAACTCCATCAAGACATCTTTGTCCTGAAAATACATACCACATTTGCTTTCCCTATCTATAACAGTTACTGAGAAAATCTGTCCCCATCATCTCAGAAGGACGGAGCTCAAACATATACACCCTCCCACTTCGTGGTGGGGATAATAAGCAGAAAGGTGGGTGAGAAGGTTGAGGATGTCCACTGACATGAATTAAGTTTTCAACCACACAAATGTTTCAAACCGTGATGATTTAATTTACATGGAAGTATGAAAATACTGATGGTACATCCACTGATCAACTGATGGTTCTTCCTCTGATCAACTGATGGTACATCTGTTGATCAACCGATGGTACTTCTGCTGATCAACTGATGGTACTTCTGCTGATCAACTGATGGTACATCTGCTGATCAACTGATGGTACTTCCTCACTGATCAACTGATGGTACATTCTGTCAACTGATGGTGGTACTTCCTCTGATCAACTGATGGTACTTCCTCTGATCAACTGATGGTACTTTCACTGATCAACTGATGGTACTTTCACTGATCAACTGATGGTACTTCCTCTGATCAACTGATGGTACTTTCACTGATCAACTGATGGTACTTCCTCTGATCAACTGATGGTACTTTCACTGATCAACTGATGTTACTTCCTCTGATCAACTGATGGTACTTCCTCAACTGATCAACTGATGGTACTCTGGCTACTTTCACTGATCTACTGTACTTTCTCTGATCAACTGATGGTACTTTCACTGATCAACTGATGGTACTTCCTCTGATCAACTGATGGTACTTTCACTGATCAACTGATGGTACTTTCACTGATATACAGATGGTACTTCCTCTGATCAACTGATGGTACTTCCTCTGATCAACTGATGGTACTTCCACTGATCAACTGATGGTACTTTCACTGATCAACTGATGGTACTTCCACTGATCAACTGATGGTACTTTCATCAACTGATGTTACTGATGGTAGATCTTCCTACTTTCACTGATCTACTGATGGTACTTCCGCTGATCAACTGATGGTACTTCCACTGATCAACTGATGGTACTTTCACTGATCTACTGATGGTACTTCCACTGATCAACTGATGGTACTTTCACTGATCTACTGATGGTACTTCCACTGATCAACTGATGGTACTTTCACTGATCTACTGATGGTACTTTCACTGATCAACTGATGGTACTTTCACTGATCAACTGATGGTACTTTCACTGATCAACTGATGGTACTTCCACTGATCAACTGATGGTACTTTCACTGATCAACTGATGGTACTTTCACTGATCAACTGATGGTACTTCCACTGATCAACTGGGTACTTTCACTGATCAACTGATGGTACTTTCACTGATCTACTGATGGTACTTCCACTGATCAACTGATGGTACTTTCACTGATCTACTGATGGTACTTCCACTGATCAACTGATGGTACTTTCACTGATCTACTGATGGTACTTCCACTGATCAACTGATGGTACTTCCACTGATCAACTGATGGTACTTTCACTGATCTACTGATGGTACTTCCACTGATCAACTCATGGTACTTCCAATGATCAACTGATGGTATGTATAAGGACTACCTACCAACTTGCCCTTGTCACAACTGAAGTGTATGACAGTGGTCATTGTTGTGTTGACCCCATTTTGGTCCACACATTGGTCTCCGCCCGTGTACCTCAACATCAGCTGCCCTGGGTGGTCTCCGTCCAATGTGGGGCCGACCCTTGCCTCCCCGAGACTGCTGTGCACAACGGTTTCCTGCAGCAAGGATCACACATTTGCATCACACCATCATCCATACAATGTAACTTGCATGATCCAAGATTTATCTTTTAATGACCTTGAAACAAAGCATAACACGGTATGATGTTAGTTCCAAAAATTTCCAATGAAAGGGTTATCATTATGAGTGAGTGACCGAGTTTAGTTTTACGCCACATTCAGCAATATTCCAGCTATATGGCGCTGATCTGTAAATAATCGAATGAGTGAGTGAGTTTAGTTTTACGCTGCACTCAGCAGTATTCCAGCTATATGGTGGCGATCTGTAAATAATCGAGTCTGGACCAGACAATACAGTGATCAACAGCATGAGCATTGATCTACGTAATTGGGATACGATGACATGTGTCAACCAAGTCACTGAAGACCAATTCTAACCCCGATCTTCATGGGTCACTAAGGTAAGAACATTCTTCTTTGCAATGCAGCTAAACAAAAGAGATTGGAATAGATATGTATTCCAAAGCATACATTTGACCAAATGAGCTAAATACATTCTATACATAAACATTATTTATATAAGAAACCATCTTTTAAATACAATTTCCATTTCACAAACTTTGTTCATCCCTACCTTGCCATCCTTGACCTGGGTCTCACATGCTGCAGCAAATGGTCCGCACGACTGACCACTGTCCACATGTACAGGGTTGACTGGCCTGCACACATTGATGTAGAATCTGCGAGACGTGTCCGTGTTATCCCCGACCACCATCCAGTTGTCTTTCGTCTCCGACATTGACAATCTGCAAGGAGAGCACAGTGTTGGAGATTACCAATGGAAAGATGCACTTCCTATCTTAATAATTCCTTCACCTTATGACACTGTGAGGATACACTATTCCAGGTAAATTGTGTCATTTTCACAAAGGATAACAAATTTTTCAACTTTTTCAAATTAGATAACCCTCTTTCCATAATATATATCTTTATGTCTTTTCAAATTTGGTTTCATTACCGTTGAGGACATATTGGGTTGTCCAATTAGAAAACATTTTTTCCAATCTTGGCAGTCAGACTGTTTTTTCTTACTTCTCTCTAGAAAACCCAACTTGGGAGTCAGATTGTTTTTGCTACTTTTCTCTGGAAATAACCAACTTCGCGCTCAGATTTTATTTGTTACGAAAAATACGGAAAATTCTCCAGAAATACCCTGATTTTTTATAACAAAATACAAGAAAGAACACAGTGTGCACGTTACTTTGATGTTCTGATTGTTCTTATAATTTTAAATGAAATGCAGTCTTCACATATCAGTGTATCAGTGATACAGCTCCTGGTTATCTGTGTGATCTAGTAGAAGACTATGTCCCTACAAGAACTCTCCGTTCCAGTGATCAAATGCTACTAAAGGTCCCCAACATCATGCTCAAGACATTTGACGGAAGATCATTCACATATAATGCTGCTGTTGAATGGAATGCTCTCCCATTTGATCTAAAATAAACTCCAACTCTAACTTGTTTCGAGAAACATCTTAACATCTGTGAACACACATGTGATATCTACGACCTCTGTTAGCGCTTTATTATTACAACAAAATACCTCACCTTGACAGGTCATACTGTTTATTGTTGACTTTGTCTTCGTACACACACTCGATCGGCTGGGCAGGACAGGCGTAGGCTGTGTACCACTTGAAGCTGTATGTGTAGTTGGTCTCGCTGAGAAACTCCGGGGTGCCGGCACCCTTGGTAGAGTCACATAGGAAGGCAATCTCGGTCTGTCTTGGGGTATGGCCAGCATTGTTGTAGCTGTCGCCATTGGTGTAGGTGAGGTTGATCATGCCGTCGGAGTACTCCAGGTTACCGTTGGGTTCCCCAGTCTTGTGGAAGATGCTGGGTTGAGAAGGAATAGATTGAAAGAAAAGCACAGTTTTAACTAAGAGACAACACAGAGTCACATTCTGTATTTCCTAATACAATATGTTTACAGGCACCTACTTCTTGTCTTTCTCCAGAGATGCCAACCCTGAATCTAATGACAGTGGAATCATGAAATGCTGGAAGCCCAGCCCGAGCACCGAAGATGCGAAGTTAGGGGTGAGCCTGTTGTCAGCTCCACCATTTTGTTTCACTTACATACGGGCTATGACATGCATTCGGAAAACTTCGTGAAACTTCGTAATCAATGACATGCAATATACATAATCAAGATCCAAAAGATCACATGCTAACCTTGCGAATGCTTTTACCAGTGACAACTAATCAGAGAGTGGATTTTGTACTTGAAAATCGGAGTAACTCTACCAAAATCGGAGTTGTTGGCATTTCTGTTTCTCCGTGGTCTAGCAGATACAGTGACTGCCCAGGGATGGAAGGTAGGTGGTTCAATCCCTGGCAGCGTCATACCAAAACATGAAAAGATGATGTTTGCTGTTACCCTGCCTGCACTCCAAGTGAGTGAGTGAGTTGGTTTTTATGCTGCTTATAGCAATATTCAAGCAAAATCAAGGCAGGGGAACACCCGAAATGGGCTTCACACATTGTACCCATGTGTAGAATGGAACCCGGGCCTTTGGAGTGATGAGCGAACGTTTCAACCGCTGGGCTACCCCACCGACCCTTCACTCAATAAGAAGAAGGGACAAAACAGTATAATACTGAATTCCTACAGGTGAGGGAATGGGAGTTTAACAGTCATCAATTTTCTAGCAATATATCATGGTTGTCTGTAAACAGTCAAATGAGTATGATGCCCCACAACCAGCCAAGTAACACTCTGCAACCACAAATCTCTGGAAAAACTCTGGCTGTCCTGAAAAGCACGGTCTACATTGAACTCATTGTGACCAGAAGTCTCGATCATGTCAAACACTCAGCAGCAGTTAAGAAAGACGTGAGTTAGGTCATCTACCTGTTATCACTTTTCTTGACTTGACACACTGCTGTGTTGGTGTGACCTGTGTCACACTTGGTGCCAGTGACAGAACCACACACATTCAACAAGAAGTCATACTCTTGCTTGCTGTCGGACACCTTGTAGTACTTCCCATCTGGCTTTGTGAGGCGCGACACGTCAAAACTGTAACCTAGCAACAGTAGAACATCATACTACACTTCTGACTTGGTTTACCAAATACAGACAAATACACGGAACATAATACCTTTTAATGAAATCTTTCAATCTGAAATTCTAACCAATTCCAGTCGATGACCCGGTCATTACATCAAGTTTTGTACCAGATTCTGTGTGAGTGAACATTGTTTGGCGCCAGAGCCAGGAAACTACTCCATGACACTGTTGCACAATGTCTGGGAATCTGCCAAACAGAGTCTGACATCCCCATTAACAAGATGTCCTTGCCCTCACAACCCACTTACATTAAGCCTTCACTCCATCCAGCCCCCTGTGTTGCTATAGGTGGCAATATATGTCAAAGTAGGTACTGTACAACAGCAGTGATTTGGGTTTAAGGTCACAGTACTTCATTTATATGACAGTGTGCCCACTGCACATGGCGGAAAATCTCAAAGAGATGCAGGCAATATTTCATGTTAGTAAAACCTAAAGTATGGTACTAGCAAGAGAGTGAGTGAGTATGGTTTTATGCCACTTTTAGCAATATTCCAGCAATATCATGGAGGGGGAACTCCTGAAATGGGCTTTACACATTGTATCCATGAGGGGAATCAAACCCAGGCCCTCGGAGTGACGAGCGGCTGTCCTAACTACTAGGCAACCCCACCACTCCAAGCATGATACTAACAAACCAAGGATCTTACTCAGGGCAAATCTAGGGCTAAACAAGACACAATCAGATGCTGGCGAACCTAATGCATGTAACCTTGGATAACTTGGCTGTCTGTGCAGACTGATCCATAGAGTTGTTCAAGAGAGTCAATGCAATCCTACCTGCATCATCATCAAACACTTTACAGTTGGATCCGTTCTTCTTTGACAACACACAAGCTGCAGCAGTGTGCCATTCAAACTCGTACATGCATTTGTCGTCCGTCTCCTGGATGAGGACAGGACCACTCTCCAAGTCTCCTGTATACAGAGACAAGGAATTACAAAATTGTCACAAAACAACCAAAATGGAACAAAAGCAGTAAATAAGAGATCTTGAGTACTGACTGAAATGAATAAATGTACCTGACAGCTAGATACTGAAGACAATATATACCGTGTCTGAAAAAATATTTAAAGTGTCAAGGATGTTGAAATATATATAACCCTCTCCTACGATCTCACCTGGCTTGTGACACCCACTATCTCACCTGGCTTGTAACACCCACTATCTGACCTGGCTTGTAACACCCACTATCTGACCTGGCTTGTAACACCCACTATCTGACCTGGCTTGTAACACCCACTATCTGACCTGGCTTGTAACACCCACTATCTGACCTGGCTTGTTAACACCCACTATCTCACCTGGCTTGTAACACCCACTATCTCACCTGGCTTGTAACACCCACTATCTCACCTGGCTTGTAACACCCACTATCTCACCTTGCTTGTAACACCCACTATCTGACCTGGCTTGTAACACCCACTATCTGACCTGGCTTGTAACACCCACTATTTGACCTGGCTTGTAACACCCAATATCTGACCTGGCTTGTAACACCCACTATCTGACCTGGCTTGTAACACCCACTATCTCACCTGGCTTGTAACACCCACTATTTGACCTGGCTTGTAACACCTACTATCTCACCTGGCTTGTAACACCCACTATCTGACCTGGCTTGTAACACCCACTATTTGACCTGGCTTGTAACACCCACTATCTGACCTGGCTTGTAACACCCACTATCTGACCTGGCTTGTAACACCCACTATCTGACCTGGCTTGTAACACCCACTATCTGACCTGGCTTGTAACACCCACTATCTCACCTGGCTTGTAACACCCACTATCTGACCTGGCTTGTAACACCCACTATTTGACCTGGCTTGGAAGTCACTCCCACTTGGAAACCCCACCCTTATGTCACCCAACTTGCAACTCCCAATCCTACTATCTCACCTGGTCTGCAGCCCCAATGTCCCTATATTTCACTTAGTTTGCAAGCTGACCCATACTACATCTCACTTGATGACGTCCTTGTCTCACCTGGTTTGCATATGAAGGTGATCCTGGAGGACGTACTCTTGCCTGGCTTGCAGTTGTCTCCCCCTGTGTAGGTAATCTGGAGGGTCTTCGATGAGGGGTTATATGTTGGGCCCTGTGTGAAGCGGCCCAGCTTCTTGGTGTTACCCTTAGCATCTGCAACCATACCACTTGTGTAACAACTAAACATGAGGCAGAAGCTTCAACAAGTCACTGTACACAGAACTGTATGATATCTAGCAATGAGTTGCTGTGTACCAGAAGAATATGTCTGCTGGCACCTCGATCAAGCATGACTGCAGTTGTTGACACTTTGATCAAATGTGACTAAAGTTGCTGGCAGTTCGATCAAGCATGACTGAAGTTGCTGGCACCTCGATCAAGCATGACTGAAGTTGTTGATACCGTCAAGCATGACTGAAGTTGCTGATACCGTCAAGCATGACTGAAGTTGCTGATACCGTCAAGCATGACTGAAGTTGCTGATACCGTCAAGCATGACTGAAGTTGCTGATACCGTCAAGCATGACTGAAGTTGCTGATACCGTCAAAGCATGACTGAAGTTGTTGATACCGAAGCATGACTGAAGTTGCTGATACCGCAAAGCATGACTGAAGTTGCTGATACCGTCAAGCATGACTGAAGTCGCTGATACCGTCAAGCATGACTAAGTTGCTGATACCGTCAAGCATGACTGAAGTCGCTGATACCGTCAAGCATGACTAAGTTGCTGATACCGTCAAGCATGACTGAAGTTGCTGATACCGTCAAAGCATGACTGAAGTTAAGCTGATACCGTCAAGCATGACTGAAGTTGCTGATACCGTCAAAGCATGACTGAAGTTAAGCTGATACCGTCAAGCATGACTGAAGTTGTTGATACCGTCAAGCATGACTGAAGTTGCTGATACCGTCAAGCATGACTGAAGTCGCTGATACCGTCAAGCATGACTAAGTTGCTGATACCGTCAAGCATGACTGAAGTTGCTGATACCGTCAAGCATGACTGAAGTCGCTGATACCGTCAAGCATGACTGAAGTTGCTGACACCTTCATCAAGCATTTGTAATTTGCATCATCGAAGCTTTAAAGAAACAAATATCACTTTAAGTATTTCAACACCAGTCAACCAGAGGCATTTACTGCCGTGACACCGAGTTCCCTTAGAGACCCTGAGGTCATAGATGAAGCCTATGATTATGAAGGAAATTATAAGCTTGTAAAACGTTATTGCTACTACATCCCATACACCATTTAAAAAGATCTAATCCTACTGTTGATAAATATGTAATTTTTTGAGTAAAATTGATATTTTATACTTATCCTGACTCATGCTCTTTTGCTTGTCCCTTCCTCTTGCGAACATAGTGGAACACTTGTATCTCCTTAATTGAAGCTCCCTTCAATGTAAAATCACTAATTGGTACTCACCCACGAGTTACCTCCCCCGCCGTAAGCTGAACAGGTGTCGCCACCCTCTGGCCTCATGCTTCACTCTCTCCTGATTTTGCGAGCCCAACACTTGAATTTACAGGGAAATCCAAAGTGTTATGTGGGGAGGATGGGAGGGAGTTAACTCATGAGTCAGGATAAGTATAAAATATCAATTTTACTAAAAAAAATTACATATTTTTCCTTATCCTGACTCATGCTCTTTTTGCTTGTAGAACTCCACCGGAGAGGTGGTGGGTAAACAGAATACTTTGGATTATAATTAGTGATTTAAATAAGTGATATAGTAATAACCCTTCAAGGGGAACTTCATAAGGCATTGAGACTTAGGATATTTCCTTTATAATAAGCCATCAGATATATACACTATAAGTGGGGTATTACCTTACTAATATACTGATATATCAATATATATATAAACTGCTACTCTAAAAGTAGCTGTACACTGAATATAAACTCAGTATGAGCTTAAGGTTGAATAACCTAAGCTAAATATGTACATAGCCCTAGAACTCCATGGAGTTATAAGCTAATGAATATATGTATCATATATATAATAATCTCGTGAATATTAACGCTACTGAGGGACTGTCAATTGCTGAGCGAGGACCAAAGGACCGAAAATGGTGAATGCCAGAGGCGCCCTCGTGGTGATATCTCTGAGATAGTGATTAGCAAACACCATGTTAGATTTCCAAAAGCATCCTTCCATAATTGTATTCAATGAACAGTTACCGTGAAGGGCGAGGTGGATGCCAATGCCCTGATTTCATGGGGATTTGATGCTGTTGGAGGGTCCAGTCCTGCTGCCTTATAGGCGTAAAATGACAGTTCTTATCCATATAGATATGGTGAGTGCGAGAGACTTCTGTCTGATTTGGAGGCGATAAGGGGATGAACAATCTTCAGAGCGATCTTAAGCCTTTGTTTTGGAACGGCGTAAATAGATTATGAGAGAGCTCATTGACTGGGCATAGAGATAAGTCCAATGTATCTTGAGATCGAGAATTGAGGGATAAGCAGGGATGTGAAATAACCTGTCTGGTTGACCTGGTAGTTGATTTTGGCGCATGAAATCCCATCTTAATCCCAGGTGCTGTTTTTGATTGTCATCAAACTGTATCCTCTCATAATCTAGAGCATGAATTTCAGATATTCTGGCTGCCGTGGCTAGCGATAACAGGAAAACTGTTTTCTGTGAGAGAAATTCAAAGTTGTCGATTCCAATGGTTCATAATCCTCACTTGTGAGGTGTCGTAAAACTACATTCAGATCCCAAGCTGGAAGTGGAACTTCGCTTTTGGTCCTCAATCGGGAAGCACGTAGTAAGGCCAGTAACTCTGGTGTTCTTGTTAATTTAACACCCGTTCTCATAGAAATCCACAGAACTAAGTGACAAGATATGTTGACAATGTCCGAGGAGCCTTTTAAATGTTTGTTTTGCCGTTAAGTAACACAAATAGTCTGCCGTACTTGAGGATCGCGTGGCATCTCATCGCTGTAAAACCCTTGTTTGCTGCATAATTTTGAAACTTTGCCACTTGTCATGCATTACAAGTTACGCGTTGAGTATCGTGAAGGCAAGCATGACCGCTTTTTGCAGCCCTGGTAGAATATCCTCTCTTGTTTAAACACATTTTAATACAGTCCATACATTGAAGTTTGAATACTTCTGGGTTTCTGTGCACCTGTTTGGTGTGAGGATGTATTAACAGGTTTTGCTTGGCGCTTTGGGTAGTTCTAGTGCCGGTTGACCCGGATATCTTGTATTAGGTGGAAACCACGTTCTGGCCGGACCAATAGAGTGGCGACCAAAGTGAGTTGTAAAGCTCTGCGTTTGGCTGATTTTCTGTAATACTAGAGGTATTATTGCTGGGCTGAGAAACGCGTACGCGCATTGAGGTCTTCCCATGATATGCTTAGAACGTCCGTTGCCCATGCTTGTGGGTCTGGCACTGGTGACACGAATGTCGGTAGTTGATTGTTGAACCTTGTGGCGAATAGATCTACTAGCGGACTCCTATTTGCTTGATTATCTGTGCAAATATCTCCGTATTGAGCATCCATTCTGTCGGGCGATGGTAGATGTGGCGAGAGAGTCGTCTGCTAGTATATTCCTGGCTCCGGGGAATGTGGCATGCTTTGACATGTAGATTTAGATCTTGGATTAATTCAAACAGTTGAAAGGTTAAATTCAAAAGGTTCGGCGACTCTCGTTGAGCCTTGTCTGTTCACATAAAACGCCACTGTCGAGTTGTCGGTATGTATCATCAGGTAGCATTCTGTAGAATGTTGCTCCAATGTCTTATGGCGTTGATTACAGCTTTCATCTCTAATGCGTTTATGTGGAGTTTGCTTTCTAGCTGAGTCCATAACCCTGATGCCGTCCGGTTGGTGAGATGAGCTCCCTCAACCTTGGGCGGCAGCGTCTACATATAGATGGGTTTTGAATTCCTGCTCTGCTAAACAAATCCCTTAGCAGACATTCGATTTCTTTGTCCACCATAATAGATGAGGTCTGAGATGTTTGGTAGACTGAATGGTTGTAGGTCGTCGAGATGTGTGTTGGCGAAGACCTGTAATGGGCGTAACTGTAATCTGCCTATGACTGTCAAGTCTTGGGCTGATGTTAGAACCCTAGTAAGCTCTGCCATTGTCCGAAGTGGTAGCGAAAGTAGAGCTGGTGGAATGATCTGTTGGATCTTGAGCCAACGGTCTTCTGGTACGACTATACGGTTGAGATTGGTGATAAATCGGATGCCTAGGAATTGCAGATCTTGCGATGGTACTAGGTCCGACTTGTGTAAGTTTACTAACCATCCCAGCTGTGTTAGTAGCTTTATGATGTAGTTTAACTGTAGTTTGAGATGCTGTGGATCTTGATCTACTTGTATCCCGTCGTCGAGGAAGAAACGCACTCATTTAGTACTTGACGATGTAGATAGGTAACAATCGGTTTCGTTATCCTGCGTGAATAACCATGGGGCTGATGCTATTCGAATGGGAGTACTTTCCACTGGTAATGTAACCGTCTAGCGTAAACCCGAAGGTATTTCCTGGATTCGGGATGTATCGGGATGTGCAGATAAGCATCTTGTAGATCTATACTGCCCATGTAGTCCATGGGGAATCATCTGCCGTAGCTCGCGGTCAGTGCTGCTGAGACAGGCGTCAGATGATCTGTTAAAAACTGCTGGTCCTTCTTTTGCATCAGTAGGGCCGAGTAAATCATTCTGTCATCTTCAAGGTGGAGTGTTCGAAATCTGGAGATAAGTGTCTCATTTATTGTTCTAGATCTATTTAGACCAAAGAACATACGCCTGCGTCATGGTTTCTATCTGAACCAATTTCCGATCATCAATCTTGTAGTACTTGTTCTTGGCATCGGGAGATCAGCTTATAGTTCTCATCGATGTCTTGCTTTGAAGAAGGGGTCCATATTATCGCGTGGAGAACTTCTTGGCTGAAATTTAACGAGATGTGGCGTCTGAACCTTCGTGGCTTTGTTAAATGCTGTATCTAGGTTCTGAGGTACGCCGCGCAATCCGGGTCGATTGGGGTAGTGTAATAGCATCTGCATCGTCTTCTTTCATCAGATAAGTCTGCGCCGTATTGCCACTCTTGGAAGGTGATGAGAGATCTAGATTATTGACAATCCAATATCTTATCTCTGCATCTGAGGAAAATAATTCCTCCATCATCTTCTATTCCATCATCATAATTAAGAGGTTGTTGCTCTTCTGATGTAGGGCTGTGTGGCTCTATCTCTATATCGTTTGGCGCTTGTGGAGATCTAGTTGTAGGCTTATGTGCAGACCTGTGAGGTGATCGACGGCGGGTGATGGTGATCAGCGGCGATCGTCTTGGTGATCTATATCGATAGGTTGACCTTCTTGGCGACCTATGAGGGGACTGATGGTAGCCAGCGAAGCTCTTATTGTAGTCCCTTGATGACCTTTTAGATGAAGGCGATCTGGGTTCAGGTGTCGCCAGAACGCCTTCGCCAGCGAAGCTTCGCTTACGTCGGTCCTGGGGAGCGATGATATGACCTTCGCGAAGGCTTGCGTGTGGTCTGATGATCAGATTCCGTATCTGAGTATGACGCCGAAGAAGGTGATGATTTTTCGCGAAGGCTGTACATCTGGGTCCTTCGTCGAGGTGGTCTGTGACTTCCTTCGCGAAGGCTGCATTGTCGTGGCTGCTACGTTGACAGATGGTGCCTCTGGGGTGCTGTCTACGTTGGAGCCTTCGCGAAAGCTCGGACCCTGGGATGGCTGCTTCTCCAGTCTATAGTGGCCTTCCATCATAATCATGATCTGTTTCATAAGATGCGTTTGGGATGATCTGCGGCGTAGTAGATGGTGCCCTCTCTGCTGTGCTAGCGGTGGGGCCCTCAGCGATCTCGTCTGACATCAGTGTAGAGGCATCAGGCTGCATGGTGATCTCTGCTGGCGTCACTGTCGCTGTCACTGGTAGAAACTTCTTGTGGTATGTCGGGTATGATGATAGGCTGGTCATCGTGAGGCCCAATTCTGCTGCTGGAGCGATCTCGGCTGAGAAAGTTCTCGATGACTTCGTAGATTTCCCTTTGGAGGATGGCGCTGCCCTGGGGCAAGTCTGAAGTCTGCGTTGAGAAGCGTTGAGGCCCTCTTGGACTTTGTCTGCGATGACTGGATGTCTGGAGAGGCTGGTCGCTTCTTAGAGGTGACGGACTGCATCCCACGTCCCTCTTCCGATGGGGTCTCAAGCAGAACACCAGGCGGGAGGGATCGCTTTCGACAGCAGTTGACTGGATGGGCAATCCGGCGTATCGGCCATGTCTACACCTAGTTTGCGTGACCTATCTGCAACACGTCTCAAAGGCGCAAAGATGGTATTTATCAAAGGCAGAATTGGTTAAATTTATGCAGTAACTGCAGCGTGAATCAAGCGCACAAGGCGTTAGTACAACTAGGGCATACCACATGCGGATCCGCGAAGCGGAAAAGCGTAATCTACAAATAGTACAGTTTTTCATCAATGTAAAACTAGCTGAACAATCCGCGAACTCCGTGAATAAACGGTAGAAATCACGATTAATTATCAATGCCAATAACTGAAGGATACTAGCTATACCTTTATAGTAAACTATAATAGGTAACTAACTAAGAAAACCAAAAGGATATAGTGTGTAAGGAGACACAGAGCTCTCACATCCTGCTCACTGGTGAAGAAGGAGAGAGTGAAGCATGAGGCCAGAGGGTGGCGACACCTGTTCAGCTTCGGCGGGGGAGGTAACTTCGTGGGTGAGTACCAATTAGTGATTTTACATTGAAGGGCTTCAATTAAGGAGATACAAGTGTTCCACTATGTTAGCAAGAGGAAGGGACAAGCAAAGAGCATGAGTCAGGATAAGGAAAAATATGAAGTTTATTTTTATAATATTATTCAAATAATACAACTACAACTTAAATAAATGTATTTTTGAATGAAAATGCAAGCTTACATTTATAGCGTCCAGATAAACCACGAAGAAGCAAAAACTATGGCGATTTTTTCCATTTGTGACATGTGATAACATGCCCGTGCCTTTTCTTTTATATTTTCATTTTCGTCATCAGAAAATTATTATAAAAAGATTTCTTAAATAATATGTATGGTCGCCTATTTCCCGATATCTGTGGCTTTCCGGCTCGGTAACATGACATAACAACGGAAAATACCTCCGTTTTCGAGCTTCGTATGCATAACATGCGAGGCCGAATCGTTTGATGGCGGGCATCGTTAAAGCTCTGAACATCAACAATATCACTGTACCCTTGCCAAGAGTATTTTCACAGTTGTAAGAAGCGATTTTATTGGATAAAGATTGGTTTCTAATGGCGCTTTTTAAGCCACAGTCTGCTATAAGGGTCGTGATTGGTCAAAATCAGACCGTGACCTAAGGCAGCCAATCATATTCGGCAATGGATACCGTCCTAAATAGCGAAAACCTTCAGATTTAGACAAAGTTTTGGGTAAAATAATGCTATTCTGAACATATTAAGCAAGAAATGCGCTACCCTGTATGTAAATTATGGAACTTATTGGACGTGTCGTGCTAGGTTATGACCTGTGACAAAAATGCTTCATGTATATATTTTTAAGCATTAAACATCGTGTCCGGTGAAGATTGAGTGAGAGCCGAGATGTCACTTCGTCAGTGACTTGACTTGCATTACATGATCGCACAAAAGATGGAAATAGTAATTTTATATGTGCGTTTGACAACTTTTATGAATGTTGTTGTTGATTTTATTCATTAGTTTATTCAATTTATTTAATGAATTCCTCGAAACATCGTTACTTTGCTCTTTCACAATGTTATTGTAGACCAGCTGCCGAAGCATGTGTCGAGAATCGTTGTTTTCAATAACATTGCGAAAAATAGTTTATAATTTTAATTCTGCTGATAATATATGATAAATTGAAATTTAATAAGTGTTTTCAGACATTGTGAAATGTGATAGATTTAATATATGAATCATAAGTCAGGTAGGTTCCTAAAATTATGTCTCATTTTGGCGTGACTACTGCCTGGCGGCAATGCGGCCTCCGGTGTCTGGGGACTCATAGCGTTGTGGCCACTTAAAGCGCCTGCGGTGTTGAAAGGGTTAGGTACATTTGTTTATATGAACTGAGTATACCTTTCCTACAGATACTGTTGGCAGTGCAGCCTGAGGTGCTGTTGAGGATGTCGTTGCACACGTTGACGTAGTAGCGAGACTGTTCGTACTGGTTCTCACCATCCAGAGCCACCCAGTTTGAACCTGAGTGTGTGGGGAGACAAATGTTCAAGGTTTAGTCACAGATCTTATAATGGCTATGTACTAACAGTCCAGGGTAATTTCCTGAGTCTTCATATATCATATTTATATTACTATCAGCACCCAACACTATGCATGGATGTTTGTCTTCAGCGTCTTTGACATTGCATTCATTGATGAAAGTTGTTGAAAACATGGCTGGAATGACAGTTGTTGGCCATTACCTTATTCAAATCATCAACGCTAAGAATGTGAAGTTCCATTACCCATGCTCAATCTAACTTTTATAAGTCATTGAAAATACAATACAGTGAAGTAAGGTTCCAAACCCACCAAACACAAGTTTAGAAGTAGGACAGAGGCACAATCATCGTGATCAGATGGAGATAAATCATGATAAATGGCACATAATATTCTTGTCTGGGTGACCTAAAGTTAAAAGGTAAATTCTAAACTGAAGCCACTCACCTGAGTTCCTAACGAGGGCTGACAGGTCATACCGCTGCTGGTTGTGGTCAACCCGACACGCCCCCAAGGCCAAGTGGTTCTCACAAGCGTACTTGGTCTCCCAGTCAAACAGGTAGGTGCAGTTGTTAGCCTCCCGAAACACTGGCCAGCCCCGACCGTTATTAGCTGTGGGGAGGAGAAAGTAACATCGTCAAGTTCATTAATGACCAGATTATTGGGAACATCAGCTGATGAAACAATGTCCAGATGGATCATTACACTTATCAGAGGGAACACAAAGTCTGCAGTCTAGACTGCCAGCTGTCCGACTTCCATTTTTGTGGAAGTCGCGGTGGCTGAGCGGGTTAGGCGGCTGGCTTTGTGTGCAGGTGATTAGGTGCCTGACTCTGAGGGGGTGGGTTCAAATCCCACATGGGACTCAACCCAACAAAAGTAGTAGAATCTGTACTCTACTAAGAAAGTGTAATCCCAAAAATACAGATTAACTTAGTCACGATAAGACTTACACGATAACCTACACAAAAACAACCAAGCTGTCATCGCTGTCCTGACATCAATACTTTCTAAACTACCAATTAACCTTAACATATGTTTCAAACTTAAAAGTTGCACAGTGGTCAACTTGTTGGACCTGTTCCTCAAAGTGATCTTAATGCTTGCATGCTATTTAGTCTATGTTACAGCATATCAGTTTAGATGTTGAATGGGGGACTGGCCAAAGAGACAAAACTAATGCTACTTTCACACAATGTGCCATGATATAACATGTCTTATCAAGATGTCACTGAAGTCCACAGACCTGCAGTCATGTTGCATTTGAATGTGATGATGGTGTTCCTCCTGAAATGGGTGTGGCATGCAGTTCCATCTTTGTAGGTCAAGGTCAGCTCTCCATCTGTCATTCTGTAATTAAAAGCAGCATGTACATGCTTAAGCAATTATTCTAATGAGAAATGCATGCATTTGGTTAATCCAGAAAGCATCATTTAATTTAACTATCTAAATCAGATCCTGGCATGTATAAGGGACACAACTCTTCATGTAAAACTGTGGTCCTCAGATGACATTGACCATGATGATATATTTTCAAGTTAACTTTAAAATCTGCTGAAAAAATGTCAACAGTAGAGCTTAAGTGACCATCCAATCCTCTATCAACTTGGCTATTACCATAATCAGTGGAATTCGAAGGCATTCATTCACCAAATCAACACGTGTGACAGCTGATACTAATTATGGGCATTTTACAACAAGCTCAAGTTGCTGATCACCAATTGTATCCTAGATCTTCACTGGTTGTTAAACAATGATTTTCATAAAAAAACAAAAAAACTATTTGTATCATTTCAGCAATATTTTAACATTGAATTCAGTTCCACTATATAGAACTAAACCACTGACACAAGCTGCAAACAAAGGCCAAATATCAGCCTGTGAGCATGTCAAGATAAATCAGTATGTCTATACCGAAGTTTCATGGTGTCCTTCTTTCCGAGGCTCTTGGCAAAGGTGGAGTCATGATCCTTCAACTGGCAGGCTGACGCTGAGTCCTTCTTCTCAGGACACTCGAGCCCGAGGGAATCACACACATTGAGAACGTACACGTAGTGGTCGGTTCCGTCAGTCACATTCATTTTGTAGGGGTTGTCAGCAGCTAGAACACAGGGGAGACGATCAAAACATGACAACATCAGTTTACATTTATGTGGATAGGTTCTGTTGTCATGGAAACAATAGTCTCAACATGAAATCATCAGTTTATGTATAGAGCAGGTTCTGTTGTCATGGAAACATACAATCTCAACATGACATCATCAGTTTCAATTTATAGAGCAGGTTCTGTTGTCATGGAAACATACAATCTCAACATGACATCATCAGTTTCAATTTATAGAGCAGGTTCTGTTGTCATGGAAACATACAATCTCAACATGACATCATCAGTTTCAATTTATAGAGCAGGTTCTGTTGTCATGGAAACATACAATCTCAACCGCGACATCATCAGTTTCAATTTATAGAGCAGGTTCTGTTGTCATGGAAACATACAATCTCAACATGACATCATCAGTTTCAATTTATAGAGCAGGTTCTGTTGTCATGGAAACATACAATCTCAACATGACATCACCAGTTTCAATTTATAGAGCAGGTTCTGTTGTCATGGTCTATACAATCTCAACATGACATCATCAGTTTATGTGGGCTGGTTCCGTTGTCATGGAAGCATATGATCTCAACATGACATCATCAGATTATGTGGGCAAGTTATGTTGTCATGGAAACATACAATCTCATGAACAGAGCAGGCCAGAGTGACATCATGCTTGACTGACCACAGTTAACAGAACTTCACAGAAACACAATGTCTTTTATAAAAACCCTAAAACTTTCATTGTACAAAATACAGACTGACAATGTTGGTTACTTATACTCAACACCACCTCCTGATGCCCGGGATAGTCTTTATTCAAACTAAAGCTTTGTGAGAACATGTATGTGACATGTTAGAATTCATTGAAACACATTCAGAGCTTCAGGCAGATTATCACTCTTAAAACCTTGACTCATTGACGAATGCTGACTCACTCACAAATCTTGACTCACTGACGAATGTTGACTCAATGACAAACCTTGACTCAATGACAAATCTTGACTCACTGACAAATGTTGACTCACTGACAAATCTTGACTCACTGACGAATGTTGACTCAATGACAAACCTTGACTCACTGACAAATCTTGACTCACTGACAAATGTTGACTCAATGACGAATGTTGACTCAATGACAAACCTCGACTCACTGACAAATGTTGACTCACTAGCAAATGTTGACTTACTGACGAATGTTGACTCAATGACAAATCTTGACTCACTGACGAATGTTGACTCAATGACAAACCTCGACTCACTGACAAATGTTGACTCACTAGCAAATGTTGACTTACTGATGAATGTTGACTCAATGACAAACTCAATGTTGACTCAATGACAAATCTTGACTCAATGGCTTAATGTTGACTCACCGACAAACCTTGACTCACTAACAAATGTTGACTTACTGACGAATGTTGACTCAATGACAAACTCAATGTTGACTCAATGACAAACCTTGACTCACTGACAAATGTTGACTCACTGACGAATATTGACTCAATGACAAACCCCGACTCACTGACAAATCTTGACTCACTAACAAATGTTGACTTACTGATCTAATGTTGACTCAATGACAAACTCAATGTTGACTCAATGACAAACCTTGACAAACTGACAAATCTTGACTCACTGACGAATGTTGACTCAATGACAAACCCTGACTCACTGACAAATCTTGACTCACTAACAAATGTTGACTTACTGACGAATGTTGACTCAATGACAAACCTTGACTCAATGACAAACCTTGACTCACTGACAAACCTTGACTCACTGACAAATCTTGACTTACTGACGAATGTTGACTCAATGACAAACCTTGACTCACTGACAAACCTTGACTCACTGACAAATCTTGACTCAATGACGAATGTTGACTCAATGACAAACCTCGACTCACTGACAAATGTTGACTCACTAACAAATGTTCACTTACTGACGAATGTTGACTCAATGACAAACCTTGACTCACTGACAAAACTTGACTCACTGACAAATCTTGACTCACTGACGAATGTTGACTCACTGACAAACCTTGACAAACTGACAAATCTTGACTCACTGACGAATGTTGACTCAATGACAAACCTTGATTCACTGACAAATCTTGACTCACTAACAAATGTTGACTTACTGACGAATGTTGACTCAATGACAAACCTTGACTCAATAACAAATGTTGACTTACTGACGAAATGTTGACTCACTGACAAACCTCGACTCACTGACAAATCTTGACTCACTAACAAATGTTGACTTACTGAAATGTTGACTCAATGACAAACCTTGACTCACTGACAAACCTTGACTCACTGACAAATCTTTGACTCACTGAAATGTTGACTCACTGACAAACCTTGACAAACTGACAAATCTTGACTCACTGACTTAATGTTGACTCAATGACAAACCTTGATTCACTGACAAATCTTGACTCACTAACAAAGGTTGACTTACTGACGAATGTTGACTCACTAACAAACCTTGACTCACTAACAAATGTTGACTCACTGGCGAATGTTGACTCAATGACAAACCTTGACTCACTGACAAATGTTGACTCACTAACAAATGTTGACTTACTGGCGAATGTTGACTCAATGACAAACCTTGACTCACTGACAAATGTTGACTTAATGTTGACTCAATGACAAACTCAATGTTGACTCAATGACAAACCTTGACTCACTGACAAATGTTGACTCACTGACTAATATTGACTCACTAACAAATGTTGACTTACTGACGAATGTTGACTCAATGACAAACTCAATGTTGACTCAATGACAAACCTTGACTCACTGACAAATGTTGACTCACTGAGCTAATATTGACTCAATGACAAACCCGACTCACTGACAAATCTTGACTCACTAACAACAATGTTGACTTACTGATCTATGTTGACTCAATGACAAACTCAATGTTGACTCAATGACAAACCTTGACTCACTGACAAATGTTGACTCACTGGCGAATATTGACTCAATGACAAACCCGACTCACTGACAAATCTTGACTCACTAACAAATGTTGACTTACTGGCGAATGTTGACTCAATGACAAACTCAATGTTGACTCAATGACAAACCTTGACTCACTGACAAATCTTGACTCAATGACAAACCTTGACTCAATGACAAACCTTGACTCACTGACAAACCTTGACTCACTGACAAATCTTGACTCAATGACGAATGCTGACTCAATGACAAACCTCGACTCACTGACAAATGTTGACTCACTGACAAATGTTCACTTACTGATCGAATGTTGACTCAATGACAAACTCAATGTTGACTCAATGACAAACCTTGACTCACTGACAAATGTTGACTCACTGACTAATATTGACTCAATGACAAACCCCGACTCACTGACAAATCTTGACTCACTAACAAATGTTGACTTACTGGACGAATGTTGACTCAATGACAAACTCAATGTTGACTCAATGACAAACCTTGACTCACTGACAAATGTTGACTCACTGACTTAATATTGACTCAATGACAAACCCGACTCACTGACAAATCTTGACTCACTAACAAATGTTGACTTACTGACTCGAATGTTGACTCAATGACAAACTCAATGTTGACTCAATGACAAACCTTTGACTCACTGACAAATGTTGACTCACTGACAAACCTTGACTCAATGACAAACCTTGACTCACTGACAAACCTTGACTCACTGACAAATGTTGACTTACTGACGAATGTTGACTCAATGACAAACCTTGACTCACTGACAAACCTTGACTCACTGACAAATCTTGACTCAATGACGAATGTTGACTCAATGACAAACCTCGACTCACTGACAAATGTTGACTCACTGACAAATGTTCACTTACTGACGAATGTTGACTCAATGACAAACCTTGACTCACTGACAAAACTTGACTCACTGACAAATCTTGACTCACTGACGAATGTTGACTCACTGACAAACCTTGACAAACTGACAAATCTTGACTCACTGACGAATGTTGACTCAATGACAAACCTTGATTCACTGACAAATCTTGACTCACTAACAAATGTTGACTTACTGACGAATGTTGACTCACTGACAAACCTTGACTCACTAACAAATGTTGACTTACTGACGAATGTTGACTCACTGACAAACCTCGACTCACTGACAAATCTTGACTCACTAACAAATGTTGACTTACTGACGAATGTTGACTCAATGACAAACCTTGACTCACTGACAAACCTTGACTCACTGACAAATCTTGACTCAATGACAAATGTTGACTCAATGACAAACCTCGACTCACTGACAAATGTTGACTCACTAACAAATGTTCACTTACTGACGAATGTTGACTCAATGACAAACCTTGACTCACTGACAAAACTTGACTCACTGACAAATCTTGACTCACTGACGAATGTTGACTCACTGACAAACCTTGACAAACTGACAAATCTTGACTCACTGACGAATGTTGACTCAATGACAAACCTTGATTCACTGACAAATCTTGACTCAATGACAAACCTCGACTCACTGACAAACCTCGACTCACTGACAAATGTTGACTCACTAACAAATGTTGATTTACTGACGAATGTTGACTCAATGACAAACATTCACTCTCTGACAAACCTTGATTCACTGACAAACCTTCATTCTGATAAAACATTCACTCTCTGACAAATCTTGACTCAGTGACGAACCTTGACTCACTGACAAATGTTGACTTAATGACGAATGTTGACTCAATGACAAACTCAATGTTGACTCAATGACAAACCTTGACTCACTGACAAATCTTGACTCAATGACGAATCTTGACTCAATGACAAACCTCGACTCACTGACAAATGTTGACTCACTAACAAATGTTGACTTACTGACGAATGTTGACTCAATGACAAACATTCACTCTCTGACAAACCCTGATTCACTGACAAACCTTCATTCTGATAAAACATTCACCCTCTGACAAACCTTGATTCACTGACATTCACTCACTGACAAACCTCCTTGGCCGAATTCAGAATAGATGAAACAGAAGACCTAACATCCCCACTCTCTCACTTCTCTTGGTACCTGGAAACAGAACAGCCACCCCAGCATATCCCACACCAAAAGGTTAACCGTGCATAGTTAAACTAGTCAGCCCTACTCACCAGGTGGGTTTTTAAGAGGTGTAAGATCAATGTCGATATTGTGGTTTTCCTGGGTCAGTACACAGGTGTCGCTGGTCAGTGTGGATTCTGGACATGCATACTCTGTCTTCCACTCGATCTGGTTGTGACACAGCCGGTCGTCAATCAGCAGCGGGTCCTTACTCTGAAGGTCAAGGATCAGAAGCCATGTTTAGTGTTCCTCATATAGGTCACACAGCATTGTCAGGACACAATTTAGCGAGGACATCTATCAGTGATAAGCGTACAGATTTGAGCCATACTAGCTAGAGAACAGTAATTGCCACGTAACCGTTATCGCCAATACATCAGTATCACTTGTGCACAGTACCGGTATTTTTGTCCCAAAGGTATTTGACAACAATAAAGGACAGCAAAAGAAAAATAAAACGTTAAAGTCCCTTGTGACCTTTAAATGAAGGTCAAGGTCACCAAACCTGACTGGGACCTTTCTTATACTGTGATGAACCTAGGTACCAAATAAGAAAAGAATCTAGTCAACGGTTCTTAAGATATTCCCATTCGTACATACGGACAGATGGATGGACGGAGCCTAATACTATATCCCCCGCTTTGCACTTAACGCGTGGCGGGGGATGATAATAAGGTGATCTCTAACATGTCATGGCTTATTCCAGCCATACAAACTGTTGTCTTGGATTGATTAGTCTAAGAGTTACTTCCCTTAGCCAAATTTACTTAGCTTACTTTAAGTAAGATCAAGTTTTCTATCCAAGCACACAAATGCTTTATTTATACTTGGGGACAAAGTGTTGCTTGACGAAATCATTCACAGTAGGGGTTGTTTCACAGGCAAATGAGAAAACATGATGGTAATTTTATTTTTGCTGTTTAGGGCTAAACTCAGCAAAATTCCTACTACATGATGACATTCTGTGGAGACTGTCCAGTGAAAGTACTTATAAACATATCTGCCCTCATCAAATTAGTTCTTTTAAACGAAAATCTTTATCAAGTGAATACCTCACATTTATATTTATAGGTTGCAAGACTGAATGAGTGAGTGAGTTAGTTTTACGCCACACTCTGCAATATTCCAGCTCTATGGCAGCAATCCGTGAATAATCAAGTCTGGACCAGACAATCCTGTGATCAACAGCATGCGCATTGATCTATGCAACTGGGATGCGATGACATGTGTCAGCCAAGTCAGCGACCCTGACCACCCAATCCTCACAAGTATGGATTACTGAAGACCAATTCTAACCCGGACCTTCACGGGCCTAGACTGCAAGACATGTTCACCTACCCCTCCTCTGGTGGGACACACGAAGGTTATAGTTGTTGTTGGATTGTCCACACATCCATCTGGCTTTACCGTAGTCTTATATTGCAACAACAGGTTGCCATCGACAGAGCGCTGTAGACTGCCAAATGGCTTTCCCATATCCTCCGCCTTGCCGTCAAGGATCCGACAAGCACTTGTCCCAACAGGACATTTGCTGGATGGGTCTTGAAATGCAAAATGGACATTCAAATGAACTGTTATGCTCTGAAGGATTTCATGACCAATATTCTGGTCACTGATGATGAATTTCAATACAGATATATTACAATACTTAATGCTATGCAGGGTCAAGGGATAATTTGGATCTCTCTTAGAGTATTGGAATTTAGTTACCCATACGTCTTTAACCTTAAACACGTGAAGGTCATTTCAATATTCAGGTTATGATCAGAAGACCTGGCGTTTGTGCTCAATTCCAAATAGTTATGACAGAATCTACAGCAACATTTCTCAGGACTATACATAATACAAACACAGTTAATATACTTAACATCATTAAGATAGAAATTACCCAGGTACATGTTTATCAGAATGCAAGTTTTGAAAACACATGTAACGAAAAGTTCCTATAACATCTTGCTAAAATTATCTTATCCGTGATAACAGCTCTAGCTGACAGTGCTAAACAGAAAATTTGCCCTGTCTGTTGTGTGTGTCTTTTACCTACATCTGGCTGATTCCTGTGATCAGTTGATTTGTTTGTTTGTTTGTTTATTGTTTAATGCCACACTCAGCAATATTCCAGCTATATGATGGCGGTCTGTAAATAGTCCAGTGATTGACATCATGAGCACTGATCTCTGCAATTTGCCTACGATGACATGCATCACCCATGCTAGCGAGCCTGACCACCAGATCCTGTTAGTCTCCTCTTACGACAAACATGGGTTACACTGTGCAGAAGATCAATTCTAACCCGGACCTTTACTGGTCGTGATCAGTTGATGAGGAATATACTACATTCTATTGTATAGCATATCTTCGCTGTTTGTTAACTTCACTCCAAATTCTTTCACAAAGAGATTTCTGGTTAACTTTTTTGTTTCAACTTGAAAATCAACAACATAGTGAGTGAGTGAGTTAGTTTTACGCCGCACTCAGCAATATTCCAGCTATATGGCGGCGGTCTGTAAATAACTGAGTCTGGACCAGACAATCCAGTGATCAACAGGATGAGCAGCGATCTGCGCAAATGGAAACCGATGACATGTGTCAACCAAGTCAGCGACCCTGACCACCCGATCCTGTTAGTCGCCTCTTACGACAAGCATGGGTTACGAAGACTAATATTCTAACCCCGACCTTCACGGGTCTCAACAACATACCAACAAGTAACAACATAAAGTTGACCAACATTCCACAACCTGAGTTCTAGTCACTTACCAGAACCTGCTCCTGTAATGTCTCGGCAGACGTTGATGTAAAACTGGCGATTCGCCCGTCGAGTCCACTAAATAGGCCCCAGTTGTTTTAGCCAAGGGAGATAAGTCATATTTTTCGTTCTTGAGATACAGATAGCAAGGCACTTCCTCCACAGGTTTATTAACGTCTTCACAGAACACATGAGATTCCCATTCAAAGTAAGTGGAACATTCAAAAGCTCCCAAGAACACTGGCGAGCCCTGAAAGAGAAAATACATAAGGCTGTAAGAGTGAAATGTTTGATGGAAATTGCTAGTGTTTGTGTGCTACATTCTCATTATGTGGCAGTGGTCTGTAAATAATCAAGTCTGGACCAGACAATCTGTGTATCATGGTTTCCTGGTTAACATCATACATCAATACTACCATGATGGTGAGTGAGCTTAGCTTAGTTATAGTTTTACGCTGCACTCAGCAATATCCCAGCTATCTGGCGGCAATCTGTAAATAGTCAAGTCTGGGCCAGACAATCCAGTGATCAACAGCATTGGCATCAATCTACGCAACTAGGAGACAATGACATGTGTCAACCAAGTCAGCAAACCTGACCACCCGATCACGCTAGTCACCTCTTACAAGCATGGGTTACTGAAGAGACCAATTCTAACCCAGATCTTCACAAGTTGCCTGCTATGACAAGCACAGGTTGCCAAAGGTGAAGTTTAAAACGGATGTGTATCATGGTTTCCTGGTTAAGACCATACATCAATACTATCATGATGGCCAGTGAGCAATGCTAGCAGGTTCATTCATGCATTTTTTAGAACTAACGGACCTCCTTACTAAGAACGAGTGCAAACAGGCTTGTCAATAAATACATCATATATTGGAATCAACTGAAATAACAATTGCTTTTATAATATTCCCCTTCTTTTTTTTGTCAATACATAGTTTACGATATGAAATACGGACCTTGGCATACTTTCAGACACAGGTTAGTCAAATTAATTCATTGCATAACTTCATTTGAAAAGATGCACTGCATTTGTTTATTTCTTGTTTCATGCTGCAATCAGCTATATGACGACAGTCTGCAAATAACTGAGTCTGTTCCTGACACCATGTGGTTGACATCAGGAGCATCGATCTATGCAACTGCGATATGATGACATGCATCAACTCCCCTCGATCCTGTTGGCCACCTCTTACAACAGGCATGGGTTGGTGAAGACCAACTCCCCTCGATCCCGTTGGCCACCTCTTACAACAGGCATGGGTTGGTGAAGACCAACTCCCCTCGATCCTGTTGGCCACCTCTTACAACAGGCATGGGTTGGTGAAGACCAACTCCCCTCGATCCCGTTGGCCACCTCTTACAACAGGCATGGGTTGGTGAAGACCAACTCCCTGATCCTGTTATCTTACTGGGTTGGTGAAGACCAACTCTGACTCCCTATCTGAAGCACTGAATACTTCAGCCAGTCAACAACAACAAATATCTACATTGAATAATAATTATATTTGTGCTGCTTACCAATGTTTTTCCACACTTAAAGTAAATGATTGTTGTTCTGTATTCCGTCGGCATACTTGGGCAAGGGTCACCACGAAAGAATGCAATAACTTCTCCATCTTTACTATTTTTTGTTGCATTGAATGTGGTTGTGTGGTTGCCCAGAGAGATGGCCTGTTTTCCCTTCGTCAGCTGGCAGATGGAAGTCTTTAGGGGACACTCGTTGGCCGCATTGGAAACTGTCACAGCTTCGCACAGGCTAATTTTGTATGTAATGTTTCCATCGAATGATGACGATATCCAAGGGTTATATCTACAACAATAAAACATAAAGATTATGTACTATGTGTCCCAATACCAAATCCCCATCAACCCACCTACCTTGTGACTAAACAAGGTCATCAGATGAAACATCCTCCTGGTCTGAGCCCAGTTTCACAACGCGTTGTGATGCGACTGTCCCATACTTTAACACAGACTTACGACAGTCGTAGCGCTACGATAGCTTTGTGAAACAGGACCCTGGTGTATTTGGGCAAATGTGTTCGCCTAGTCACACCACTTTTGTACATTGTCACCTGATGTTGATGCTCAGAATTTTCCAACATCCAAATCATCAAAAGGCATCAGTTCACCAACAGACTGATCAGCATAACTTTCGCCAAGAAACATTCAGTGGTTTTAAAGTTACACTCCGCAAACAGACATGGTGATCGCTATGCCCACCCATTTTCAGACAGGGGAGATAAAAAACAACACAACCCTTCAGCTTTCCTCTTCACTCTTTTGTTTATTACCAGATTATATATTCCTTTTCATTAAAATGTGGTGTGTAAGAACATTTTAAACTTCTTATCATGGTTATGGTCAGTTTAAGTTTTGAGTGGGTGATATGGTTTAGCTCCATGTTATTGATATTCCAGATAAAATAATAATTATAAGATTACTATTATAGCGCCTCATCCACGTCACTGAGGGACATGCTCAAAGCACATACAAGTCACACTTCATTATGACCCCGAATACCCAAGCTGCCTGTGAAGTGCGGGAAGGTTATAGTCACATGACTTATCCCACCAGTTACCCATTTTCTGCTGGGTGAACAGAGGCAACATATGGCATGGGACCCCATCCATGCAGGGGTGGAAATAACTTTAAAATTGCTAGTGTACTCCGGTACAGTGGCACATGTAAAATCACTTGCCCTGATAATTTATCCACTATACCGGCCGTTTTCTTGTTGATTTTTTAAATAAACAACATAATTAATATTGGAAAGTCAACTGGACACCGGTACAGTGTGATATACAAATTTGCTTGCCCAACAGAAAAAAACACTGGACTCGGGCGTCAGGCAATGGGTTATTTCCACCCCTGCCATGTATGGAACAAATATATCAGGATGTGAATGCTTTGACTATTAGTCTACCCCACACTCCTTCTTTAAAGTAAGTGTGACATAAACGGTCACTGAAACAAAGGAACTAACCAGATTAGTCATATTTACATATTCCCAAGGTGAGATGAACTGCTCATATTTCAGTATAATTTTTACAATCATATCTATTAACACCACAAACTTCAGTCCCTGAATAACAATTCCTAAAGAAGCATGGTCAAGAATGGTTAAGAGAGACTGCAAGGCTGATCTACATCATTCAGTACCTGTATCGAAATAGAGCTTAGTTTGTGTGCCATGGCATTGTGAATATTGAAATAGCTTGGATAAAATATTTTGAGTCAGCCCTGGCTGCATGACTAAAATTATAAAGATAATTAATACTCACTATGATTTGTTTAATGGAAAATGTGATAAATTTGACCAACTCACATGATTCAAATTTTTGGGGGCACCCCATCAAACTGTTTATCAGTGGCACTCTAAATCTCAAAGATTAACCTGAGCATAGCCACTTTGAATGCCGGCGCACATAACTAAATAAAAGGAAATCCTGTTTTTGATGATAACATAGTTTGTGGGTTGGTCCAGGACAAATGAAGCTGAAATATTCATGCAGTCATATAGTGTTCAGGAAATCCAGCTCTCAAGCTTACAAGTTAAAATATGCACAATAAATAACCATAGGATAATCAACTTTAAGTTGAGTATGTAAGGATATATGCATTGATGTGAATTGAAACAACTCACACAAAATGACAAGATGCTTAGCTACCCCTAGTATCCTCTTCACCTTGCATACTTATATAGCTTTGTATTTACTGATTGACTACATACGAATATACATACAAATGCGTACCCCCATATATATATATATATATATATACATATATATACAGTGAGACCCCAGATACCCGGACCCCAAATATCCAGAAACCCCGCCTTCCAGTCAATTTTCATAAAAAAACAATCTCTTACGTTATAAAAGTGACTGTCTATAACGGATATGCGGTTTCCGTTCCCGGACGGTAAATTTTACAAACCAACCGGTTAAATCAACACAAAATTGACTCACTTATCCGCACGAAGCTTTGATCTTCCGCTGACCGTGTGAAGTGAAACGGAGTGTCCCACGTGTTTTGACACAAGACAAGGTCTGCTAATCCGGATTAATGATCGATCAGCAGGGTATTGGTGGTGATTAGTAGGCCTGTCTGACACAGAGTGAATTATAGTTGGCAAATCAAAGCGACCATGCTGTTTTGGAAGTGATTTTAAACCAGAAGTGTATTCTCGCTACCGTTCAAACACCTACTATATTATTGTGCATGTGTGAACTTGTTCGCCGGAAAACGTGTGCACAGCTGATTGCTATTTCCGGCTCAAATACACACGGTAATCTTAATGCCCAACAATAACAACTTAGAACTTAAAAGGTAAATAATCTTGTCTAGTGATGTTTAATTGCAAATTTGATGTTTTTACTGACAAAGTCGTCTTCTGTTGTTTGTTCACGAGAAGTGATGTGATGTTGTTTTCTAACCCCTGGAAAAAAGTTTGACGAAAGCGTAACTGATGAAGATAAGCCGACCGCCTTCTACACACTGCTTTTTTCATCCTCAAAATTCGGCTTATGGACGGTAGTATACGGTAAGCCTGGATGACAGAAATCCAGATATCCGGACGATTTCCGTAAATGAATGAATGAATGAATGAATGAATGAATGAATGAATGAATGAATGAATGAATGAATGAATGAATGAATGAATGAATGAATGAATGAATGAATGAATGAATGAATGAATGAATGAATGAATGAACTGTCCTGCAGGGAATTATGACAAATAAATGCTACGTCCCATTCACAGTAACCTAAGATACATGTTTATAAACAGTTCATTCACAGGTTTCTTAACATTCGATAGACAGGATCTGAGGGAATATAAATATCATCAATACCCAAAGTAAACTACCCAAAGTGAATCATAACATGCAAGTACATACATAGTGGCTAGAAGATTTATCTGCAGCCATGATCAGTAATCATTGTGTAACAGCTCCCAGATAACATGTGTGGTCATCACTATATCTGGCTGTCTGATTACCATAAATGCTGACAAATCTGATGATCCTAACTGTTCTTAAATTCCAACATTAAAGGGATACCTGCACTGTCTAATGCTACTTTATTCAACATATTTTGACTTCGCAATAACTAATTAGTGCTCTGTGTCTAAGCATGACATTGCATCTGTGTAATAGGGGCAGGCATAACCTGAAAAGCTTATATCATCAGATTAACATTTTCTGAAAGTCATGAAATTCTGAACAACCATTTCTTTGTGACAATGTTAAAATATTTTCAGTATTTTGCTGGAGTGAGTGAGTTTAGTTTTATGCCGCACTCAGCAATATTCCAGCTATATGGCGGCGGTCTGTAAATAATCGAGTCTGGACCAGACAATCCAGTGATCAACAGCACGAACATCGATCTGCGCAATTGGGAACCGATGACATGTGTCAACCAAGTCAGCGAGCCTGACCACCCGATCCTGTTAGTCGCCTCTTACGACAAGCATAGTCGCCTTTTGTGGCAAGCATGGGTTGCTGAAGACCTATTCTACCCCGTATCTTCACGGGTCTGTATTTTGCTGGAGTTTTAGTATGCAAGTGTTAGTTATAAAATGTTCTGTTTCCAGGCACTGACGGGACTTAGTCATGTTTGTCCTGCTGTTTGTCTTTTATACATGCGAGGACATGAACTTCATGTGGCATATGTAATAACAAGGAAAATATTAGCAACAGGAATGTAATCATGGTTGCAAAGAAGACATAAACTAGCAACTAAGCATGATGATATATTAGCACAGGTCATATATTTGAGCATCTGTCAGTTAATGTCTCAGTCCTGCTGCGAGTTTGAACCACAGACCTTCTCGTCCAAGGTCGGCTTTTCGCCATGACCAAACAGGTTAACCTCGTCAGCAGGCTGACATGGTATGGATGTCACCTGTGGGATATTCCATGTCCTGCTACATTATTAACATTAAACCCACACCAGCCATATAGAAGGCTAATGAGACTTTCATCTTGTTCAAATTTATATGAAAGTGCTCAGCTCCAGTTTGGGCATCAGTTCAGCAGCCATAAAAGTTTTGAGTCTTGTGATGGGATTCAAACCACAGACCATATTTTCAAAGACTAAATGGCGTGTTAATAAGCTGACAGGGTACAAATGTCATCAGTACAGCTTAACTCTATGTTCGCCACTTAAGAAGATATTGTTAAACATGTTCAACCCACTAACTGTAAGATTTTTACACTCATATCACAATCTAAAACAGTTAGGAACCATCCTACATTTCTACTTTGGATTTTGAAGAAATAATTAAATAATATATCTTCATACAGTAAACTGAAGCCTGAGTCAAACTTACATGTCACCCTGCTGATATTAAATTTGCTGGTAAGTGTAGCTCCCCATATCAATATACCTGAAGCCTATACATGGCTTTACATCTCAAAACCTGTGAGCTGCAACCAAAGAGAGCCAAGTGGTGAACACATAACTGCAAGTTTGCTTCATGTCATCTGCTAAATTTGCATGTGTTAAGTTGTTATGAATTCAAAATGATTTTAGACACTTTAAGCATATAACATGAATCTGAGTTATTATATGTTGTTATTATTACCTAGGCCGAGCCTTGTTACCTACCAACTTGCTGATAGGCAAAATGTATCGTGATCTTTATTACCGTTACGTGCAAGTGACAGCGCCATTATCAACTTCAAAACGATGCTTCCTATTTATGACATTTATCTTGGCAACAAGTAAAGTGTAGGAAGCAGATTTGGAGTCACTGAGGTATAGATTGTCCATAGGATCAATGTTGTTTTAGGTTAAAAATACCCGGAAATTGTTGTAATGTTTGAGTTTTGTCATGTGATTTTGACATCCTTGATTTTCAGCCTGTGTACTTACTTTGAAAGCATTTTGACATCGTATCCCTGAATATTACAGTCATCTCCAAAACTTTGGGGTATTGATGAAACAAATATTATGAAAACGAAAAGCAGTGTGCTTGACTGCGTCGTTAGTCCGAGGCACGGACAAGTTTTCATGCTGGCAGTCGCCATTTTCACAACACTGTGCGCAGTTGGGTACCGCGCATTTATTAATAATTGATCACATGATAGTCACGGGACTTTGACCGATTGCTTGTCACGTGACTGGATTGTCTTCATTGTTGAGGCTCGAACACCTGATAATTGTTGGGTCCAAACTTTAAAGTAAATGTTTATCGTATTATGTATAATTCAACACGCACAAGCATACATAGAAAGAATGTCTTTATTCATTATACCTTTGACATTAGACTCTACTCCTCATACGTGTAAGAGTAGATCTAAATGATTGGGACATATCCTACTTTTTCATTTGTCATGTGCTGCTGACCGACGGAAACCTTGCACGTCATGTATCAGAAACGGAAATGTATTTAATTACTCATTTCATTTTCAGTGTCATACGTCAATGCTAGCTGATATTCAAGCTTTATGAGAAAGAGGGTGGGGTGGGGTAGGGCGGGGGGTGCACACTTTTGACAAAGGGGGGTGCACACTTTTGACAAAGGTGGAGTGCACACTTCATTTTCAACCGTGTTCACAAGAGTTTCAATCGTCATTTTATAAACTTTCTGGACAAAGGTGTGTGTGTGGGGGGGGGGGCAACTCCTGCAACCCCCCACCCCCATCCCGGATCCGCCTATGTGCTTGCATGGTTCTATAAGAACACCGCCGCCATATAGCTGGAATAGTGTTGCCTGCGGCGTAAAACTAAACTATTTCACTCACTCACGCTATAAGTACACCAAAAAACAAAAATCATAGTAACACTACTGTCCATGTTGAAATAAGAAATCCCATGAGGGTGTACTCCATCACCCCTTAAAAGAACATTAAAACAAGATATATTCCCTCCACGCTTCATCAAATACATACGTAAGTCGTTTGATCGACCCCGTACGTAATATACATATCTGCAATGGTGGCAGAACATGAGCGATATTAGCAAAATGTTACAACTTAGTAATCTTTTATGCTAAAAAATATAGAATAAACCAAATGTGAAAACGCTCGTATCACCACCAATCAATCAATTTTACTATGAATACCAAGTTAAATGTTTTGTTTTACTTCAGAACATACCAAGGAAGTTCAAATCATGTTTAGGGCTTTTTAAACAAGCTTTGAATAGCACCCGATTATCCGGGTTACACTGAGCAGACTGTAAGTGACCAATCAAATGAAGATTGTTACTTTATTTTTAAATTTGGGTGGTGTACACATCCTTTATATGATTTCATTATATTCATTCGATCCCTTCAAATACTTCATAAATCTGTTGGCATATTCAGACCTGTTACCGACATACATCTTTCAAATACTTGACTACCGATCCAGGTACTCTTTCCTCGTTCCCTTTACCGAAAGATATAGTAACAGGAATGAGGAAATGGTTTATTAAGTTCCAAAACACTTTGAAATCAACCGAGAATCGGGCGAAGCAACAGCACTAAGGTCACAGCTGAAGTTGTATGGCACACTGTTTGTTCGGAACAACCCAAGTTGACTGTTCCAGTGAGTTTAGTTTTACGCCGCTTTGAGCAATATTCCAGCTTTATCACGGCGGGGGACACCAGAAAAAGGATTCACACATTGTACCCATGCGGGGAATAGAACCCGGGTCTTCGGCATGAAGAGCGAATACCCGACACCTTTCTAAATATTCACATGAGAAATGGTAAATCACTCGTAACTTGTATGAAAGGTAAGGTACTTTAGGCATGACAACGTCTATATTTATATATATGCGACGTTTCGGTATACCGTCGCATCCTGATAGAATAAATAAGTTGCCATCCATATCTGGGTCCTAGTAAAAATGGCCACATGTCAAAATAGCCATAAAACATCCAAGTCAAAATGGCCTCAAAATAGTCAAAATGGCCACAAAACCCTAGTTAAATGGCCATACCATAAAGTCAAAATGGCCATAGGGGCGGTGGGGTAGCCTAGTGGTCAAAGCGTTGGCTTGTCACGCCGAAGACCTGGGTTCGAATCCCCACATGGGTACAATGTGTGAAGCCCATTTCTGGTGTCCCCCGCCGTGATGTTGCTGGAATATTGCTAAAAGCGGCATAAAACCAAACTCAGTCAGTCAGTCAAAATGGCCATATATATATTTTTATTTTTTTTAATAGTGATAACATTTTCCCATGTTGTATTGTTTGATATCAAGGTGAAATATGACAAAAGAAGTTATATCAGAATAAAACTTGATGTTTATTACACATCAACAAATCATATTTTCAACAAATAACAAGACATATGTATATGTTTGTTCCTTCTTCATGCACATGCACTTTTGTACTATTTACTACTACATGACATCCATGTAGATCAGTTACAACAAGTCAGAAACAGTAAAACTGTTCATTCCACTGTCCAGTCAGCTGGGCACACAAGCGGAGAAGTTCCACAGGGCTCAGCTTTCCGTCCTTGATCAGTTTCGGCTTAATTAGTTAACGAGGTACTTCTGGATTCACATCTTAATTAAGGTTACACAATGTACGTAATCACATGTTGAGTAGTAATTAACGAGCCAATTAAAGGATAAGTGGTCATTATTCTAATACCCATGCATCTTACCTTCATCTTCACCTGTGCCTCCTGAAGTTTACAAGGCTCTATGGGATGGGAGGGTGGTATCCTCTTTTGCCAGTCGGGCAAGTTGTTCATTTAAAGAGTAAGAGGATTATGAGGCATGGTCGACTGGGTTTGTTTGTTTAACTAATCCCACACGGCCTTCACTAGTAGAGGGAATGATTTTGGTTCAGTTATTACATGGCTGTTCTCCATACATCTCCATGTCCCCACCCCCCCCCTTCAAAATTCCTGGATCCGCCCATGTGTAAGGTATATTAGGTGGCAAGTCTTCACTTTATCCCATGATGGCAAATGCTTTGGTGAACGTTCAGTTTGTTCCAAATGGTCGAGGTGGTAGAAGTTTAGTGTATCAGGGATATATAAGTTTCGAATTATGACTAGCAAGCGTAATACAACACATTGGAGATGTTGCTATCCTTCTTGTTGAGCAACGATTAACACTAGGGACGACTTGATCACAAGCTACAGAGATCATTTCCTTGTCGCCCTCGAGGATACAGTGAGAACAGATCACAGGCCATGTACACAAGTGACACAAGTGGACTATCATTTGTATTTTTATGTTCAGCATATATAAATTGATAAATTACTAATCACAATCATACAATCATACATAACATAACACATAACATACATAACTGTACACAATGTTTAGCATTATGTAACTGCGTAAATATAAGAAATTGATATGGTAATAATCACAATCACAATCTTACATCATCAATGTCCACAATAATGGTTCATACACAATTGACTTTAAAGTCCAACAAGATGAGAAAGAGCATCTCCATACTCTATCATGGTCTTCCTTCCTGCTTGAAGATGGTCTTTTTCTCTCTGTAGTCTATCGTTAAGTTCTCTGTATTTTCGTTTTCTGGGTCATTTATGAATGCTGAACATAAAAGTACAAATGATAGTCCACTTGTGTCTTTCTTGGCTTGGTCGGTGTCGGCCCGGGAAAGCGAAATTTCAATACATGTATTCCCTATTCCCGGTAAAGCGAAAACCAAAGTTGTGCTAGAAGTGCCGCGAAAGCGAATTACTATGAAAAAAATAGGATTTCCGTACTTCGGATTAGCGCGCGACCCCAATACTCGATCTCTGAGCCTCTTAACTGTGATGAAGTTTCCTGTTAGCTTATAAATACAATAAATGAATAAGTCGGATTATTTTAATGTGACATTTGTCTAACAAAGAATAACAGAGCTACAGATAACCTTTTGGGTCATTGAGTTATGTACTCAATTGGGTATCCTAATATTCCGTTGAGTAACCAAATAAATTATACCAACCTCACTCAAACTAAATTGGGTATTTTGCCATTTTCCATTATTTGTGAAAATAGAATAAAGTTAACCTCCATCTGTAGCACATGGGTCTGCTTACTTCACATTCTAGTAGGTTTGCTGAATGTTACAGTACGCATGTTAGATCAAATGTATTGAGTATTTACAAAATATCAAGCGTACTTGTACGCAATAGACTTGAAAGGAATTGAGTTTTCACATAAATGTTTGCGACATTTACGCAGATACGCAGCTTATCTGTTTCTCCGGATTAAACAATTATGGTAATTAAAAATTAAATGTTTTAGTTTTGAAGCCTGTTAACTGAGATTAACTGAGATCAAAATGGCAAATGCGCAGGTAAGAGCTACCTTTCTACCATGACTACGGCATCAGACGACGATTCACATTTCTTTGTTTTTCTTGTGTATTGAGAATCCCGGGAACGCTAAATTCAGTGTTCACTGTAGCTTCACCGTTCCCGCGAAAGCGACACCTAAATTGAGGAGGTTTGGTCCAGATTTCGCTTTCCCTGGCCATAACCATCCCCCACCATTGTCTTGCTAATTAACATGGTCTGGTGATCCTCTTAACCCCTAAATAAACAACTTGCCCGACTGGCAAAAGAGGAACACCCCGATGGGAGAGTGGTGAAGAGTCCTTAGTACAGGTGTCCTGGTCCTGGATTACAGTTGCACTGCAGTTCATCATTTTTCTCTCGGAATTTTGAACTCGGATTTGGGGATTAATTTGGTTTCTTGCTGAAATATTAGTTGAGGTTGGGGTGGGATGTAATTTTATGTTGGGCTATGAGTGCCTTAAGCTCATGCCCATTTGCCCGGAGACCATTACAATTCCACTGTAATATAGCCATGGTTGCTGCAAGATGGAAGATAAAATTATAAAAGACCGTGGGTGGGACAATAATTTAGAAACATAGGGTGCTTAGGGTAGCTTAGTAGAGTAGGATGTGTAGAATAGACGTTTAATAGCTAATAGTAGACTGACTAGGCTTTTATGGTAGTGTTTATTTCTGTGGGCGAGTGAGTGCATTTGTTTGGCTGTTGGGTCCTTCATGACCGTGGTTGCTGTGATAAATTCTATGAGTTTGCGAGAGTAATTAAACATCTCAAAGTATTACGTAAGAAAACATCTCAAAGTATTACATAAGAAAACATCTCAAAGTATTAAATAAGTAACAATACTCATTAATTGGAAAACAACAACAATGTATGGCCATTTTGACTTTTTCTATGGCCATTTTGACTTTTTGGTATGGCCATTTTGACTTTTTGGTATGGCCATTTTGACTAGGGGTTGTGGCCATTTTGACTACCTAGGGTCAGTGTGGCCATTTTTCGTGTGGCCATTTTGACCTCTGTTCCCTAATATCATATACCTTTCTTATTATTCATCAACTTCCAAAATACCCACCGAATTCCAACATTCACTATTATAACGTATGGAAAGACATGCAAAAACATAAAAGGCACTACATTTGGGTTTTACGAAGGCGTTACACTCAGAAAAAGGATACTGTATACCATTATCATAGCCATATAATGGTACTACTATGCTGCTTGTAATATGGCATTATGTAATAATTCTTTTGTGAAATTTTATCAGTAGTTGTGTGCTTCACTATGACAGATATTTGTTAAAGTTAATATACACAAAGGGACATAACTCCGCAAGGTCACGTATTATCTCCCTTGCTTAGATATCCAAAATGTCGGCTCTTCTCGCAGCTCAGTATGGGGTGGGGGCATTGGTTACTGCAACCTTGCACCCGCTTGGATATGCAAAAGTCCTAATTCAGGTATGTTTTGGTTTAACTCAGGTCTAGATGCAGCAAGTGATTAGTTGTCAATTTGCAAATCCATGTCGTTATTACTTCACAAGTTACCAAAATGCAGTCTCTTCCTAGTGCTGGTTATTTCGTGGTAAAAATAGCTATTTGCCAATGTTTCAATACCACACAACAGGGGTTCAGATTGACGTATCTTCAGTGACGTGGACCGATGTTTCACCAGATATGTCCGAAGATTCACATCATAACTGGGATGAAGAAAAAGAATATAATAAAAAAAAGTATAAGATCATGTTATCCGACAATATAAAAATGTAGAAAGTCCACTACTTCCAAATGACTAAAATGTAATTTGTTTTCAGTAAAATCTAGAACACCTTGGGTAAGACTTCCGCCCGTATCCCCCTCTAAATTTTAACGGTGAGGATAAAATTCTTTGAGTAGCATTTTCAGAAGTTGGATATGGCTTTCAGCATGTTCAGATACAATTAAAGAAACTTGCTAAAACTCATCTTTATCAGATGAGGGGTATATATTCAGGTGATATTATTTGACTAGAATTAAATTTAAGGGGGTTTACGGGCGGAAGTCTTTCCACACCTTGTAGTCTTGTGAGTTGGCTAATGCTATTTATTGCGTGGTTATCTAGAAAGGGTTGTTACTAAAGTGCAGTTTACTGGACACGTAATTCGTGGCTGATGCTTCACTGACTAGCCAGTCATCCCAAACAGTAGCACTACAATTTACTTGGATTAGGGATTATATAAGCAATATAAGCATTATAAGCATTATAAGCATAATAAGCAAGGAAATAGAAAGTAGAAACACATCAACAAATATCTACTTTATTACAGGTATACACTCCTCCTGAGTGTCATCAACTGATGAATGCACTTCACATGAATTGCTAAATATTTATCATAACGACTCCACCCCTCTAGCCCCCCATCCCACTAGCCCCCTGTTGTTACAAGCCACTAATTAGTACCTCTAGCCCTCTCGCCTGGCTGTTCTGTTAGCTGTACTCACCACCCTGTAACTGGATTAACTGCTAAGTAATAATTAACTCGTTAAGTCAGGTGTTGGCTGTGAGTAGGTCACTACCAGTACTTGGTATAGATAATAGAGAATCACGTCTCAATGATCATTATTGATCAGCAGATGATCACAGAATGATTCGATTTCTAGACATTTTAGAAAAGGTTTAAACAGGTTAATGAAATGGAGATAGGAAAACCGAAAATGCCAAATTTTTGGATTGCATTACAGTATAGTGAACTCAAGGCAAAATACCACGGTTCTACTTATACCGCAGTATATCATTTCACCTCGACAAGACATGGCTACCTGAGGGAGGGTCACTTGTTTATATCACTATTGATGGACACCAGATTTCTGAATTTAGCACAAGAATGTGTCTATGATTTTATGAAAATAATAATGGTTAATACATTAAGTATGATTATTGATTGCAATCCACTGTGCGTAGTTGTCTCTAGTAACCAAATACTGACACATTTCAGGTTGGACATGAGCCAATGAAACCCAAACCATCGGTGTCCGTTCTTGGCAAGGAATCACTAGTATACCCAAATGTAATTCAATATGGTAAGTTCTATTTAACATGTTTAAGACTTATAACATTTTTCCAGTATTATCACTGATTATGTCACTATAATTATCATGATTATGGTGTATCCGTACAATGAAGTTTCATTCTTTCCACTTTGCTATTACAATATCATCTTTTAATGTTCATCATACAGGCATCCCTCGCCATAACGCGGGTCTTAGGGTCCATGGATGACCCCCCACGTTATTATACACCCACGTTATAGTAACGATTACATAACGTGGAACAAAGGCCAAGTAAAATCATATTTTCCATGGACAAAACAAAACTGCTATTTCGTGTATTGTGCCCAGTCAAAACTATATTGTATTGTTGGAGGTGAAAAAAACCCAACTTTGTAAATGAAAATACGATGTTTCTCTGTTCTTCTATTATTATTGAAAAAACCCTGCATGTTTTAAGCATCTGAAAAACCATGGATATGTACGATAAACACTATTAATTGCAGTCCACACTGAATTTCACTAGTTTACAACGTGATTAACCGGAGCTCAAGAGCGGATTTGTTGATGTGCTATTTTCGATGACGTGAATATGTGTGATCATTGGGCAACTTTTTTTATGGGAGCTACGGATTACCCCGCGGTTTAACCGAATCCGCGGTATCGGGAAGAGCGTTATTACGAGGGATGACTGTACTGAATGATGTCACTGTGATTTTTATCATGTGTTATTTGCACACTGGCCAAATACCCATGAAATGTTTCTGTAATTAAAAAATACTGTCTTAGTAGAAAACTTACAATTCATTGTGCCATATTTGATTGACAAAAATGCTTGAGTTTTTATGTGTCATTAAATGATTAATAAGTATTTTAGCAAGTGTATAAAAACAGAAAAATACACATTGTGTATTGTAAGGAAACATGAAAACTCATGATGTACCAGTGTATCCTTCCAACCCCTATTATTTATTGTATACTTCCTAAACAATTTGTTTTACTTTCAGTTGGGTACATTAAGAAATGTGATGGATTCTGGGGGTTGTACAGAGGCGTGTTCCCCAGAGTTGTGTCCGGGACACTGGGAAATGTGGTCCAGAATACAGTGATGGAGGTACACAATTTGACCATGGACATTGATAATCTTGTTAATGCAACTCCTGTATACCGTTAATATGTGAAAACTCTTCATATGTGTTATGTAGTTATTGATCAAGGAAGACTTTGTCAGAACTATTTAAAAAAAAATATCATGTTGATGTACCCAAAATTTCAGAAATCAGTTATTGAACTCCGATTTCTTGCTGTATTATGGATAAAAAGAGCCAGAATATTTCAGGAATTATTTTCACTTTGCTTAAGGTTTTGGCAGAATGTTTCCCAAGGAAATGTTTGTTTGTTTTAAACATATTTTATTCACTGAGAAAAGAATTAGGAACAAGTTCTCCAACTTAGAATACCCTCTCCTTGGTATGTACATAGGTAATTTAGATTTCCGCAAATAAAGATGACAGATAGTGGACAAGAAAGTAGTTTAGTAAAAAGAGATAGAGCTTATACAAAATAATATCAAAATGCTATGCAAATCGTTTTGTCTCACTAATGAACGATTGCCTTAACTTGAATAGTTTTGCATTTTCACATGATGATAGGTCTGCCCTTCCTTCTAACACAAGTTTAAGGTCGACTGAAATACCTGCTGATGAACAAATGCGCTTAACTGATAACATGAAGTTAACTCTTTGTTGTTTGTACAATGGACATTCAAACAGATAATGATACAAGTTCTCAATAAGATCACCACATATACAAATAGGATCAGTTTTCATTCCAACTCTGTACAAATCAAAGGAAATGTCCAGATAGATCCTTGTAATTAGAAGTTCACCTTGAAGGGATGATGAAAGGGAGCTTCATACATGGCAGTCCAGGGTCATCGTTTGTTGTCATCCTCTGTAATTGATAGGATACGAGACCTGCCTGATTGTGTGCAGCTGAAGCCTGGCAGTCGTTGGTCATGCTATCAACCACCAGTCTGCCTGTCAGGTTGTCAGGTTCAAGCCTGCTTGATGCAGGTAAATTGTGCTGAGTAAGGTCTAAAGATACATTCACCCACTCACTACTGCTATTTACCTTTACAGAAATTTAAAGAAATGAATAAAGCTGAAGAAGAACAGAAGTCAAGTACTGACGATGAACTTGTGACGTGGATTAAAACTTTCTGCAAAGAGGTATTGATCAAATCCATCTTTTAACATTGTAGAACTATTTTGAATTCTTTTGTGTTTTTTAGATATACCAACACAGCATGATATGTAACTGATATTTTGAACACTGCTAATTTCCTGTAATGCTGGTCGTTTCCTGTTGTCTGTTAAATGTGTTTATGAAATGTTTTATGTAATGAAATTTGTTTCCTGTATTTTTTCATTAGACCACACAAGAAACTGCTGGTAGATGTTTGGGTATTGTAGCCAGTCATCCTTTCCATGGTAAGGGAACTTCCTCTGACATGAACATCGCCTCTTGTTAATTCCAGGGCAGGAAGGTCGCAGCAATCTTAGCATTGTGGGGCGGTGGGGTATCCAAGTGGTTAAAGTATTCCCTCATCACACTGAAGACCCGGGTTCGATTCCCCAAATGGGTACAATGTGTGAAGCCCATTTCTGGTGTTTCCCGCCATGATATTGCTGGAATATTGCTAAAACCATAGTCACTCACTCACTCACTTAGCATTGTGCCTTTTTCATGTGCTGGATTTTATCAAGGATTCCAAACTAAGTGCCACTGCATTCAAATTGGGAAAAAATCATGTTATTGGTAAATATAGTTGTATTTTTAAATCTTTAAATGTACATTTTTTTATTCAAATTGGAAATTCGGACTGTCACTTTCTGAAGACATTTGGTTGAATATCCGGCTCTGAACTGGCATAATCTGAGATTCAGTATGGGAGTATCACAAGTCATATCTCAGATTGCATGTAGGAACATGAGCATTGTCTGTGCTCTTCCTGACTGGAGGAAAGTGGGGTAACAAAGGACATGCTTTAAGTTAAAGGTTCACAGATAATGGTCAACATCCTTGTTTGATTTTGTAATTTAGGGGCATGGTGTCCCTGATGTTCTGAAGATTCCCACAGTGGTGTTACTAAAAGCAGTGGGCAGCCATTTTAGTGTCTCATTCAGACTAAAATCTGAAGTGGTGAGGTCACAGCTGCTGTTAACATTTTGGTTTGTGACAGCCATAAGTGAAGACCCGTGATGATCCATGTTAGAATTGGTCTTCAACAACCCATGCCTGTCTTAAGAGGCGACTAACGGGATTGGGTGGTCAGGCTTGTTGACTTGGTTGATACATGTCATCGTATCCCAATTGCGTAGATCGATGCTCATGCTGTTGATCACTGGATTGTTTGGTCGAGTATTTACAGACCGCCACCATATAGCTGGAATATTGCTGAGTGTGGTGTTAAACACCAACCACGAGTGAAGTTTAACTGCCATGTGCTTGGAACTTGCTGGTTGAACATGTCAAATGGCCACTAGCCTGTCAAACAGTTGCAGTAATAATTCTGACTACAGGTGAAGTTTGTTCAGTGTGGTTAATTGTTAGATGAGTAACATTTTGTGTATGCTTTTTCAGTGATTATGCTGAGATGTATGGTGCAGTTTGTAGGCAAGGAAACAGAATACAAGTGAGTATTGGAAGTGTATAGACATGATAGAGGTGACAGGGATTATCTAGGATACTGCGTACCCTTTCTGATATGTACCAGGGTTCCATTGGCTACCTGGTCTTTGTTTGGGAAGTGATGTCATCACCTCTGTCTCTCTTGTCCAACTTCAGCAAAAACCCTTGTTTGTTGTTAAACTCTTCAGATTTAGGGGTTTGCCTCAGCCACTTAAACATGATGATTGATACGAGTCTCTGGTGGTTGTTGGTCTCTTTTAGGGATCACTTAACAAAATATTGATTGATGTCAAACATACAAGTAGTTCGGGCCCCTGTGAGTCTCTTAGACTATGGGGCGGTGGGGTATAGCCTAGTGGTTAAAGCGTTGGCTCGTCACGCCGAAGACCCGGGTTCGAATCCCCACATGGGTACAATGTGTGAAGCCAATTTCTGGTGTCCCCCGCCGTGATGTTGCTGGAATATTGCTAAAAGCGGCGGCGTAAAACCAAACTCAGTCAGTCAGTCAGTCTTAGACTATGCTTTGCAGTTCTTACCACTCAGTGGAGTTGATTCATTTGCTGAACTCGCGGAAATGAAAGAGGAGTTGTTACCATGGATACCAGGTAAATGCACAGCCTTAGAAATGTTTACGTTTTTCAGGTTATGACTGTATATTCGGTGTAGAGATGTTGATTCAGATTGTCTGTTGAGTGTATATGCCCTTCCACTTTCAGTTCCATATGGTCATCTATAGGAGCAGTCTATAGGAATGATGGAATTCTTGGCTTCTTTGCGTAAGTTTAATGAGGAACTCACACAGTGGGAATGCCATTTTGTAACAGTTTTTATGTGTGGAAAATATAGAACAAAACTTTCCAAAACCTATTTTAGCATGGCAATTGAATGTCCAAGACTAACTCAGAATCCAGGAATGCAATATTTGTTGTGACAGTGTTACAGAGTAATCACTCTCTCAGAATCTAGGGATACAATATTTTTTGTGACAGTGTTACAGAGTAATCACTCTCTCAGAATCTAGGGATACCATATTACTTGTGACAGTGTTATAGAGTAATTACTCTCTCAGAACCTAGGAATACAATATTACTTGTCACAGTGTTGGACAAAATTCATTCATTCAGAATGTAGGAATATGAAGGAACTGGTTACAATGATACAGAACTTTCCCTTATTCAGAATCTAGGAATGCAACTATTCTTGTCACATTACTTACAGTGGCATTGTACCAAGACTGGTGGGAGAGGTGATAACAGTGTGGATAACCAACTTCCTTGCTCAGCTAGTCAACAAATACTTAGTAGAGGATAAGGTAAGACAAGAACTTTCCCTGTGGTAATTCTGGGTTAGAATTGGTTCTATTAACAAGCTGTCATCTGAAAGCATGAATATTTCTGAACAGAAGAAATTGTCATTCTTGCCTAAACTATAAACATGGTTTGGTGTTCAATACTGTAACACTATACAGTTTATATACAGTCAAAAATGTTGCTATGTCAATAATTGTGTTTAATCTTTTGATTTTGAGTTGTGCAAGTATCACAGCTTATGAGATGCTGCGGGGTTTCATGGTGCCATTTCTGATTTTATCTCTAGTTACAGCTATGTTTTTATTGTTATATGACTGCAGTCTGTCAATTAGACGACACAATAGATTTTCTGCCGCACATAAATACCTTCGATCGTCTAATTTTACAGTTCGTGCAAATGGAATGGACGGGTGAAAAAAATTATTCGATAACATGCCCACTGGCACTGACTGGATAAATCTCTTTCGATTGGCTGGTAAGTTTCCTAAGTTACCAGCCCAGATGTCTGGCTGGGTTCTCTGGCTTAATTCAATACACAAATGAGTGAATAAGTTGTTTCATGTTGTATTGTCAACTGTTCTGACATCTAATTTCAGGACATAGTTAAGTCAGTCTGTTACTGCTGCAGCATGTGGGTGAGTAATGCTCGATCAGATTACAGGGACTATAATAATAATAATAATAATAATAATAATGCATAATAATAAATAATGTCCATTTATATGGCAAACTCCACTGTGGTTTCATGTTGTATTGTCAGCTTTTTCATACAAGAGTAATTTCAGGAAAACAAGTAAAACTAGTAGCAGTACAAGGTTAGCCTAGAGGTGAAGGTGGTCACTAGGCACCAGACACCCTCTTGAGATGCTGCTGAGTGATGCTGAAATAGTATAAAACCATACTCACTCGTTTATAATGTGTATGTTCATTGAATGAGCAAAGTGCTAAAGATATGTATGTAAACATAAAAAGGGTCACTGGAAGTGGAATCTATCATTGTCTGCTGGTCTTCCCTGATAAAATATATACTGAGAGAAACAAATAAAGGATCACAGGAAAAATCAAGCATTCCTTTATTATTTTCCCGTTTTCATCACCACAATGCTATTCAAAGCTGGTGATGAAAACGGGAAAGTATTATAGCAACGCTTGACTTTTTCTGTGATCCTTTATTTGATTCTCTCAGTATATATGTATATATAATGGGAAAGGAACTGTTTCTCTTGCATGACCATAAAGCATATAATTTGCATTGTTTGATTAACCTTATTTGTTATATGGATGGAGCTATCTGATTATCATTGCCCTCTTGTTTCTTGGGTTTTTAAAGAAAATAATTGTTTGAGTAAATTTCCAGCAACCTTTGCTGGATTATGAAATTGATCAGGTTGTCAGACTCGGTGGTTCAATATCCTCAGGCTACATGAGTGTTGCTCATGATATCGATCACTGGATCAGTTTGTCGAGACTGAAGTATATGCTGGCTGATGTCATATAGATGAAATACTACAGCATTATACAACAAACAAACAAATATGGTTAGGCGGCTGACTTTGTGTGCTGGCGGTTAGGTGCCTGAGTCTGAGGGTGTGGGTTCGAATCCCGGGTTGGACTCAACCCAACAAAAGTACTAGAATCTGTACTTTACTAAGAAAGTGTATTCCCAAATATACTGGACAAAATAAGTTAGGGATATTGGTATTTTTATGATATATATTTTATCAGTGTGTCAATGAATAAATAGATCATTATTCATAATTTCAAAATTTACATATATCCCAACCTTTTTCTGTCCAGTATATAACATATGTTACATTTGACCATTTTCTACATGGTATTGTGTATTCAAACAAATATGTTGTCTCATTTCAGTTGATTGTGTCCCATCTGACATACCCCTTCACTCTTGTTACAAACATCATGGCAATCAATGGCTCAGGGTAAGTGGAATAGTAGCAGTTCAAGGTGGTACTTGCTCGAGACAGTCAGATGTTAATGGTATCCAGTGACTAGTGGAACTTCAGGCTGTTTAGGATGTCTCCTTGGTTGTTATTGCTCTTCAAGACAATTGTTTAATACAGGATACTGATGCTGCACAATAATAAGACGAAGATGCTCATCTGAATGAGTGGCCAGACAAAGCTGATGTTTTCATGAATGGCAGAGACATAAGTAAAAATTTAAAAACTAAGAAAGTCAGGTGAGAGTTGTGTTTTATTTGACGAAATCAACCAAACATTATTTCAAATTTATTTACAGTGCAGAATAGGACCTGAGCACACTATGCTACTATAAGAATGGATTAAAATGAGAACTCTCCAAGTGGCATGTTGTCAGTGTGCGAAATAGCCATTGGCCCGTTAGCCCCTGGCTAGTAAAAATCCATTTGGGCCAGTGAATCTCCACAGTCACTGGCCCGATTGGCTAGTGAATTTTCATGGGACCATTTTGTAAATATATCACTCTCTCCGACTTGTTAAGATAGTGTACACTTTTATATCATGCAAGATTATGGCCTGGTAGAAATGTTCATCATATTGGCAGCGTAATGATGAAACCTGAGTCATGTCGACAATATCTTATTCTCATCTATTTTTGAATGTTTTGCTTAGTTTCTACGTTCAGATTTTGGGCTAGGGAATTATTTTGGGGGCTGGTAACTTCAGGCATAGCTCGCCCTACTGGGTAGCAAATTTTGGAAACTATTTCGCACTCTGCATGTTGTAGATGAGGTGTTTTCACTTCAGTGTTTCTATAACAATTTATATATTAATATGTGCCTTACTCAGTCAATCTATGATTTGTCATTGAACCATTGGCCATGGCAGCAGGATGCTGTGATACAGTGTGAATATTGATGATGAGGAACATATCTTGGTCCCCAGACAATAACGCCACTTGCTTGTTCCAGGCTTCAGGCTGCTGGTAGGGTGCAGTATGGAAGCTGGTATGAGTGCTTTGGGCAACTGAGAAGACAGGTGAGATGATGATGAGATTAATCAGAATCTTAGGGTTACAAATTTTTAAACTTATCCTATCTCACGGTATGCTTCTCTGTTCTTCTTCTATGACCATGTGTGGAAACGTGCTGTAGGCTAAGTTGAATCAAAAGTTATCTGGCCTCTGACCCCCCGACCTCTGGCCCCACTCCTATAGCAGTACCTGTATCAATCATCTCAATACGCGTGCAGATCGCTCAGATGATCACGTGACGGTCTGTGCCTGTCATTTTCTTTCTTGTCGCTACACCGAGTGGACATGTGTTGTTCTCTCAGTTAGACATTATTTGATTGTCAAGATGGGAAATAAATGGAATCAAAGTTCTTCTAAGAAACGCAAACACTGTAATCAGTGCAACAGCAACTTTTCCGCTGCTGATCCACACGCTTTGTGTGTGGATTGTATAGGCTGTTGTAGTTGGTCACATCGGTGTTCTGTTTGTTCACGCTTCAATGATGATGTTTTTTCTGAATAACGACGGGTTGCATCTAGACGTAGCTTTTTTAGTGGTGGCCTCAAGACTCCTACTTGAGCGAGTATCTCCGTCGTCTCTTTCGTCATCAAATGTCTAGTCCCGTCTCCAGACAAGTTTTATCCCCTCCAAGAGTGGTAGTGCTATCAACCTCTGCAGCACAGTCTCGGCCTTCTAGCTTGGTACGATTTCACAGACTCCTAGTTTACCTCAGGTGGTTGATTCCAATGTGCCGCTTTGGTTGAGTGCTCCACACCCCTCTGTCATGGTAGGTGCGCTTGATGAAGCGTTCACTCATGCGGCGAGTGCAGTCATTTCGGGGCTTTCAACCACAGGGATCGGTTTGTCAGGCATGACGATAGTATCCAGTGCGGCGCTTTCACAATGTATGAAATAAGCCATAAGTCCAGCCAGGTAACTTCAAAATGTTACCAGCCCAAAATGGATTTAACCAGGCCAAATATGGTGAATTTACTGAGATGTATGGAACATATGAATTCTTTTTCATAGAGATCGTCCTTGGGGTACATATATGCATTTTCTGCTGCTGAAAATGTCATGTGACAGTTGTATCAATGTTTTAATAAAAATATTGTACAATAAATAAAAATCTTTTTTATCAATTATACGGCCCCCACCACGTGGAGTTACCTCCCTGCTATGCATGCGCAGCCAACCAGGTAAGCACCTAGGCCCGTATCATCATTCCTTCTGCTGTCACTCAAGCGTTCACACGTATTTACTACCTGAGTTACAAGCTGATTTACTCGTTAGAAGAATGTCTGAGACTTCAACAACTGTATGTATGGTCTTTATTTGTTGGTCTGTGGGCAGAATATCCCTAGAGCCGACAAGCATGATAAATGCTTGTGCTGCTTAGAGAAGGTGAGACATAACCCTGATGTCTGCGAGCTCTGTAAGGCCTTTTCCCCCCGGGCCCAGAAGAGAAGGGCAGGGGATTTCCTTTTCTATAAGGAATTGCGAGAGGCGGGAGGGGATCTTACCCAGGTGGTCCCCCCGTCCAAAGCCAAAAAAGCCAAACAACCTAAAACGAGGTGGCTGTCTACGTCCCGTTACTCGGCAGCGACACAGCAGACCTTGCTAGCCCTTCCGTTCCGGCTGGGAGCAACGTTGTTTCCAGGGGCACAGCAGGTCATTCGGGAGCTCCCTCCTTCAAGGACTCTAAGGCCTTGTTGGAGCATCCGTGGGCTTCTCGCCCCCTCGCTCCCGTAGCGGGTTCCTCCTCCAGGGCGCAGCCTACGCCCAAGTCTGCCGGCTGGCTTCGGCCGCTGGGCAGGGGTAGGAGGAGAAGCCATCCCGCCAAAGGTAAGGGCAAGGAGCAGTCCTCTTTGTCTGGCTCCCATCAGCCTTTTCGCGGTCGCGGGAAGGTCTGCCCTGACCTCGCGTTAAACCTGCAGGCTGTCGCCGTGGGTCCGTCCCAGTCAGTTCGTCTGCAAGGGACCACTTGCGCCCTCTTACCACACGTCCCAAGTGGGGGGCCGCCTCTCTCTATTCCTGCCGGAGTGGGAGAAGGCTACCAGCAACACTTGGGTGCTTTCCACCGTCAGTGACCGCCTCCGTGGTGTAGTGGTTAGAGCATCCGCCCAGAGAGCGGAAGGTCGCGGGTTCGATCCCCGACCGCGTCATACCAAAAGACGTTAAAATATGGTACTTGGTGGTCCCTGCTCGGCATTTAATGGGTACAACAAGGACTGGTCGGCTCAGAGTCAGTATAATGTGTCTGAGTGGGGTATTCATGCTTCACTGCGGCATGGTATCTCAGTGGGCTAGCACTATAAAACCAGCTTAAGTCTGGGCTAGTACAAGCAGCCGCACATACACATACACATGCTTGCACGTCGTCATATGAGCGAAATATTCTCAAGCACGACGTAAAACCCAATTTCATCTCCCCTCACCTCCACCGTCAGTGTCGGCCATCCCCACTGTGGAAGCGAGGCCCGCCAGATTTCACCAGCCTACGTCAGGTTCCGTCCCATTCTCAACCTCAAGGGGTTGAATTGCAAGCTAGAGGTTCCATCCCTCAAGATGGAGACACTTCGCTCGATTGGCTTACGTCGATCGACCTAGTACTAAGGATGCCCAGGGTGTTCACCAAGCTCATGTTAGTGCCGGCGAGCCTAGATTCTACCCACACGGTGATAGACATTCTAGTTCGACTGGGGTTGATGATAAACCTCAAGAAATCCTACCTGGTACCCACCCAGGACTCGGATTTTCTAGGGGCGCGGTTCACACCTCACAAGGGTCTTGTCTCCTTGTCGCCTGACCGGGTCACCAGAGTACGGGAGATGGTGTCTTTGTTCCTCTACCAGCCCCAGGCACCAGCGCGGACTTGGCTCCGTCTACTGGGTCATATGGAGGAACTATCTTTGAGGATGCGCCCTATACATAAAGCTTTGGCGTGTCTGTGGGCTCACTCGGAGGATCTGGAGCAGTGTCTCACAGTCCCCGGGTGGTTGTCTCCTCACCTTCAATGGTGGACCAATGTCTGGAATCTCTCCAAGGGGATCCCTTTGGAAATCCCGACGCCAGCTCTTACAGTTCAAACTGTTGCGTCCCTCACGGGCTGGGAGGGTGTTCTGGGCAGTCTGTCTGTGTCCAGACTCTGGTCTGAAGCCGAAGCCCGCCTTCACATCAACGTCTTGGAACTGAGAGCTGTGTGGTTGGTTTTCGAGCGCTTCCGGGAGCATGTCCAGGGCCAGGTGGTTCGTCTTCAGTTGGACAACCGTACGGCCATGACGTACATTCCTGAAGCAAGGCGGCATGGTGTCCCTAGCGCTCCTTTGGGAGACGTGGGAATTTCTCCTCTTGTGTGACCAGTGCAACTGTCAGGTGCTTCCTGTTTATCTCCCGCAGCTGGAGAATGTGCGAGCAGACGCTCTCTCTCGCCGGATCCTGGCCCCGCATGAGTGGATGCTCGACCGGCAGATATTCAGAGTTATCTCCCAGTTGTACGGATCGTTCCAGGTGGATCTGCTTTGCGTCTGGCAGGAGGAATCAGATACCCGTGTTCTGCTCTCGAATACCGGACCAGAGGGCGTTGGCTTCCGACGCCTTCCTGCTGGATTGGACGGGCAAAGTTCTCTGGACGTTCCGCACTACCTTCGGGATCTCTCGGTTACAGATGTGGAAGGTCTGCTTTGGTCCTTTGGTCCTGGCGCAGCAGTTGTCATCAACCCGTGTTTGCGGATAAAGCAATCCTTCCTTGGTCGGTTTTGCTCTGTACCTAATATGAGATATCGATGTAATCCAAATCTTGGTACTTTTTTCTCTTGGGCTTAGATCATTCTCACCTATGGGAATAGGGCGTGTCTGCACTGTCATAAGTTATGACTTGATAGACTGTGAGGCCAGTCTTGTGCTACGTGCAGAGATGATCGACACTCCGCTTACTGACCTGTACTCTCTGAGCAATTACGTCAGTGAAGTGTTGATTTCCGATTACCTCCATGGTTTTTGAAGCGTTCTGCTCCTAAGTCCAATCTCACCTTTGGTACGTTAGGGAGATTGGTACTGAACGTTAAACTAGTTGAGCAACCGGGCTATTCCCTCTTTCACCGCCTTCCAGCGTGTGTATGTGGGGGGTAGTTTCGAAGCAGGGACTGGCCGGAATACCGGGGTCACCTGATAAATCGCAGGGCGGCGGGGCCTACTTGCCAAACTGCGTCATTTTGCTTGCAGCTGAAAACCACATTAATTCGGGGGCGCCCACTCCCTAGACTTTTTGTGCTGTGTAAGCCAAGGGGTTATCTGAAGCCACCCATCACAAGTTGGAGTTAGCATATCGAGAGTTGGTGCTTTCTCCTGGCCTCCTTGTGCTATGCGTCCTCAGGGTTGTAGAACAGACAGGGTAATCTGCGGCCCTCCTGCCAACCGTGGGATTATGCATACCGTGAGATAGGATAAGTTTAGACATTTGAAAATTTTACTATAAATTGTATATTTATATACTTATCCTATCTCACGTGATGGATACCCATCCGACCTGCCCCACATCACAGATTACTGGAAGCTCCAAGACGAGAATGACAGGCACAGGTAGTCACGTGATCATCTGAGTGATCTGCACTCTTATTGAGATGATTGACAGGTACTGCTATCGGAGTTGGGGCAGAGGTCGGGGGTTCAGAGGCCAGATAACTTTTGATTCAACTTAGCCTACAGCACGTTTCCACACATGGTCGTAGAAGAAGAAGAGAGGTGCATACTGTGAGATAGGATAAGTATGTAAATATACGATTTATAGTAAAATTTTCAATATTCTCGATATAGCTGTGTCACCTTTCATGGATTTCCACGTGAATAGCTGCAAACTGATGCGGCTTAGGAAACACTCACTCACTCACTCTTTCATGGATTGCAGCTTTTACATTAACAACCAAATTGCCTGCTACTTATCTACAAGGAAACATGGTCTGCTAAAATGAAATGAAAGCCATAGTTGATGAATCCTGCTACTCCGAAACACCCACTGATTATTGACCGGCCTGTATGTTCTCCCCACAGGGTGCCCTGAAGCGAGGCTCTAGCATGTTCTGGCGGTACTACCAGGGGCCACTGATTCTGATGGATGGGAAGCCTTACCCTGCCAACTCCAGGTTTCTACAGTGAGACCACCCTCGTACCGTCCTCCCACTCACACGGATAGCATAATGACTGGAGGATCATACCATATTTTTGTAAAATTGGCCCTTGTAACAAACATAGACACAACTGTAAATAGCCTGTAGCGTCCATTGCTCATTCTCATTTGATGATGATGTGTATGTGACTGTTGATCTTTTGTGATGATAGGGGTAAATGATAGAAATATGAATGATTGTTTCAAGTGTCAAGTCTGTTATTTGACCTGGCATGTGACTGTTTAGTATAACATGACATAAACACCGATCCGACCTGACCTGACCTGACCTGACCTGACCCAACCTGACCTGACCTGACCCCGACCCGACCTGACCTGACCCCACCATTTTGGACCTGTCCTGCCCCGTCCCGACCCGACCCGACCTGACATGACCCGACCCGACCTCACCATTTTGGTCCCGTCCCGTCCCGTCCCATCCCGTCCTGACCCGACTCGACCCGACCTGACCCGACCCAACCTGACTAGACCCGACCTGACCAGACCCGATCTCACCATTTTGGACCTGTCCTGAACCGAACTGGAATTGTCTGGATTAATGATTTCCCCAGGTTAACAAGTCATTGGTAAGTGGTGATACTTCAATAGTTATTGTCTGGAATACTGGCATCCACTGTGTTTCACTGTAATTAATAACCAGCCAACATCTGACCTTCACACAAACAACTGGGTATGTTTTAGTAATCTAGAGAAAGATAGTCCATAATTTATTGCTACCCGACTTTCCCTGAAATCATTCTGAGTTGATTTGTCCCTGATTGTACATAATTTGACTTCCAGGACAGATACTGTATCAGTTTCTGTGTATTTGTTTGGTTTCTAAATGATTGTTCAGCTACATAGTATGTACCCTTCAACGGGCTCGGTTTCAACTTGAGAGCCGGGACCTGTTGTGATGTTCCAGAAGTCCATCACAGTGGACCACAGCATCATTACATTCATGTGAATACGGGAATTGAATGATCAGAGTGTAGAGTTACAGCAGTGAGAATACAGGGGTACAGATGAGAATACTGAGATATGGATGAGAATACTGGGGTACCGCTTTGAGAATACAGGGGTACAGTAGTGAGAATACAGAGGTACAGATGAGAATACTGAGATATGGATGAAAATACTGGGGTACAGTTTTGAGAATACAGGGGTACAGTAGCGGGCATACAGGGGTACAGATGAGAATACTGAGATATAGATGAGAATACTGAGACATAGTAATGATAAAACTTTGTTTATTAGACAGTTAAACTGAGTGATCACTGTTTAGGATATCAAAGAAGATAGTTAAAAACAATCAGACCACTTGCAGTATCTTTCTTCTCATGTGAGATCTAAAACTGCTTATACCCCAATTCTGTAACACTCAAAGCACTGCTACACTGACCATGTACTACCCCCCTCAAAGTACAATCTATTTACCTTTGGATGGAATAATCTCCTCTCTGGATATTCCTTCATCAAAGAGACTCAAGTTTTTGTGAAACATATCACTTTTTTCATGTTGAAGTGAAACATGTTGATAGCTCAGTGGTCAAAGCATTCGCTTGGCATACCTACAGCCAGGGTTTGATTCTTTCACCTGTGTATAACCATCCTCATAATCAAGTCCCGCTCTACCCCCTGCCATGTGAAATGTCACGAGGAAACAGTGGCCCTGTATGGCCTTGCTGCTAACATTGTGTATGGGAACACAGAATGATACAGAGACTTGGGAGCAGGAGGGAGTGTGGTAGGGACCTATCATTTCATACATGCCAGTAGTTCTTCAGGACACTTCATTTATACAGCCAGTCTAAGTAAACTTAGGCTTAGTATTATTCGTTACAGTGCTATACTGAGTATAACAAACCCTAGTAGAAGGTCGCGTCAGCTAACCTTTTGATTTGACCAATCAGAACACAGCTTACCAAACCGCGAAAGTTAATATTCGCACATACTGTTTGAACTTTTACCTCGATAACGTTTTTACTCGAACGATGCCATTATTCACAACAGGGAGTACACAGTTGCTGAAAATAGCGTTTTTGTCAGTATTCCATGGTGTCTTCTTGCGGAAACTAATAATAACCATGTCATCAGAAACCCCTAATCGTATATACTGCAGGTCAAATATGTGTGTTTTGTGCAGATTTTCCTTTGTTGAGAGATCAGTGTCAGCGGGGAAGAAAAATGCATTTTGAAAGTCCCACTGAACACTAAATAGTAGCTGTTGCCTGATTGGTTAAATCCGTTCGGCCGTCTCGCGTTTGATTGGACGGTCATAGGTTGCTCAAAGGTTACCTGATGCAACTGTTTATCCAGCCTGACTATGATGAAGCAGCTTTAGAGACCAGTGCTTGTCCTATTGTATTACTTTCGCCCAATATTGCTGATCGACATGAGGAAGCTGACCCCGCTTCTTAGAGTCCAAATCTAAGTTGATAACAGTTAATATCAGATGCAGGTTAAGGGTTGGGTATTGGGTAGTATTTCATGTCCCCATTTTTGTGCAAAGATTGAAACTAGGTTATTGGGTATGCAAGCATAAATCTTCAGCAAAACTATTTGTAACACATTTGTTTCTGAACATGAATTGCTTAGCATATTCTGTGCTTGTACTGGCCCCTTGTATGTCAACTTCTTGTAACACTCTTATTACAGGGTGGTGGGTAGCCCAGTGGTTAAAGCGTTCACTCGTCACGCCGAAGACCCGGGTTCGATTCCCCATGTGGGTACAATATGTGAAGCCCATTTCTGGTGCTGTGATATTGCTGGAATATTGCTGAAATCGGCATAAAATTAAACTCACTCACTCTTATTACACTTCCGATAACCATTAATGTTTGTCAGTGTTAAGTGTCATTAAGGATATTTGAATATGATGTTTAATAATAAGTCTATGTATATTAATGATATTTATGTTGGTATGAAATACATTCTTTTGACAGTTAGATTGCAGTGTTACAATACTGGTGTGCCTGTTCTCATGGTTGTGTAGTCAGGCTTTGATATTACTTGCAGCTCTTCATGAGTTCATAATTCACAAGACTTGAGGAATGATACACAGAGGTATGCTACCTCAGTTCCTAGATGTTTTACTGTGACACACTTGCAGCTTGGTTTCTCCGTTAAAATACACATATCATATTTCAAAATAATTTTTTTTATGATTACAGGGTCCAAAAAAGAATCAGCACATTTCGCAAATTAAAGTTGTTTTACTTAAAGCTTATTTGCTTCAGCACTTATCTACTAACTGCAGTGTGGTTTGTTTTTCAATTATTTTTATTATTGTAATATGCCTGATAGTTTTCTGGTGTTTTGAACCTCTAAGCTGGTCTTTGCAACATCCCTGAGGAAGCTCCAATTAGGTGAAACAGTTTGGAAGAATTATCATATAATAGCCTTTTTTATGATGTTGGAATCCTGTATAAAACAAAAGTGCTAAGGTTGTGTTGATGAAATTGAGGTATGGCTTTAGTTGATGTGTTTGTTTACACATAAATCAGAAAGATAATTTTCCTTCATTAAAATGAGCACAATAGTGAGAACTGAAAATGGCACTAAAAGTCAGAGTTGGTTTAGTTGTCTAAAACTCTTCTTCGGCAGACTCAACTAATATTGGAAATGTGAACACTGAAAGGATTTGTTTGTCAGCACAGATATTTTTTCAAAATTTTCATACCAGAAGAAAAACAAGTCATTTCGGTCAGTTTATGTAAATATAATTTTTCTTATGAAAAGTCCAAGTTAAACTAGCCTTCCATCACTGACATAAAGTTGTTTTAACTACTGTAATGTGTAGAGAGAATAGGTGCAGAGACAAAGGTTAGAAGAGCTATTTAGAAGTTGGAAGTCTAGTACTGCAGGTTATGCTTTCAGTTTCGAAGCTTCATATTGCTTTATAAGATGCAGGCAGTGCAAACAACATCAGAGAAACAGTAAACTGTCCTGAAGCTGTATGGAGATTTTCGCTCGTTAAGTATAAATCTGCATTGCTGAGCAACTATTGATTTGAGAAACCAGATAATGATTATTTTGAGTAGCCCTTGATTGGAGTCTGAGCTTGAGATAGAGACTGAGATAGAGAGGAGTGTTTTGCTGCTGGATGAAGGAGTGTTCCCAGCTGTGTTACCAGGTATTGATGTACAGATAGTTGGAGGACTGGGATAATGTATATGTGAATTCCTTTAATAATCCATTGTTACTGGAATAAAGCCAGCAGTAAAACCATTGTCACTTGTTGAGTTTTCATTGAATAATGAATCAGATTTGTTCTTTCACAAGAGGTGAGGTGTATAAAAATGTATAAGCGGTGTCCGTCCTTGCCATGGGTGTTGATGGGACATAGTGACCTCTGATGTTTTGCAGGACAGTTCAACTGTTAATGGTTGTATCTAGGGGTGGGTATTGCAGATAATTTTCATATTGCGATATATTGCGATGCGAAAGCATATATTGCGATATGTATTGCAATATATTGCAAGAAGTATTTTTAAACAAAAAACTACTTATAATCGAGTTAAAGCATGATTTATAGAGCATAAACACAACAAAATAACTATGCTTGATTAAGCTTTAACAACAACCTTTAATCATGACAAAATAGAAATGTAAATAATATTTGGCTCTATTGAAACAAGGAAATATCCGAAGATTTTCGAGTGTTGCAAAGTTTTCCAAATGCAAGTCCAAATACCGGTTTTTGATCAGCGTATTGCAATACGTATCGTTTTTATGTCTGAACCGGTTATATTGTGCAGCCCAAGTTGTATCCCATTACTGTGCCAGGATGCAGATCAATGTCAACATTGTTCATAGAATCTTTGTTTGTTTGTTGTTTACCGCCACACTCAGCAATTCTTTTCATGTTCCGGTTGTCTGTAAATAATGGAGTCTGGAACAGACTATCCAGTGATCAACAGCATGAGCTGCGATCTAGGCAACTGGGATATGATAACACGTCAGCGAGCCTGACCACTGCCTCTTACCACAAACATGGGTTGCTGAAGACCAATTCAAAACCAGATCTTCACAGATTCCTGTATAGGAAGCAGCAGGGAGCTAGGGTTATCTCAGTTCCCCATAGTTACAGTGATGTTGACAGGTAGCCCAGTCATCTTAGGTGTGCCATCGTGTGTAGTTATATCCGCTAGGGCAGAAAGATTTTTATGATATGATTGAAATCGCAGATTCCCCATGATCCAGGTGTTTGGTATGTCAGCACAGTTCACCTGCTAATGGATGTGGTAAGTTCAGTCACTATAACTCTCTCCACTCAGTTATATAGGTGGAGTACTGCTTAAAGCCACGCAACCCATTCACTCTTTGACAGTCCTGAAGAGAGTCACTTCCCATTTATCGTAATTGGAATGAAAAACTAATTATGAAACGAAAAGAAATTTGTGAGTGAACCCTTATTACTCAGCTTTCCTTTGTGCTGAATGGTCAAATCGCTTATAGCTTTAGGTAATGATAACTGTCTTCCTTCATGGTCATTGGCAAGATGTCCTTCTAGTTTTAGGGGGTTCGAAACTTCGTCTCGATCTCTGTCTTAAAGAATATTTGGTTCAGTGTTAATTCCTACCCGACTGCCATCATACCAGGAAGAGTTGGGTTGTCGTCGTGCGATCACCCATTGGTTTGTCTGACTGTGTCCGAGTGCTTACGCTCCAACGTGATAGTGTAGCAGTAATACTGCGCACAGCGTGATAGAATATCCACTTAACACCAGTCTTCGGGAGACTCGGATCATTTGTGAGAGTGGTCTACACTCCCAGTTGATTCCCGACCTGAGTCTCTTGGTTCGAATCTCAGAGTCTCCCTCATAAAGATTCTTGGCATGTCTCTTCCATACCCCTGATGTCAGCACCTTGGACTCTATCGTACACAAAACTGACCTATTCAACTGGCATGGACCTCAGAGTCTCCCTCATAAAGATTCTTGGCATGTCTCTTCCATACCCCTGATGTCAGCACCTTGGACTCTATCGTACACAAAACTGACCAATTCAACTGGCATGAACGCGAACTTCCTCCCTGCCAGATAGACTATGCTAGGGAGCAAGCAGATCAAGTGTTGGCACAATACTACGAATTTTTTTTGCTTTTATATTCATGAGTTTACTTTCGAGTAAAACAGATTGTTTTGTTTGAGTTGACGAAGTCGCATCGAATACATTGTCATTTGTATGCGATACATCGAACCATCTTCTTCCTACCCGATAAAAATATCGCGTGACATATTGCCTGAATGAATTTTTTTTATCGATGCATCGTGGTCACATGAGATGGCGATCTCGATACTATCGATGAATCGCTCTACACACACACACATATACACACACACACACACACACACACACAGGCATGGTCCTGACAAACCTAGGAACATCCTGCTGTATTCGAACCCACAACCACAGGATTTTGCTGCTCCAAAGGGCAAGCAACTCTGTACAGCTTACTGAGCCACCCATGCACTCAAGCTGTTACAAATGAGCCTACGAGGGTGCAATACAAGGAATTAATGAAATCCATACTAAATAATACCACAGCTTCACAGATGATGATACCACCAGCAATGTGCTGCTGTAGAGGTTTTATAAACCAAACGCTGATCAGCTTTTCGCAAACAATTCCTAATTTGTCGACTCCATGAAGATCCGGGTTAGAATTGATCTTCAGTAACCCATGCTTGTCGTGAAGATGCGACTAACGGGATCGGGTGGTCAGGCTTGCTGACTTGGTTGACACGTCATCGTATCCCAATTAAGTGATCGATGATCATGCTGTTGATCACTGGATTGTCTGGGCTATTTACAGACCGCCCCCATATAGCTGGAATATTGCTGATAGATGGAATAATCTCCTCTCTGGATATTCCTTCATGAAAGAGACTCAAGTTTTTGTGAAACATATCACTTTTTTCATGTTGAAGTGAAACATGTTGATAGCTCAGTGGTCAAAGCGCTTTGCTTGGCATACCTAAAGCAAAGCCAGGGTTTGATTCTTTCACCTGTGTATAACCATTCTCATAATCAAGTCCCCTCTATCCCTTCCATGTGAAATGTCACGAGGAAACAGGGGGCGGTGCTGGCGTATAACTAAACTCACTCACTCACTCTTTAATTTGTCACCGGCGTACGTAAACGTCCTTACACGAAGTTGGATTCGAAATGTCATAATATATTTACCGGAATTGAGGGCGTCTACATAAAGTAATGCACACTGTAGCTAATGACTGTATCTCCTTTCTTGTGTCAAACAGCAAGAAATATAATGTTTAATAGGATAAATGGGTTGGTTAAAATAAACTCGTCCCTGATACATAAATATTGTAAATTTTATAATAAATTGTATGTTTATATACTTATCCTATCTCACGGTATGCACCTCTCTTCTTCTACCAGCATGTGTGGAATCGTGCTGTAGGCTAAGTTGAATCAAATCTTACTGGCCTCTGACCCGCCCTGACCTCTGCCCCCACTCCGACATCAGCACCTGCCAATCATCTCCGTAAGCGTGCAGCTCGCTCAGATGATCATGTGACTACCTGTGCCTGTCATTCTCGTCTTGGAGCTTCCAGTAATCTGTGATGTGGGGCAAGTCGGGTGGATATCCATCGCGTGAGATAGGATAAGTATATAAATATACAAATTTATTATAAAATTTACAAATTTTAAACTTATCCTATCTCACGGTATATGCACAATCCCACGGTTGGTAGGAGGGCCGAGGATTACCCCGTCACGTACAACCGAGAAGACGCATAACCCCCAAGGAAGGAGGCCAGGAGAAAGCACCAACTCCCGATATGCAGACTCCAAACTTGACATGGGTTTCTTGTAACCCCTTGGCTTACACAGCACAAAAACTCTAGGAGGGCGCTCCCGAATTAATGTGGTTTTCAGCCGCAACTTTTGACAAGCAAAGGACGCAGTTTGGCAAGTAGGCCCCACCGCCCCAAAGATTTATCAGGTGACCCCAGTGAATTAAAGTCGAAGACCTTAATCTGGCCAGTCCCTGCTTCGAAACTATCCCCCACAGACACACGCTGGAAGACGGTGAAAGAAGGAATAGCCCGGTTGCTCAACTAGTTTAACGTTCAGTACCAATCTCCCTAACTTACCAAAGGTGAGAAAGGACTTAGGAGCAGAACGCTTCGAAAACCATGGAGGTAATCGGAAATCAACACTTCACTGACGTAATTGCTCAGAGAGTAGAGGTCAGTAAGCGGAGTGTCGATCATCTCTGCACGTAGCACAAGACTGGCCTCACAGTCTATCAAGTCATAACTTATGACAGTGCAGACACGCCCTATTCCCATAGGTGAGAATGATCTAAGCCCAAGAGAAAAAAGTACCAATATATGGATTACATCGATATCTTATATTAGGTACAGAGCAAAACCAACCAAGTAAGGATTGCTTTATCTGCGAACACGGGCCGATGACAATTGCTTCCGCTGCCAGGACCAAGGGGCATTAATTGATGTAGACCTTCCACGTCTGTAACCGGAGCAGGGTCCCTCAGATAGTGTGAAGCAAACACTGTATTGGATCTCCAAAAACAGCCCTCCATGATGGACTGCAGGGAACAATTTCTGTGAAGAGCCATGGTGGAGGCAAGAGCTCGAGTCTCATGAGGTTTCACCGGGCCGACAGTGGAGGTAGGTCAGCAAAGGCATAAGCACGCAGGATCGTAGTTCGTGATCCAAAACGCCAAGGTAGTACAGGAGACTTCCGAGGTTGGGGCAGTAGACAATGGAATGAACAATCTCTTTACAGTCTGGGCGGCGATCCTGTGAGGCAGCAAGGTAAATCCTTAATGCACGCGACCGGCATAAGGACAGATCCTCAGTGTCATCTGGGCCCAAGATAGTGGACAACGGCGAAATCGTAAATGTGCGATCCGGCTGTCCTGGTAACTGATTCTTGGCGAAAAATCCCACGGCAAACCAAGGGAAAACTCGAATGTCTAGACCTTTCAAAACCGCACCTGAAACATCAAGAGCATGCAACTCGGAAAAACGGGCAGCTGTAGCCAAGGCCAAGAGAAAAGAAGGTCTTAAAGGAGACATGTTCAAATCTTTCTCCTCCAAAGGTTCGTGAATCAGCTGACGTGAGATGAGCAAGTATTAACGGAAAGATCCCAAGCTCGAAGCCGAACTTCCGAGATTGGTCAGCCAGTTTGTAACACCGAGGAGAGACTGGAGTTCAGGGACAGTGGACACCTTCACACCCGAGGCCGCTGCAATAATGGTGTTAAGAGCAGCCAGGTAGGTAGATAGTGTAGAACCTTTGAGTTTCTGGAGGTTCGATGCTGAAGGTACTCTCTGCCACCATCTGCAGGGAGGCCAGAGGGGATGAGACGCCTTCTTCCTGCAATACTCTTTCAAAATTCTTCCATTTGTCATCGTGAGAGTGACCTCGTGAGAAGTATGATGCGCCAGTAATGGCAGTAGCCACCGTTTAGAATAGCCCTTCGCCGCTAACGACCGATGTAGATGCCAAGCCAATCTGGTTCGGCTAGGTCTTGAAGGTTTACGAACCAGCTTCTGGCCGGCCAATAGGGCGACCAAAAGCCACTCATCCTCTGAGTTGCGCCGCGAAGTTTCAGTAATCTGCTGGAGGAAGAAAGGCCACTGGTGGAAATCGTAGAACGCTCAGGTCCTCCCGCGGAATGGCTAGAGCATTGAGGTCCCAAGCCAGAGGGTCCGGAATCGGTGACACAAACCGAGGCAGCTGATGGTTGAATCGGGTGGCAAAGAGATCTACTGCCGGAGTCGTCAATGGAAGACAAAGGGTCTGGAACACCTGAGGATGTAATTTCCATTCCGTTGGAGAGGGATGACTTGGCCGGACAGAAAATCTGCGATGACATTCTTCACCCCCGGAATGTGGTTGGCTTGGACTAAGATGTTGAGAGAGTCCACCAGATCAAAGAACTGTTGGGTCCACTGCAGCAGTTGAGCAGACCCGTGGACCCCATCCTGTTGATATGCCAAACCACCGCCTGCGTTGTCCAATCGGATCATGAGGGAAGTTGCTCGTAGGACATCCTGCCAGTGACTGATTGCAAGAATCACCGCGACTGAACTCCAGAACGTTGATGTGACAGGCGCGATCGACGAGAGACCACAGCCCTGCCACTTGTTGATTGAGAAGATGAGCTCCCCACCTGTGTTGAGACGCCAGCGTCCACATACAGGTGGTGAGACGGAACAAACGGCCCTAACAAACTCCGTCGCAAACATTCAATTCTTCCATCCACCACAGGAGATGGGGATGGAGCTCCAGAGGTAGAGTGATCAAAGCAACGGGATCTCCCACCTGATGTAAGGCTAGAAAGAACTGCAAGGATGAAGTTGTAGTTGACCCGGAGGGTCAACGCCTGAATAGCCAACGCCGAGCCGAAGCTCCTTCCACTGACGAAGCGCCCTGGGGTGCGCCAGTGCCAGAGAGACCAATCACTGTATCTTGCAGAAACGATCCCTCGACAAAGAGTTTGTTGACCTCTGTGTCTAACACTGCTCCAATGAATTGAAGACGGCGCTGAGGGACTAGTTCCGATTCCTGCAGATTGATTAACCAGCCTAATTGGCAAAGAAGCTGTATCGTAAACTGCATGTGACGAAGCAGAAGGGCATGATCGGTCTGCGCCTGAATGCAGTCGTCGATGAAAACCTCGAACACTATTCCCTTGCAGTGAAGGAAACTGGGGATGGGCTTCGTTACCCATGTAAACAGCCACTGGGCCGAAGAAAATCCAAACGGGAGGACACGCCACTGATAGTGGGTGCCCTCGAAGACAAACCGAAGGCACTTGCGAAGAGCCGGAAAAATCGGAATGTGAAGGTACTCATCCTGGAGATCGAGACTGACCATGTAGTCTCCCGACACCATACGAAAGTGAGGCGGAGGTTGTAAAACCATTTTATGGAAAACCTTCATATTGAAAATTAGTCTCAACTTGTCCGAATCTTTCTGTGGCACCAGAAAGATTGGCAAATAGAACCAGTCAGAGCCAGGCCCAGGGCTCGATCGCAAGTTTCTGAAGGAGAGTGTCGATTGTGGAGCCTAGAACAGCTGTCTGAGATAGGATACGTTCGAGTAGCCAAGCTACCATGACAGCACTGAAAAAGTGCTGAATGTAGGAAGTTCGTGGCATGGAGATGTCAGGAACGTACACATTGTACACAGAGTGATGAAGGCCATATAAACAGTGATCGCAGGAACGTATAGTTCGCCAAATGAAGTGTTGGTCCGCCAGATGGAGTGAGAAAGTTAGTAGATGTGGGATGCATGGGATCGTCAGTCTACCGGAACATTGGTAAAGTTGATTGGTTCAAGAAAGTTCATTCATCCATTCGAATATTCATTATCTCATATCCGGATGGTTCCTGAATCCGATCCCATCGTTCGCCATCCTGTTCGATTCATTGTCCCCATCATCGAATATCCTGCATATCCAGTTCCATCCATCCGGTCCGTCATCGCACCATCCGCATCCATCCAGCTTATCCAAACCCGCCGATTCGTTCATCGCCCGCCCACCAGAAACGTTCATTCCGCCCTGTCGGCCCGCACCAGCCCAACCCGTTCATTGTCTCCATGTTCCATTCATACAGCAGCGAGTTCATCCATTCAGCCATCGTTCCATCGGCGATATTCCGTTGAAATCCCGAACGCATACCCGGATGGCGGTATGACGGATGTATCCCAGCATCCGGTATCCGTCATCTACCGCAGGCCCATTCCATATCCGTCATCTCCGGAACATCCGTCCGGCTTTGCCCACCGTCACGCCCGGTTGTTCCATCCGTCCATCCCGCTCACCATCCGTCCATAGTTCATCCGTTCCACTTCATACGCCGATGTTCATCCGCCTGTTCTATCCAGTCCGCCCGCCATCCCGCCCGGTCCGTTATCCATTCCAGTGCCAGTTCACGTCTATCCCGTCCGTCCGTTTGTCCCAACCTGTTCCGCATCTGTCTTAAACGTCGTACCATACAGTAAGCAGGTAAATTGACTGAAAGGTGTTCCAATCAAACAACAGTTCACTGCTGGAATCGTTGTTCTAATCGAAAACGGAACACTGGTTGCTGCTGATCTTAATCGAAAAGGCATACAGGGCTGAAGGCGTTGATCCAATCGAATGCGCCTGCAAGGTACGGAAAGGTGTTGAACGCGCCCGCACTGCGCTACCGTCAAGTATTGATGTCACCACAGGAAGATATGCGAGAGCGCCGAACTGGAACAAAACGCCGCATTGGAAGCTAAGCGGCGTATATTGAAGCGCCGAACTGTGTTGAAAGCGCCGAACTGACTGAACTCGCCACATGAGAGTAACGCTTTCTACCAGGCGTACCACCATGACAGAGGTGTGTGTGGAGCACTCCAACCAAAGCGGCGCACTGGAAACAACTACTCCGCCAAGGCTTTTCGAGACTGCTACAGAGGTTGTTAGCACTAGTACCACTCTCGGAGCAGTATAAAACTTGTCTGGAGACGGACTAGACGTTTGATGACGAAAGAGACGATGGAGATACTCGCTCAAGTAGGAGTCTTGAGGCCATTTCTCCTAAAAAAATTCTACGTCTGATGCAACCCGTCGATATTCAGAAAACACTACCACGGGAAGCTGCGAACAAACAGAACACCGATGTGACCAACTACAATAGCTTCATGCGTCCACACACAAGGCGTGTGGATCAGCAGCGAAAAATATTGTCAAATGGAAGCTGCCATCTCAGAGATCACAACAATGTATTCTATGCACGTATTTCAACGACACTGGCAGTAAAAGTTAATAAAACTCTGTTTCATGCTATCTTTCTGTATATACTCCGTCTTATGTACATATTCATGACGTCAATCTTGTAAACATTTTGAGAGAGGGTACATGGAGGGGTGGAGTCCTTGGATGGGTGACCGTGTTTGGCAGCTTGGTCTCCTGAGAGTTTCAGGACTTCTCAGTCCTGCCCCACACCAAAGTACACGTAATACATGTGCTCTCACCTTAGGCAAGTGAGTTTGTTCAAAATTGCCTCTGTTCATCCAGCAGAAAATGGGTACCCGGTGGGATTAGTCATGTGACTAATAACCTAGCGTCTCACTGGCAGGTTGGGTTACCCGGGGTAATAATAGTCAGATTGTTAGCGCTATGAGCATCCACCAAGTGATTGAAGTTTAGAGCATTATGAATGCACAATTATTATATGATTAGAAAGTAGTGAAACCACATCTGCCCGTTCTTTTCCTGAGATTTAGATGATATTTGAACAGGAAATATAAGCGCCCCCACTCTTGTTGTTACTGGGTATCATTATGTCTGTTGTAGCTCTCGTAGAATCTGGACCCCTTCATGTGCCCTCATACACCAAGACTCCACTTGCTTACGGATCGGATAGTGTTTCTCACACTATGAATAAATATGTATGCATGTGATGTTGTGTATAATTTGATATTTTGTTATAATGTATGTTTGTATCATGATGATGGTGCTAATATTGCCTAATGGTTGCATTTCATAATACTGTTGATGAGATTGATGACGATGATAATATGTATGTTGAAATAAATGAATGAATGAAAGAAGTCCACAGTGTCAGTTTTATGGGTAGCCTGATTAGACAGGGAACAACTTGCCCTGTACGCTCATTCATGTGTGTCCTCTAATCCCAGGTAATCCCCCTGCTGGCTGCTGGCAAACTGGGGTACACCCATCGTCGTCATATGAGCGAACTATTTTTAAGTACGACGTGAAACCCCATTTCACCTCACTCACCAAATAGGGCCGGTAAGGGTTCCAGTCAAAAACAGACAAACCGATGGCTGAAGTCTTAAGCATGATGAAATAGACAGATAATTGTACACGTGACACACCGTAACCACCGAATCCACACAAGGATCCCATAAGGATAGTGTGTCGGGTGGGATCTGGGTGGGGTGAAGATACTTGTGAGGAAGTGAGCTTTCGTGATATTATTCGTCATGCAGTAACGGCTGTTCTTTATGAGTGAGTGAGTGAGTTGAGTTTTACGCCACACTCAGCAATATTCCAGCTATATGGTGGCGGTCTGTAAATAATCGAGTCTAGAGCAGACAATCCAGTGATCAACAGCATGAGCATCGATCTGCGCAAATGGGAACCGATGACATGTGTCAACCAAGCCAGCGAGCCTGACCACCCGATCCCGTTAGTCGCCTCTTACGACAAGCATTGGTTACTGAAGGTTCATTCTAACCCGGACCTTCACGGGTTGTGTTCCTTATGACAAACCTGCACGTTCACTGCGTTAGAATGTGAACAGGGCGTGTCTTTTTTCCACGGTGGTTAAGTATATATTCCTTCACACAAACAAGTAATCAGTCCAGCGTATTCGTATCTATATCGACTAAAGTTGGAACCAAGATGGTCGAAAATATGGGTCGTTATCTTTGCGGAAGTCGATACTTTGAGTATAATATAGAGAGCATCGGTGACACAATAAGCTTTGTACAGTCGAGTCTTTCAGTGTGTCAAAATCCTGTGATTGTGAATTAAAATCCCATACTTGACTGCATAAAACAATGACATTCAAATGCCTAGAGCAAACAACTGTATCACGTGCTTTGGTGCAATATTAAAAGCTGACCACTCACTCACTCACTCAACCCGTGAAGGTCCGGGTTACAATGTGCCTGCAGCAACCTATGCTTGTCGTAAGAGGCGACTAACGGGATCGGGTGGTCAGGCTCGCTGGCTTGGTTGACATATGTAATCGGTTCCCATTTGCGCAGATCGATGCTCATGCCGTTGACCACTGGATTGTCTGGTCTAGACTCGATTATTTACAGACCGCCACCATATAGCTGGAATATTGCTGAGTGTGGCGTAAAACTAAACTCACTCACTCATGATTTTTCAAACAATAAAACAACAGCAAACCTTTTCCGTAAAGATTATTTGCACCATCAACCTTCATTGCGTAGGCTTCTTTTTTCACTTTCATCTTGGAGAAGTGACATTCATCAGCAATAGCACAACACAGATCATCATCCCTTTGGAGACCCAGAAAGTCGGATAAAGCGCGCACCGTTGCAACTGGATCCTGAATAATAAGAACGTCATAGTTAAACCTGCACTGTTTACACCTGTTATACCACATTTACGTTCTGTTCTATGCTTCGATTGTCTTCATGTGGTCCAGTGCATAGGGCTCAGGTCACAAATTAGTTGAAGATAAGCAACGTCGAGAGCAGAGAGTCATTATATTTGTGACCGGATTTGGCAGCTTGAGTCCTGAGAGTTTATAGGACTTCTGTACTGTCCCACAACGAAACACATGTGATACATGTGGTCTCACCTTATGCAAGTGAGTTTGTTCAAAATTGTCTGTTCACCCAGCAGAAAATGGGTACCCGGTGGGATACGTCCTGTGACTGAAGCAATCTAACGCCTAACAGGCAGCTTGGGTTATCCAGGGTAATAATGCACTTGCTATTCATTGTTAGCGCCATGAGCATACTTAGTGTGGAGTTTGGCGCTATATAAATGGACACTATTAATAATCCCGAGTCGCCCCGGTTATGTTTCATGGCCTGCCAGAGCCACACCTGAGCACGTGGTTTTCATCAAAGCGGTAGGCGTGCTGCGTACTCCGGGTTTTGCTCCCACAAGCTGACACGCCGTGACGTCACTAAAACACTGTTCATAATATTCACTCACTGTATCCACCATCGTGCGGGCCTGTAGTATTCACTCACTTCGAAACAATTTCCTACATTTAACAAGCCGAGAATGTGTATGCATCTATACCAGTGTGAGCGAATGCACATCTTCTCTAATAGTCTAACCTTTTGGGTGTCCTCGTATAGCTGGTAGTGAACAGGTATGTCTGGGTTTTCTTGGAAATATTTCTCAGCATCCCGGGCGTGTTCAAATATTCCATTTCTGTTTACTGCAAGTCAATAAAACATACAATTTAACATATCCACTGTTGATAACCCTCAATGTTTTCCGTTAAGCTGCACATTAAATTGTGAAAACTTCTTTCCTAAACCCCGTAAACGTGATCTTTGTATCGTTCTCTTACAATACGTATAAATGTGAGATAAGGTGATGGAACTCACAACAATCCAACATTCTGGGCCCCGTTTCACAAAGCTCTCGTAAGCCTCAGATCTCGTAACTTTTCTCGTAGCTTTCGTACTTCCTGTACTGTAACATTGACTTACGACGCTTGTAGCGCTACGAGAGCTTTGTGAAACGTGGCCCTGGAATTTAAGTTTCGCCAGGCTCTTTACCGTTTCTACCGTTGATATACCATTTTAGGAACCTTTTCCAACCGACAATTTCTTTATCAACATACGTATTCAATTGTTTTAGCTTTCACAATTATTCTAAACCAAACCTTCACACCAAATTGTAAAAAATGGCCGCTTTCTAAGCAAACATATTCAGGACGTCTTGATGTTCTGTGTATTTTCTTGTCCATTTTCAAAGCAGAGCAACCTTTCAGTTTCCTAGCGACTCCAATACAACTGAAGATGTGTGACTTGTCAGTGCAACTCCTGAGGAAGTTATTATAACTCTTAAAGAACGTAGGGGAACCTGAACTTGGATAGGAAGCATGAGCGTTAACAAACTTTTCAAAGACAGACATCTTGTGAACGCACCACCATTTCTCTTTACATCCCTAAACACATCCCATCGGGTGCACGTGAACAACGCAGTAGCCCCATACACGTGCACGGGTTTGTCATTCTTCATTTTGACGGTTTTTAGAAAAATCACTGTAGACCATTCATTTTGACAATCATCTTGCAGCACACGGTTGTTAGTGTTTGTTTCTAGCCGACTTTTGTTTGAAAATGAAAATCGTGCACACGTCATACACCAATCATGTTTAAAGAGCGATTACTGTACAAACAACTATGGCCATAAGGAAGTGCAAGTGGTGATGCACTCTCAAAACATTCATTATTATCATATGAACATGTATTGACTCCAGTATGTCTCCCAATTAAGTTCCCATACCTTTTTGAAGAGTATATTTACTGGCTTCAATTTTAAGCCAAATGTTTCCAGCTTCCCAAATCCTAAACATTGCAGAAGAAAGAGTCACTAACCCCTTTGCTCCAAGAACAGCTGGAGGAAGTCTTCAAATGTTCCGTTGTACACGTTCCCACCGGCATCCCGATGGCCATTTGGCCAGGTGCATCCTATACAACGACACTGCCACGTCTTTGGGGTCGCGCATCGTGAAGATGACTCGGCACTTCTTCTCCTTCAGGTCCAACGGAGCTTGCGTCAAGTGAGCATGGCAGTTGAGGACTCGGGGCGAGGCTTGTTTGTCAAGGTCGCCAACAGTGGCAAGTCCTAGGTAGTCCTTAAACCGGGTGATGGTCTCAGCTTTGCCATTGATCAGCATGCAGGTCATCTCCCATATCCAATGTCCGCCTGGATCGAGAGATGAAGTGAGTGAGTGAGTGAGGTTTTGTATCTTACTATATGTTAGTTCACTCCGTGGGTGATTAAGGCAAGTGTGCCAAACATAACATGGATGTGTACCCTGCATGTGTACCCAACATAACTTGCATGTGTACACAACGTAACAGTCATGTGCACCCTACGTAACTGTCACGTGTACCCAACATAACTTCCATGTGTACACAACGTAACAGTCATGTGCACCCTACGTAACTGTCACGTGTACCCAACATAACTTCCATGTGTTCACAACGTAACAGTCATGTGCACCTTACGTAACTGTCACGTGTACCCAACATACTTGCATGTGTATCCAACATAACATGCATGTATACCCTACGTAACAGTCATGTGTACCGTACGTAACAGTCACGTGTACCCAAAATAACATGCATGTATACCAAACATAACTTGCATGTGTACCCAACATAACATGCATGTATACCCAACATAACTTGCATGTGTACCCAACATAACTTGCATGTATACCCAACATAACATGCATGTATACCCTACGTAACAGTCATGTGTACCCTACGTAACAGTCATGTACCCAAAATAACATGCATGTGTACCCAACATAACTTGCATGTGTACCCAACATAACATGCATGTATACCCAACATAACATGCATGTGTACATAACATAACTTGCATGTATACCCAACATAACTTGCATGTGTACCAACATAACTTGCATGTGTACACAACGTAACATTCATGTGTACCCTAACATAACAGTCATTGCATGTGTACACAACATAACATGCATGTGTACACAACATAACATTCACGTGTACAAACATAACTTGTATGTGTACCCAACATAACATGCATGTATACCCAACATAACTTGCATGTGTACCCAACATAACATTGCATGTATACCCAACATAACAGTCATGTGTACCCAACATAACTTGTCATGTGTGTACCCAACATAACTTGCATGTGTACCCAACATAACATGCATGTGTACACAACGTAACAGTGCATGTGTACCCTAACGTAACAGTCACGTGTACCCAACATAACTTGCATGTGTACACAAAGTAACAGTCATGTGTACCCTACGTAACAGTCACGTGTACCCAACATAACTTGCATGTGTACCCAACGTAACAGTCATGTGTACCCTACGTAACAGTCACGTGTACCCAACATAACTTGCATGTGTACACAACATAACATGTGGGTAATAAAGCAACAGTCATGTGTACCCTACGTAACAGTCACGTGTACACAACATAACTTGCATGTGTACCCAACATAACTTGCATGTGTACACAACATAACTTGCATGTGTACACAACGTAACAGCCATGTGTAACATAACATAACTTGCATGTGTACACAACATAACTTGCATGTGTACACAACGTAACAGTCATGTGTACCCTATCTAACAGTCACGTGTACCCTACGTAACAGTCACCTGTACCCAACATAACTTGCATGTGTAACCAACATAACGTGCATGTTTACGTAACATAACTTGCATGTGTACCCAACATAACTTGCATGTGTACCCAACATAACTTGCATGTGTACACAACATAACTTGCATGTGTACACAACATAACTTGCATGTGTACACAACATAACTTGCATGTGTACCCAACATAACTTGCATGTGTACACAACATAACTTGCATGTGTACCCAACATAACTTGCATGTGTACACAACATAACTTGCATGTGTACACAACATAATCTTGCGTACACAACATACACAACATAACTTTGTACATGTGCACATAACATAACTTGCATGTGTACACAACATAACTTGCATGTGTACACAACATAACTTGCATGTGTACACAACATAACTTGCATGTGTACACAACATAACATAAGTTGCATGTGTACACAAAATAACTTGCACGTGTACACAACGTAACAGTCATGTGAACCCTACGTAAAATAGTGGAATATTGAGATCATCGACTTGTGCAGTCCATGGATCAATAACTCATGTATACAATTAGCAGTTCACCTTGATTGTTATTGGCTGACTGAGTTTGGTTTTACGCCGCTTTTTAGCAATATTCCAGCAACATCACGGCGGGGACACCAGAAATGGGCTTCACACATTGTACCCATGTGGGGATTCGAACCTGGTCTTCGGCGTGACGAGCCAACGCTTTAACCACTAGGCTACCCCACCGCCCCGATTGTTATTGGATTTGATCCTACAGTGACATGTTTCCCCAGGGTGATCGTATTGATTTGGTGATGTCCAGACTAGACTACTGCAATGGACTGTTGATCGGCCTCAGCAAACACAATATCTCAAGACTACAGAAAGTACAGAATACAGCTGCAAGAATTATTTCTCTGAAGACTAAATCTGATCACATCTCTCCTGTTCTCAAATCCTTACACTGGTTGCCTATCCAACAGAGACAAGCTCCAGGAGAATATCTCACCGAACTCATCAAAGATTGTTATTGGTCCCAGATTTGATCTACTACAGTGACATGTTTCAGGGTGATCGTATTGATTTGGTGATGTCGCAGTAATGACGAATGATTAAACACAAACACCTTGGTTGATTGATACTCAAAGACCAGCTGTATTCAAAATAATTTGTATAATTCATTATCACTATTAGAGTCCGGTTAACTAAACTAGGATAAGTAAACAATACCGCTTAACTTAACGTTTTCTCACTGTCCCTGGAAGTAAATTACTTAGAGGCCGGGTAATTAAATTAGCGATCACCTCATAATCCGGCATCAGGGGCACGTGTCAGTCTCCAGTCAAACAAACATCCTACTTACAGCTCGCTGGCGTCATGCAGTTGACAATACACTGACAACTGGAGGCCGACCCTGATAAGTTGTTCATAGTTTTATGTAGCTTGGTCATATTACTTACCAATGTTGTCTGTAATTCTGCTGTTTACATATACATGCATATGGTTGTCATTTGCAGGTTTTGATAACTTTGGATAAGTAAAATACCTGATAAGTAAACAGTTTTGGCGAGTCCCTTGAAATTTTACTAATCAGGTTTCCACTGTATTTTCAACTGAGAAAGTTTCACTTTTTATAAGGTGAAACTTTCTCAGGTGAAATTGGATTTAACGTCATGCTTGAGAATATATCGCTCATATGACGACGTGCATGCGCGTGTGTGTGTGTGTATGTGCGGCTGCTTGTTCTATCCCAGACTTAAGCTGGTTTTATAGTGCTAGCCCACTGAGATACCATGCCGCAGTGAAGCATAGATACCCCACTCAAGACACATTATACTGACTCCGAGCCGACCAGTCCTTGTTGTACCCATTAATGCCGAGCGCCAGGCAGGGACCAGCAAGTACCATATTTTAACGTCTTTTGGTATGACGCGGTCGGGGATCGAACCCGCGACCTTCCGCTCTCCGGGCGGACGCTCTAACCACTACACCACGGAGGCGGTACTTT